GGTACAGTTGTTTTTGTAGAGCGTTGCTTCTTTTACTTTCTACCACGTGTATAGATCTTTATTAGATCTTTATTGTGTGGGGTGGTCACAAGCTTGGTACAGTTGTTTTTGTAGAGCGTTGCTTCTTTTACTTTCTACCACTTGTATAGATCTTTCTCTGTATTATGTGGGGTGGTCACAAGATTGGTAGTTGTTTTTGTAGAGCGTTGCTTCTTTTACTTTCTACCACGTGTATAGATCTTTATTGTGTGGGGTGGTCGCAAGCTTGGTACAGTTGTTTTTGTAGAGCGTTGCTTCTTTTACTTTCTACCACGTGTATAGATCTTTATTGTGTGGGGTGGTCGCAAGCTTGGTACAGTTGTTTTTGTAGAGCGTTGCTTCTTTTACTTTCTACCACGTGTATAGATCTTTATTGTGTGGGGTGGTCACAAGGTTGGTACAGTTGTTTTTGTAGAGCGTTGCTTCTTTTACTTTCTACCACGTGTATAGATCTTTATTGTGTGGGGTGGTCACAAGCTTGGTACAGTTGTTTTTGTAGAGCGTTGCTTCTTTTACTTTCTACCACGTGTATAGATCTTTATTAGATCTTTATTGTGTGGGGTGGTCACAAGCTTGGTACAGTTGTTTTTGTAGAGCGTTGCTTCTTTTACTTTCTACCACTTGTATAGATCTTTCTCTGTATTATGTGGGGTGGTCACAAGATTGGTAGTTGTTTTGTAGAGCGTTGCTTCTTTTACTTTCTACCACGTGTATAGATCTTTATTGTGTGGGGTGGTCGCAAGCTTGGTACAGTTGTTTTTGTAGAGCGTTGCTTCTTTTACTTTCTACCACGTGTATAGATCTTTATTGTGTGGGGTGGTCGCAAGCTTGGTACAGTTGTTTTTGTAGAGCGTTGCTTCTTTTACTTTCTACCACGTGTATAGATCTTTATTGTGTGGTCACAAGCTTGGTACAGTTGTTTTTGTAGAGCGTTGCTTCTTTTACTTTCTACCACGTGTATAGATCTTTATTGTGTGGTCACAAGCTTGGTACAGTTGTTTTTGTAGAGCGTTGCTTCTTTTACTTTCTACCACGTGTATAGATCTTTATTGTGTGTGGTGGTCACAAGCTTGGTACAGTTGTTTTTGTAGAGCGCTGCTTCTTTTACTTTCTACCACGTGTATAGATCTTTATTGTGTGGGGTGGTCTCAAGCTTGGTACAGTTGTTTTTGTAGAGCGTTGCTTCTTTTACTTTCTACCACGTGTATAGATCTTTGTATTGTGTGGGGTGGTCACAAACTTGGTACAGTTGTTTTTGTAGAGCGTTGCTTCTTTTACTTTCTACCACGTGTATAGATCTTTATTGTGTGGGGTGGTCACAAGGTTGGTACAGTTGTTTTTGTAGAGCGTTGCTTCTTTTACTTTCTACCACGTGTATAGATCTTACTCGCTGGTTTTACGGCAGGGAAAAAAATTGGCCTATTTTGTACAACACAGACAGTCAGTGATTATGCCGTTGGCTCTTTGCACATAGAAACGTCAATTTAATTTTAAACGTTGGGTAAAAGCCAAGGTTTTTGTATTTATTTATGTGCAGTCAGCTCTTTGTTTAGTTTGTAAATACCATTTAAAATAGTGGTTATATATATATATATATATATATATATATATATATATATATATATATATATATATATATATATATATATATATATATAAAGTTGTGTATTTGTATTTATATATAGATATATACACGTATACATATTACTGAAATACGATATTCAATATCTAGCTGTCTATGTTTAGAGAAGTTTTAATGCTTAACAATCCAGCCGTATCATATTTCAGTATAGTGGATCATTGTGTTCTTTATGCTGTGAAACATGATCTGCCACTGTTTTATTTATTGATTAGTTTTTTAGTTTCACACTCTTCAAGTAATACATTTCTCACTCATCGTTTTAACCTTAGTTGATAAAGTTAGCGGGTACAGAAATGTAACCTTATTACTATATTGTGTTACAAACCTAGTTGATATAGTTAGCGGGTACAGAAATGTAACCTTATTACTATATTGTGTTACAAACCTAGTTGATATAGCTAGCTGGTACAGAAATGTAACCTTGTTACTATATTGTGTTACAAAGCCAGTTCTAATACATTTCTTAGAGCTGCCACCCTCTTTTTTCTCTTGTCACACCTCACACCCCCACCTCCAACATCCCCTCCCCAATGTCACCATCTCACACCCCCACCTCCAACCCTCCCCAAATGTTGTCACCATCTCACATCCCCACCTCCAACACCCCCTCCCCAATATCACCAGCTCTCACTCCCACCTCCAACAACCCCTCCCCAAATGTTGTCACCTTCTCACACCCCCACCTCCAACACCCCCTCCCCAATATCACCTTCTCACACTCCCACCTCCAACACCCCCTCCCCAATATCACCAGCTCACACTCCCACCTCCAACAACCCCTCCCCAAATGTTGTCACCTTCTCACACCCCCACCTCCAACACCCCCTCCCCAATATCACCAGCTCACACTCCCACCTCCAACACCCCCTTCCCAAATGTTGTCACCTTCTCACACCCCCACCTCCAACACCCCCTCCCCAATATCACCAGCTCACACTCCCACCTCCAACACCCCCTTCCCAAATGTTGTCACCTTCTCACACCCCCACCTCCAACACCCCCTCCCCAATATCACCAGCTCACACTCCCACCTCCAACACCCCCTTCCCAAATGTTGTCACCTTCTCACACCCCCACCTCCAACACCCCCTCCCCAATATCACCAGCTCACACTCCCACCTCCAACACCCCCTTCCAAAATGTTGTCACCTTCTCACACCCCCACCTCCAACACCCCCTCCCCAATATCACCAGCTCACACTCCCACCTCCAACACCCCCTTCCCAAATGTTGTCACCTTCTCACACCCCCACCTCCAACACCCCCTCCCCAATATCACCAGCTCACACTCCCACCTCCAACACCCCCTTCCCAAATGTTGTCACCTTCTCACACCCCCACCTCCAACACCCCCTCCCCAATATCACCAGCTCACACTCCCACCTCCAACACCCCCTTCCCAAATGTTGTCACCTTCTCACACCCCCACCTCCAACACCCCCTCCCCAATATCACCAGCTCACACTCCCACCTCCAACACCCCCTTCCCAAATGTTGTCACCTTCTCACACCCCCACCTCCAACACCCCCTCCCCAATATCACCAGCTCACACTCCCACCTCCAACACCCCCTTCCCAAATATAGCCACCAACACCCCCACCTCCAACACCCCCTTCCCAAATATAGCCACCAACAAGCAACTTCACCTTATACCTCCAGCCTTTATATCTCAAGTTTTCTCCTATATCTAGTGTTTCTGTGTCCTGTACAGCTAACTCCTTTGATTTATATAGTGGTGTGTTCACCCAAGAAATAAAAAGGATATTAATAGGTCTAACCATATAGAAATACATCTAATGGTTTTTTAAAAACTTCCTTGATCTAGGAATGTAGGCCACATTCCTCAGTAAATGTGGAAATAGAAAATAAAACCTTGTTTAATGTCAACAATGTTATGGATAAGACATTTTCATTGTCAGTATCATTAGGGTGACGTCAACAACATTAGGCTGTGACATTAGTAGCAAAACATGTTTGATGTCTGCATTGGGATATGACTAGTTCATGTCTACATTAGGATATGACATTTTTATGTGAACATTAGTATATGACATTTATAATGTGAACATTAGTATATGACAATGTATTGTCAGCATTAGAATATGACATTTAATGTCATTATTAGAATATGACAATTTAATGTCAACATTAGACCATGATATTTTAATGTCGACATTGGAATATGACATTTTAATGTCAACTCTGGAATATGACATTTAAAGTCTACATTGGAATATGACATTTAATGTCAACATTAGAATATGACATTTTAATGTCAACATTATAGTATAACATTTTAATGTCAACATTAGAGTATTACATTTTAATATCAACATTAGAGTATTACATTTAATGTCAACATTAGAGTATTACATTTTAATGTCAACATTAGAGTATTACATTTAATGTCAACATTAGAGTATTACATTTATTGTCAACAATATGAGGATATAACAATAATAACAAAACATGTTTATTATCAATATTAGTTTGTACGTTAGTAATGTTAACATCATTATGTTATAACATTTTCAATAGATTGTATTGTACTGAAGTGTGATAAACTCTAGACACCATTGTATTGTACTGAAGTGTGATACAGACACCATTGTATTGTACTGAAGTGTGATAAACTCCAGACACCATTGTATTGTACTGAAGGGTGATAAACTCCAGACACCATTGTATTGTACTGAAGTGTGATAAACTCTAGACACCATTGTAATGTACTGAAGTGTGATACAGACACCATTGTATTGTACTGAAGTTTGATACAGACACCATTGTATTGTACTGAAGTGTGATACAGACACCATTGTATTGTACTGAAGGGTGATAAACTCCAGACACCATTGTATTGTACTGAAGTGTGATAAACTCTAGACATCATTGTATTGTACTGAAGTGTGATACAGACACCATTGTATTGTACTGAAGTGTGATACAGACACCATTGTATTGTACTGAAGTGTGATACAGACACCATTGTATTGTACTGAAGTTTGATAAACTCCAGACACCATTGTATTGTACTGAAGTTTGATAAACTCCAGACACCATTGTATTGTACTGAAGTATGATAAACTCCACACCATTGTATTGTACTGAAGTGTGATAAACTCTAGACACCATTGTATTGTACTGAAGGGTGATAAACTCTAGACACCATTGTATTGTACTGAAGTGTGATAAACTCTAAACACCATTATATTGTACTGAAGTGTCATAAACTCCAGACACCATTGTCTTGTACTGAAGTTTGATAAACTCCAGACACCATTGTCTTGTACTGAAGTGTGACTGCCATTCTGGTTTCAGCAGACACAGCAGGTGAGAAGTCTGAGGCAGATGACACATCAGTGGCCCCACCCCCACAGGCCAAGCTCAAGAAATCTCTGTGGACCTCAAAGTATGGCAAGACCAAGAAATCTTACCATCAAAAAGTTTTCAGTTCTTCAGATTTCAACAACTACATCAGAAGGTAATTCTTTCCTCTAGCTGTTTCAATCATCCATAATAAAACCATTAAAACATTTTTTATGATCTGCCTCTGTGTATTGCTTCTCTACCTGGCCATGGTAGCATACACTCAGGTGTAGAGTTATGACACAGTTACAGATACACTAACTAGTTCCAATTTTCTCAAGGTTCTTACACAAATGATTTCCATCTTTTTTTTCACTGAGTTATAACTACACAAGGCACATGGGATATCTAAAAATAATTGATAAAATTCTCTGGGATTTCATTTTCAGATGTTTTTTTTTCTCATTATACAATGAGATTTAAAACCAATAATGATTGATAAATTAAAATCTGCAATTTTTTTTTATTTTTTAATTTTATGTGTATGTTAAATGTATATTATGTGTATCTAGATATGGAAATGGCATTGACTGTGGAGGTAAACTTTGTCAAGATCTTGGCTACAGAGACCATTATCATTGCATGGACTGTCCACAGAAGGTAAGTCACTGACATAGACCATTGCATGGACTGTCCACAGAAGGTAAGTCACTGACATAGACCATTGCATGGACTGTCCACAGAAGGTAAGTCACTGACATAGACCATTGCATGGACTGTCACTGACATAGACCATTGCATGGACTGTCCACAGAAGGTAAGTCTCTGACATAGACCATTGCATGGACTGTCCACAGAAGGTAAGTCACTGACATAGACCATTGCATGGACTGTCACTGACATAGACCATTGCATGGACTGTCCACAGAAGGTAAGTCATCGACATAGAGCATTGCATGGACTGTCACTGACATAGACCATTGCATGGACTGACATAGACCATTGCATGGACTGTCACTGACATAGACCATTGCATTTACTGTCACTGACATAGACCATTGCATGGACTGTTGTATCACTGACATCAATGAAGTCCTAACGAGGAATTAACGATGTTAATGAATCCTTCAGGTTTTCATCAGGAAAGAAGAGATGGTCCGCCATTACAAGTGGCACAAGAAGCGCCAGGACTCTCTACAACATGGCTTCATGCGCTACAGCCCCATGGATGACTGCAGCAAGAAATATGACACGTGTAGCCATAATGGGCGACAGACACATTATCACTGTGTGCAGGTAGGGGCATTTTCACTGTGTGCAGGTAGGGGCATTATCACTGTGTGCAGGTAGGGACATTTTCACTGTGTGCAGGTAGGGGCATTTTCACTGCGTGCAGGTAGGGGCATTTTCACTGTGTGCAGGTAGGGGCATTATCACTGTGTGCAGGTAGGGTCATTTTCACTGCGTGCAGGTAGGCGCATTTTCACTGTGCGCAGGTAGGGGCATTTTCACTGTGTGCAGGTAGGGGCATTATCACTGTGTGCAGGTAGGGGCATTTTCACTGTGTGCTGGTAGGGGCATTTTCACTGTGTGCAGGTATGGGCATTTTCACTGTGTGCAGGTAGGGTCATTTTCACTGCGTGCAGGTAGGGGCATTTTCACTGTGCGCAGGTAGGGGCATTTTCACTGTGTGCAGGTAGGGGCATTTTCACTGTGTGCAGGTAGGGGCATTTTCACTGCGTGCAGGTAGGGGCATTTTCACTGTGTGCAGGTAGGGGCATTTTCACTGTGTGCAGGTAGGGGCATTTTCACTGTGTGCAGGTAGGGGCATTTTCACTGCGTGCAGGTAGGGGCATTTTCACTGTGTTAAGGTAGGGGCATTTTCACTGTGTGCAGGTAGGGGCATTTTCACTGTGTGCAGGTAGGGTCATTTTCACTGTGTTAAGGTAGGGGCATTTTCACTGTGTTCAGTTAGGGGCATTTTCACTGTGTGCAGGTAGGGGCATTTTCACTGTGTGCAGGTAGGGGCATTTTCACTGTGTGCAGGTAGGGGCATTTTCACTGTGTGCAGGTAGGGGCATTTTCACTGTGTGCAGGTAGGGGCATTTTCACTGTGTGCAGGTAGGGGCATTTTCACTGTGTTAAGGTAGGGGCATTTTCACTGTGTGCAGGTAGGGGCATTTTCACTGTGTGCAGGTAGGGGCGTTTTCACTGTGTGCAGGTAGGGGCATTTTCACTGTGTGCAGGTAGGGGCATTTTCACTGTGTTCATGCAGGCTGCTCTACTGTGTCTGCTGGGAAAAAAGTCTTCTTGTCCAATTTGACACTAAATAATTGACCATATCAGCACTCCAGGTGTCTATGTAAGCATTTGTTGACCAGTGTGTATAAGAGCTGCCCATCCTGTATCCACAGAGAGGCTGTGATAAAGTCTATGTCAGCACCTCTGATGTCCAGATGCATGCCAACTTCCACAGAAAAGACTCAGCCATCATCCAGGAAGGTTTCCAGAGGTTCCGTGCTACAGAGGACTGTGGCACCACCTCCTGCGCCTTCTACGGACAGAGAACAACACACTTCCACTGTCGCAGGCCACACTGCAATTTTAACTTCAAGAACAAGGCAGACATGGGTACACTTGTATTTCTCTTATGGGCTCACTCAGGGATACAGCAGGGTTACATGTTGTTGTTTTTTTAAATAATGGAGGAAAAAATTTAAACCTCATTGAATTTTTGTTTCAGAAAAACATAAAAGTTACCATCAGAAAGATGAAGTTTTGAGCCGGGATGGCTTCAAGAAGTTCATGAAGTACGAGCTCTGTCCTTTCTCTGGCTGCCGTTACTCCAAGAATAGCAATCACATTCATTGTATTAGACCAGGTGAGTCTTGACGTTTTGTGGGCTTGGGCTAGCTACAGGTGGGCAAATTACTTGACACTTTTGTTTGTCAGTATGTCCTACACCACCCAACTAACTTGACACTTGTGTTTGTCAGTATGTCCTACACCACCCAACTAACTTGACACTTGTGTTTGTCAGGCTGTCAGTATGTCCCACACCACCCATCTAACTTGACATTTTTGCTTGTCAGGCTGTCAGTATGTCCTACACCACCCAACTAACTTGACACTTGTGTTTGTCAGGCTGTCAGTATGTCCTACACCACCCAACTAACTTGACACTTGTGTTTGTCAGGCTGTCAGTATGTCCTACACCACCCAACTAACTTGACACTTGTATTTGTCAGGCTGTCAGTATGTCCTACACTCCACCGCCCAGCTGTATTCCCACAAGAGGAAACATGAAAGACGTGAGTTTGAACACGCCTACCGCAGTTTCCGCCACCTCCAGCAGAAACATGGTGCCCCCGCATCCAGCGTGAAAGTGGAGTCTTCCAGCCCTGATGAGCCACCCCTGCTGGTGCCAGCACCTGTCAACCTACCTGTGAGTTCTCTCAGCAACACCTCTGTAGCACCTACAGCACAGGTACATTTTTTCTTCTTCACCTGGTTTATAAATTCATGCATTTCATCTATTACATTGTGTCATTTTTTTTTTGTAATTACTTAATTCAATCTGATCAATCGATTTTAATCAACATTTTGTAAATTCAGACACCTATTCAAATATTTTACATTGTATAGTTTTATATTAGTTAATTAAATTTGATAAGTTGTCATTAGCATGTTATAAATTTATACATCCAAATTAATCTTTTACACTTTAAATTTGAAATTAATTAATTAAATTACATAAATTGCTGTATATCATTAGTACTTTGTTAACTGTCTTCACCAATTATTCTCTTATAATAGCTAATCAATGTTCTCTAGAAGGGGGACAACTATTCAGACACCAGTAGTGGCCACCACCAACCCTGATGTTTCCAACTTTTAATATTGTTTCTTGCTCTAACATCCAGCAGTAAAATGTCTCTGTTTATTCCACAGAATCCTACCATCACAGCTCAGCTGAATCCTCCCATTATAACTCCCCAAAATCCTGCAATTATACCCCACTTGACCCCTTCCATTATAACACCCCAGAATCCACCTATACCCCACTTGACCCCTTCCATTATAACACCCCAGAATCCACCTATACCCCACTTGACCCCTTCCATTATAACACCCCAGAATCCACCTATACCCCACTTAACCCCTTCCATTATAACACCCCAGAATCCACCAATTATACCCCACCTAACCCCTCCTAATACTAATCTTCAGAATTCTCCCATCAAAATTCACCAGAAACCTCCCATTAAAACCCCTGCCATTGCAAGTCAACAAAAAACCCCACTTGCAGAAGTTGCTGAAAATCCTACCCACAGTGGTTCACCAAAGCTTGGCCTTGACCTTCAGACCATGCCACTTAACCCTGACCTTCAGAGCATGCCACTCAACCTCTCCTGCCAATCAGACTTGAAAGACGAGGCTTTGAATTTAACCAATCGCAGAAGCCAAACACTGGAGAAAGCCTCTAATGATCCTGTGACACAGTTACCTGTGATCCCCACCCCGGAGGCTCCACTGACCAGTGGCTACAGCGGAGATGGCTGCATAAAACTAGAACCAGAGGACTTGTCCATGAAAAACAAAGTTAGCTTGAAGAGCACTGGAGAGGGAATAGATGTAGGTTCTATACCTGAGCAGGACAGAGGAGTTTCAGTAGAGGAGCAGGATGGAGCAGGTTCAATACCAGAGCAGGATAGAGAGATCTCCCAGCAAAGTTTTGAGGATAGCTGGATGGATGATGAGGATGACGATGATGATGACGACGACAAAGACTATGGGCAAGTGGAAGAGCCAACCCTAGTGAATGCATCTCTGGAGGGCGACCAGCTGAACACTTCTCTCAACCTCTCTGTACTTCCCCTGGAGGGAGTGAAGGATGAAGTACAAGTACTTGACCCCACACTTCCCCAGGGGGCAGTGAAAGTAGAGGTGCCTGCCCTGGGCCTGGAATCAGCTCCAGCCATAAGACAGGCCCCCCCACCCCAGACTGCCGCAGCCAGTCTGGATTTACTGGCTGCCCCACCCCACATGTCAACAAGCCCTCAAGCATTTATGTCCCAAGGCAAGGTTGTGGGCGTGGCACTGCCCAACCGTCCTACACCTGAGAAAAGAGAGCGAGATGAATCTTGGAAAAAATACTTAATTAGGTAAACCTTTACAGAACATTGAATCACAAAATATTTTTTCAAGTGAACTTATATATAGAAGACTTGTGTAAAAGATAGAGTTAGATAGAATTTTTTTAATTTTTCAAGCCTTAAATATTGTATTTTTTAATCCCATTTACTTGTTATTTCTTATACCATAAGAGTTCTCCTATATTTGAAAGACAAAAGATTGGTCTTGTTCTGTCTGCAGGTACACAGCTAATGACGCCTGCTACTCTCGCTGTGTCTGTCTTTACAAAGATCATTACCATTGTCGCATTGAGGGGTGTCAGGTCATATTTAAATCAAAAGATGGAGTGAGGGGCCACGCGCGGCTCCATGACATCCAAGACTGCATCACACCTTTAGTGTACTGCCACTTTGGGCCAGATATAGGCTGCACCCTGCCTGACTGTCCCTACAGCAGGAAAGAGAGTCACTACCACTGTAACTGGGTATGTTCTACAGCTATACTCATTACACGAGAACATTCAAATCTATGTTTTAGTCATGTGTTGTACAGCTATTCTTGTTACTGCTCATTGACACAAGAAAACTTTCAAATCTATGTCTTGTCATTGTCTTTTGTTTAAAAATAAAGCACAAATTTTTAAAAATTCTGGTCACCTTTCCACAGACCAATTGTTGCCAGGTAATCTCCGGCTCTGCCCCAACCTTTGCCAGATTGGAACACTACAGGATACATGACTATACCACAGCTGCTGTAGGCAAAGGTCGAGGTAATTTAGGCAAGTTATTTACTATAGCGCTTTTTCTATACTTAGTCCATGTTTACATATACAGCTTAACCAGGTTATTTTTGCTGAAATTTTATGATATGGATAGGGAGAATTAGTTCATTTTTATTGTATGCAGTTTTCAAAGTTTACATTTAGCTCTACTTGGGTTTACATATAAAAGTTGCTGCCTTTTTTTTCTCCAAACTCTCCATATTATTGTTTTTCTTTTGCTCTGACAGGTTCCAAATTAGACCTTGACCCATTACAGAAGCGCAGAGGTCGTCCACCAAAATACCCCAAATACGACCTGCCCAAGGTACCCAAAGTTCACCTGACAGAGAGGGAGATCACAGACTCTACTATAGCCTTCATGCACAACCTGTGTGATGAAAACAGCAAAATCATTAACGGCTTCAAAAAATTTGTCGTCCCTGAGACCTGCCCTGATGAGGAATGTGTGTTCAAACACAAGGACCACTACCACTGCGGCCGCAAGTTCTGCCACATGGCCACAGACATGCTGGACGTGCTCAATGTTCACGCTAAAGAATTTCACAACAACGTCACCATCCTTGACGGGTTTGAGTTCTACGAGCGGATGGTCAACTGCCGCAGGCCCGTGTGCCACAACAACAAAATCAACCGCCACTTCCACTGCACCAGGTCCAGGTGCGACTACTCGTTTGTGCGCTACAGCACCATGGCCCAGCACAACAAGAAACACCCGACTGTCACGTCTGCTGTACTATCCACGCCAGTCACTCGTACAGTCAATGCCACGTCTGCTCTACAAAACAAGGTCATCACGTCTCAGTACATCCCCATTGCCCCAGCGGTCAACGCCTCCGTGTCCCACACCAGCCCAGCATCTCCTTTAGTCATGTCCTCAGCTACCACCCCCATCACCAGCCCCAACATCATCACCCCCATCATCACCAGCCCCAACAACAAAACTGTCAAGTCAGCCGGCACTTTTTTCCCTTTGTCTGGCCCATCACACTACAAGCTCACACCTGTGGCCACAAGCTCCCAGCCTCTGGGGGAGAGAAGTGGCGCAGTCCTGTCCCACTTCTCACAACCCCTGACCACCCCCCAATTAGGGGAGTTAAACAGCAAAGTCCTGTCACAGTTGTCGCAGTCCCTGACCAAATCCCAGCTAGGGGAGATAGGTAACCAAGTCTTGTCCCACTTCTCGCAGCCCCTGACCAACTCCCCCAAGCTTGTCTCCCTAGCACAAAATTTGCCACCAAACGGTGGAGCCTCCCTGTTTACAAGTGGTGGGGTGTGTTTAGCCCTCCCGCCTAACTTAATGGGCACCCACATCCCTGTCATCACACAGAGCAGCACACCAGGCATCCAGACCAGCCTGCTGGCAGGCCTCATACCTGTGGGCCAGCTGTCTCACCAGGGCCTGGCCAACCTCCCCGCCACGCAGCTCTTCACAACTCCCCAAGGTCACTTCCTTCATCAAGGTCAACTCGTGTCCCCCAATGTACTCCAGCTGATCTCCCCTCCCAGTGCCAGCACACCCAGCAAGGCCCCGACCTCAACACCAGGCACAGGTCAAGGTCAGTCAACAAAGAGAGGTCAAGGTCCTGCACCAAGGGCAGGTCAAGGCCACTCACCGAGGCTGACAGTCCTTCTCCAGCAGATGCAGCAGCAGGGCGTGAGCTCTGAGCTGAACTGGCCGAGCTTAAAGAAACAGATGCACTACTCTGTGGAGCTGAACTGCGGGCGGCCCTTCTGTAAGCTGAAGAAGAAAGACCACTACCACTGTCTGGACTGTAACCAGGCCTTCTCAGACCCAGCCAGGCTGCGAGCACACATTGGGAAACATGGCTTCAAGTTTCACAAGTCTGACCTGGCTCCACTGGACAAGTCTGATCTGGCTCCACTGGACAAGTCTGACCTGGCTCCACTGGACAAGTCTGACCAGCTCATGCCGGTGGATCTATCTGTGTCCTCTGAGAAGAAAGAGGAGCAGGCATCTGAAGAGGAAGACACTGAAGAGAGGGCAGTGAACCTGTCCCTCAATCTTCAGCCATCTTTATTTACCAGCATGGTGACCAAGTCTCATACACCCCCCAGTATTGTCAACAGTGGGAACACAACCCCCAACAAGACTGAGCCCCCTAGTACACCTCCGGGTCTGATGATGACCCCCTACAAGACTGACCCCCTTATGATGACCCCCTACAAGACTGACCCCCTTATGATGACCCCTAACAAACCCAGCCCCTCCAGCTCACCTGTCAGCCTGAGAGCTAAGCTGTCAGAGATGGATGAGGAGAGTGACGGCCTGGATGACTTCAGTCACTCCCACAACAGCCGTGACTCCCAGCGGGATGAGTACCTCGACTCTCCGTCATTGATCATTGACGACAGTCTGGACAGTAGTGCAGAATCATCATTAAATGTCTCTTCATCAAGCTTAACCCTGTGCTCGTCTTTATCCAGGAAATCTGAGCGGAAACGCACCTACACCAAAAATGAAGGTTTCATCAACACCGACGCATTAGTCATTCCCAAAGCTCCAAAAGTCAGGAAGACTGGCCACGGCACTAAAACAGATGCGGATCTCCCTGCCGGATACAAGCGGGTGCGGTGCGGCGAGGACTGCGGACATGTGAGGTGTGCCTACAGACAGACTGTAACGCACTTTCACTGTCTGCGCGCTGACTGTGGTTACGGTTTCAGTGACAAGTCGCGCATCATGCAGCACCGCATCCGCCATGAGCGCCTGGACACGCTGATGGGCGGGGAGTTCCAACAGTTCAGAGCATCAGTCAGCTGTGAGCGGGCTGACTGTGAGTTTGATGCTAAAGCCTCCCACTTCCACTGCCTGAAGTGCCCCTACTCCTGCGCTGACTCCAGCAAGGTACCTGCCCATCGCAAGTACCACACCAAACTGGACAACATCAGCAGCAATGGCTTCACCAAGTACGCCGGCACAGCTGACTGCCAGATAGCATCCTGCTCATACTTCCGCAAGCAGACCCACTACCACTGTACCCACCCTGGGTGTAACCATGCCGTGCTTGGGCCATCCCAGATGGCACCCCACAAACTCAAACACGCCCAGCACCAGGCCCTAGGATAAAATTTACCTTATATTCTTCAACAATGCAATCCATTTTTCTTTGATAATTTATTTATATAATATTTATTTAACTTGTGGAGAAGTACTATCCAACATTTTTCAAATATTTGTGATTTAAAACATTATTAGAATATTTTATATCTTTATTTTGTGATATTTTTAATATCTTTTTGAATCCATTTAACATAAGCAGTGTTAGCATTCTTGAGACATTCCACCAGTGAAATTCCTTCAACCTGTCTGCTAGCCAGGCTTAGAGATCAGACAACAGAGTGGCTTAATAAAAACATGGAGCCATCATATTTGGAACTATCCAATGCTGTGCTCACATTAAATTTTGTTTAATTATCTTTAAATACAATCAGTGAAATCCATTTTTTCCAAGGAATCCGTTTCACGTATATGCAATACAATGTATAATGAATCATATTTAGTATGTAACTAACATAAATTTTCACTGTCTTTTACACATAACATAGGCACATACACAAGTATTTATCATAAATATATTATAACAAGTATGTTATCATTAAGATTATGATTTTGTACAATATTTTTAAATGACTCCATGTTTTAACTAGCATGTAAATCAGAAAAAAAATGCCCTCAAGGAGTGGATAGAAAACAGCTCAAGAGATTCACTTTTGTTGTGACTTGGGTGTTACACTGTATGTTGAGGCTTGGCCAGAGGAACATTTGTTGTGTACTTGTTAGTGTTACATCCTGCTGATTCTACCATCCTGCTGATAACAATTGATTATATTGTACTTTACCATCCTGCTGATTCTACCATCATGCTAATAACAGTTGATTGCACTCTACCATCCTGCTGATACCAGTTGATTATATTGTACTCTACCATCCTGCTGATTCTGCCATCCTTCTTATAACAGTTGATTATATAGTACTCTACCATCCTGCTGATAACAGTTAATTGTGTTGTACTTCCCATCTCTATTTCTCACATTTGAGAGTTCTAGCTGCTGACATGTTTTCTGTTACTTGTGTGAAAACTGCTTTATGTTACTTGTGTGAAAACTGCTTATAATAATGTTACAAGTGTAACTACTGCTTATAATAATGTTACAAGTGTGACTACTGCTTTATGATGTTACTATCACAATTTTATTTGTTTTATTTTTGTTTACCTATGCAACTGTACTGATGAACTGCTGATAAGACTGCTGATAACTGCTGATTTCTACTCACCACTTTACTTTGGGCACAAACTGGGCTTTTATTTGGTATGCAACTTTTGTCTTATGTGTCAACTGCTAACTCTGACTTTGTGTAAACTGATGCCAAGTTTATCACACAGCCCACTAAATACATCCTTTGATAAAGATGAAATCTGGTGCATATACATTACTTGTTTTCAATGATATTTCAATAATTCTTCAAACTTTTTTAACATCCCACTTTTATACAGTAAACATTTTAAACACAAAACTAAGTGTATTTACACAACTATCAACTGACATTCAAATATAGATAGTGTAATGTCAATGTTTTTTAAAATACATACACAAATTTAGTAGATACACACATTGTGTGGAAAAGTATTTTTTAAAGTTTACCTTGATATGATTGTATGGATGAAAAAAAATTTCTCTCACTAAGCACGTTTTGTTTGTCTAAATTAAAGGTTGACATTGTTGGACTAAGAAAAGCAATTTTAGTGATTCTCAACATTCCTAAACTATTTTCAACTAAGCTGAATTTTCATTGAAAGTTTTTTTCATGTATATATTATATTTTTATAAAGACTTTCACATCACAAACTGCTGGCTGTTTTAGTGTTTATAAACTTTGTAATTTTTTATTTTTTAAAATCTTTCATTGATGTTATATTCTGTGTGATGATCTGTTTATGGATGCTGTTTTGAACCGTTTCTTGTACACAGTGATAGTTACATAAATTCCACCAACTTAAGCTGTGTCAGGTGTTTCAAGTGCTGAGGGTTTTTTACTGCTGGTTGTAGGTTAAGCAGTGCCCAGGTTGTGAATGCTTCTCCTTCATTGCCAGCTTGTAGTTTCAAATTTCTTCCTTTTTTTTCTTTATTTTATTCCAGTTTCTATTAGTTTCAAGCATTACTATTGAAACTTTTTTGAATAACTGCATAATTATTGTATCCACCAATTCAGCAATTTTTTTTATACATTAATGCCTTGTTACTATGAGCATTTAGGATTAAACGAAAGTAATTATCTGTGATGAAATAATCATTTCTTTTCTGTATTATTACGTTCCAGTCTGTCAATTTAAGAATTAAGATTCCATCTGTATTAGTCATGACTGTTGCTAACATGAATGTTTCTCTTAAAAATCTGGCCTTAAAAAGATATTCCATCCATGTTTAGATTCCCTGTTTTCACTTCCTATGCATTCCTTACAACCTGTAGTCACACACAAGATGCTGCTGGTTTGAACCTTTTCTCATAGACTGCCTCAATTCTTGTTGAATGTTGTTTACTGTTTTGTACTGCTGAAAAAGTCTTAGAAGATAATGAACCCATATGTTTGAGGTCTAGATCAGTCTGGATTTGTTGAAATTACTTGAAACTATTTAGTATATATATTTTTTGTATACAGCTATTGTTTTTAAGATAAACATTGAATTGTTAGTGTTGAAAGGGTTTACTGAACCTTCTACAGTTCTACCAGTAGCTAATACAGAGGTTAAGAACTGTGGATTGATGTTGGATGGTTTTTGTAGACATTGTGGATGATGTAATCAGGTTCTTGTAAACATTGTGGGTTAATGTTATAAGGTGGTCAAAGCCTTGGTGGATCAATACTCCATTCTTCTAGCATTCATGGATCATTACAGAAGACCCTGAAAACTAAGTTCAAGCAATAAGAGAAAGCCAGGTTTGATCACATTGAACTTTACTGTTGTTTTTACCAATATCATTGTATGAGGACATTCTTTGAAATATTAAAAAAAATGTTTTTTAAAGAAAATGATCTTTATAATTGCATTGAAAGAAAAATATTTTTTAGAACACAAGCCTCTAAGATTTTAATTGAAAATATTTATAAATTCTTATTTTTTAATTTTACATTTCTAAAGTTGAGAAAAAAATCTAACATCCTGTAGCTTTCAAACCTGAATCACATAGATCTAGTATTAGCTCACCGATTGATAATGTAAATAAAAACTACAAGTTCTGTAGAGCATGAATGACCTTGAAACAATGGCAAAATAAATTGTGTTTTTATTAAAGAAGAAGATTAACTTCAATTTATTTCTAATAATTATTGGTTTTCCTTTGAAGAACATTTTTAAATCAAAATATTCAGAATAATTTTAAAAATGCATTTATGTTTTGATTACTAAGATTACATATTTTGTTATGGTTTGATTACCAAGTTTACATAATTATTTTATCACGTGATGTGTCATTTCCATTGATACCTTTTTTCTTTTTATGTAAGCTTCCTAGAAAACTTTCTTGTGATGTTTGCTTCTTGGAGATATTTTTTTGTATTTACTGTTCATTTTTTGTCCTTCATATTTAAGGCAAGTACTTATTTAATTTTTTTATGGGAAAGGTGATATTGTAAGCATGTATATATGGACAGTACTGTTGTTGAAATATGTTCCGTTTGTGTGTTTCAAAATTCTTGTTTCATTTTTTTACTATTATTTATTCTTGAGATTAGCGATGTTCTAAATTATATTAAATCAAAGATTTATCCATCATAATCAATAATGCTACAATTTTCATCCAAAGTATTTTTTATATCTCCTTTGCTTTTGTAATGCATTGAGTATTTGCTGTCTGGATTAGGTTTATTTGTCTTAAGTTCCTTCATGAACCAATGATGAGTTTGTTGTGACATTGAAATGTAATAATTCAGGTTTCAGTAAGTTTTAGTAGGCTCTATGCATTTTACTCTGTCAATTGAAACCTCTCTATATATTTTATTAATGTAGAAGAGTACAGATAACATGTTCATTTATTCTCTTGTTTATTTTTGACTTCGTGTGAGAAAAACATTTGCAATAATATGGTTATAATTTAAATTTTAATCTAAATTATTTTTAATGATCAACTGAGATAAATTAATGCACTTTAGAAAAAGAAAGCCCTTTCATAAATAAGAATTATTTTTTTTAAATGTTAGATTTTTGAAAATGCCTTTGGAATTTTTAAGTTATTGTTAAAATGTGTAAGCATTGACATGACATTATAGTGATGTTGCTGATTTGTTGTAGTCCTTCTAAAACCTAAATTGTAATCTTTTCAGTAGATCATCATCAAACAAAATATTTGTAGATTTATTCACAATTTGAGAGCTAGACTAGTGAAACTGAGATAGTTGACTGTAGTATTGTCTCACTGTTGACATATCACCTGTCTTGTGTTCCTGATCAGTCTGTGTTTCCCCTCATCACTTTATTCATATGATTGTATCCAGAAGAGAAAATTATTTTTGCCTGAGTGTTTTTTTTTTCTAATAAAGCCTTAAGGAACAAAAATTTGAGTTTTATTATTCTGGTGTCTTATTTTTTATTCACTCAAACTGATAAAAATATTTAAGTTGCAAAAGTTTAACATATATCTGGTATTGTTTGAAAGCTCAATTTTTCCCTTTTCTAAAATATTGCATTATCTGTTTGCTATAACCATTACACGAACAGTATAAAAGCTTTAAACACTAAAACATTTGGGGTTTTTACTTATATATTTCCATAGTTCAGATGTTTTTATCTGCTAAGCACAATGTGCAAACTTATAATAAATGAAGCCTGTGTAGGTTACAGACAAGTCAGCACTTTTGGATGTCAGAGTGCTTCTTCTGCATGTTGAGTTGAAACACTGGTAAAAAGTTTAAACAGATCTGACGATTGTACACGTTCAGCCATATTGTAGGTTTTGTAAGCAATGATCACCTTCAGCAAAAGCAACAAAAAATACACGTGGGCTTGATGAGACGCTTGCAGGCAATACATTGCGTGTTTTTTCAGACAGCATTACACAACTGAAAGCTAGCAACAAAAATGTGCCAGACAACTTATCAACTGGGGGAAAAAATCAATGCAATGTTACCAAGAGGACAACAACTAAATGCAACTCTACTGTCACCCAGATAAAACTAAGTAAATGCTCATTACATTGCCACACATAGATAACATCATCATCGATCCACCCCACTACATACAATATAAAAGGAAAATCATCAAAACAATCAGTTACAAATGCCTAGGGTTAACTGTTGATCACAATCTTGCCTTATCTGACTGAATTCAATTACCTAACATTAAAAACTCTGTGAATTAAATGAGTAAATTAGTTTTTTTATATTCATTCAGTCTATGATGTGTCTTTTTTCTGGTACTTCATAACTAAATAGCATCCGCTCTTAACAATACAAAAAATTCTCATAAAACGGGTTGCTGGTTTATCAAATAGTAGGCAATAGATTCTTTCCTTAACGCTGAAATCTTTCCAATGGAGAAACTAATATACTCTATGGCAACTTTTATTCAACTTTCCCAAGGACAGCTTTACTTACTCAGGTGCACCAATCAATGAAACAATTTCATAAAATATATTTCAAACCAACCTAACTAATCTAAACTGAGTTATCACAAAAATCTCTCTCTCTTCTAAACTTATTTCAATACATATCCTAACTTTGTAAATATTAACATCTCTTTTCTAGATTTTAAATGTCTTCTTTTAAAAACTAAATGTAATGATAAGTATCATGATGAATGCACTGTTTGAAATCAATCAAAAAGTCAAGAAAGTTGACAATGTTTATTATGATGTTTTATAACAACACAAAAGCATTTTCAAAGCCAAAACCAACAAATAAATAAAATGTAATCTTACCATTTGAAAAGTTTCAAATGTTTTAAATCTCAAGAATGAAATTAATATTTGATAATAGATGCAGAAGGTAATGTAAAATTAAATGCAATCCTATAACAATTAAAAAAAATTATTTGAAATTTAAAATACTCATACTAACACTTATTTAACTGTGTAAGTCAAGCTATGATTTGCAATCAGAAAAATATTGTTTAAGCAAGTTTTATCTCTACTAAAAGAATCAAGATGAAATTCACAGCAATTTTCTAGCACACCATTTATTCAGAAACTTTTAATCATTTTATGTGAACGCACATAAGCACATGCACTAGATCTCAAATATAAATAATACAATACTAAAAATGTATATGTGTAGCATTTTTCAATTTTTAATAATAAAAATATAGTCTGATTGATATATATTAATTTTAATCAAGTCAATAAAATTCTAACTTTAAGATGGAAGTATAATATAAATACCTTTTAAGTTAAAAAAAAAAAAAACTCCAAATATAAACAAAATTCTTAAAAGTTTATGCTAAGTGTTTGTTGTATTATTTTGAAAATGTTAAGTTTTTTGAAAATGTTAAGTTAAATAAATTTTTCATCTAACACATTGCTTACAACATCAACAGTAATCAGTTAATGTTTTTGTATGAGCATTCACAGTTTAGCCCAAAACCTCTTTGTGACAGCAATTTCAAATTAAAACATGAAAACAGCAATCAAGAGAAAAAATTTTGATTTTCTTGAACTTTGGTTATTTAATCTTTTAGTTTCTTTTTTTTGGACTTTGTCTGGGATGGATTAGAAGCTTGAGGTTGTGAGGGTCCTCTTAATGGCCCTGCTCCATTTTGATCTCGCACTGGCTGCCAGTTAAGAGGCTTCTGTCTATACATACTCCAAGGTATTAGTGTTAACTGTAGAACATACATTTATGTTAGTTTAGACTAGGGAAACAAGAGAAATTTGTTTATAAGGCTAAAAATGTTTTATGATAAAAGTTAACTACCCAGCAGACACCTAAGATATTACAAAATTGTAAAATGAAGTAATCCATTATTTAATATACCTGGAAACATCATCAAAGATTAACCCAGTTATAGTATTATTAAGCTAATTAAAATATCTGAAAAACATCAGTCAGGTTCCAATTGGGTTCATTAAAAGACAAGAAAAAAGATTAAAGATGCATCTGTTGATGGCCAATATTCACCTAAAGAATAAAGATAACTGAAAACTATTTCAAGTTATTATAATTTATTATAAAGTTTTCAGACATTGATAAAAATAATTAAAGTTTATTATCCTCACATTAGAAAATAGATTATTAAAGACTTACCAGGGATGAAACTGCAACACCAGCAAATAATATGTACAGTGTTTGTGAAAATTGCTGAGTGATGTATCCCCAAACAAAACCAACAGCCTAAAAAAATAATTAAAGAAAAGTTATTTTTCTTAGACTAGACACACTAGTTTACAGGTGTGTGTTTGAAAAAAAGGGGGTGGGGGATAGTTTGGGCTTGAAAGAACTTTATTTTAAATTACTTCAAGAAAACATACATTGGAAATATTTTAAAATGGCATGGGAAATTAATCAATACTTTTAGTAAATTAAGATATAGACTTACAACTCCATTTTTAACAATACATTAAACATTTATTACTTACTGCAAATATAACAATAATTATCTGAAAATATCTTTCTGCCCTTTTTTGTCCATCAAAGTCCTGAGGAAAACAACAAAATGTTATATGAAACAATGTAATGTTATTAATGAAATAAAGCTACTAAAATCAATACCAACAACAGAAGTCCTACACATTTCAAACCCACTTAGTGAATTTTAAAAAGCTGTTGTTTTGTTTTTTACCTGATTCAGTGACCTCTACATATGAAGGGATAGTGTGGTCAGCACTTTGCCCAACCGCCTTCACTTCCCTAACATGAGTAAGGTACCCATTAGAGCTGGGTGGACTCAGGGACGTTATAGTTAGTTATACTGACTTCAACCTGATTTCAAACTCATGACTTTCAGGTTAGCAATGTTGTGCTCTACTGCTATGCCATGCCATTCCATAATGTTTTAAGAACACCCAAACCCCAAAACTGACTTCTTTGTTGATGGAAGCCATAGCTAGATGACCATTAAATTTAAAACATACTATTTCTTTTACAAGATAAAGTAATATAAAAATAAGGCCTTCGTAAAAATAAAGCCTGGTGAACAAGAATTAGGCCTACATAACTAAACAGGTGTAGACTAAGCTAACTCTGAAGAGTATTGATGAAGGGGTCCTACTGGCAAGGGTCATATTCAATGAGGCCATTGTGCAAGAGACTGAGCCTCTATGGGAACCTATTGGCAGAAGCCCTTTTGTCGGAAGCCTCAATTATGTGAGAATATATCATGATTCATGACGGGGTCCATAAATGATTAATCACTGACAAAGTAGATTTCACAGGCTCTTTTGCCTAGGCTGTTTTATCAGCACCCACATAATTTCACATATGGATGGGATGTCATTATTAATTATTGTATTCCTACATGTTAAATAATTAGTAAAGAAATAGATCTAGAATAGACTCTAGATCTACATATTTTAGTAATTATTAATTATTATAATGATATAGGCCTATATAATATATAGGCCCTATAGTGGCCTTTAGTCATATAGTGACATATAGTCATATAATTCATTTAAAATAGGAAGCAACAGTTGAGTTGTAGTACAGTCAGTTGTCACAGTACGGTTGAGTATGTACAGTAGTGTAGTGTACAGAGTACAGTAACAGTAGTTTACAGGTGTACACTGTTCAGAGTACAGTAACAGTAGTGACGTGTACATCAGTGTACATTGAACTACATACATTGTACTCAGTAGCGTAGCGAGGTCGGGTGTCACCCGGTGCGGCATTTAATGGTGTCACCCCCCCCCAGAGGCGTAGCAACCCTTCCCGGAGACAAACTTTCAATTTTCTATTTGCACCCCCCCCCCTCAAACTTTTGATTTGCACCCCCCCAACTCAAATTTTTCTCTATATATTTTGCTATTTTTTGCCTTGGTGTCACCCCCCTAAATGGTGTCACCCAGTGCGATCCGCACCCCCCGCCCTCGCTATGCCTCTGATTGTACTTATGTACTAACTAAAGTAAGCAATGACAGTCAGAGTACGTCAGTCAGTCGTACATTACGCTGGGTTACAGTTGGGCTACAGTTTAGATGAGTTTGGTTTACAGTGGTTTACACACACATCACACACTACACACACATTGAAAATTTGTAAATTTGACACAAACAACACAGATGTGGATGACAAGTCACAAATTAGAAACTTTTTACTACAAAGTACTACAAACTACAATTTACAAACCATATGTGTTGGAATGCTTTTTATTGACTCTGGCACAAAGGGTAGAATGTATTCCATTTTCTTCTAGATCTATAATCTACTACTCAACTGACTCAAGAGAAATCCCAGTTCTTTATAGAATCTAGATCTAGATTCTATATTTGGTGTAGTAAACTAAATAAAACTAGCCTTATCCTATTCAAAATATGGGCAACGTAGCAGTCCGTGTTTTTACCAAAATCACTTCAAAACAACCGTAACGCTTCCACATCTTTAAAATAAACGTTATTATAATAATGGTGCAGCAATATTTTAATATATTTAAAGTCGATCTAGATCTAGTTATATACATAAGTGTTATAACTACATTAATAAATTAAATTTAAGTCATATTAGGGGAAGGCCATCCATAAATGACGTCACGCTTTTTTTGACGATTAACCCCCACCCTTTCCGATAAACATCGTCACAAAAAACAGACCCCCTAACTAAAATGACGTCACACATCAGCCTCCGATCCTCTTCAAAATTACTGTTAAACTACTTTTGTTTTAAATTCTATTTCTTTCTAAAAAAAATTGACCAAGCTCGGTTAACATTTTCAAAAACCCATAATAACGGGGAAAAAATTCAGTATCAAAATTGTTATTTTAAAACCAAAAGTGTTACGAAGAGATGCCTGGAAGAAACTCTGATTGTAAAAAAAAAAGTGACGTTATTAATAAACAACACCCCCCCCCCCCCCCCCCATCGAGATAGTCGCAAATGGTGGCGTAAGGTAGGTAGCGGCCGCCCCGGTTACCGACCATTAGAAGGCGCCAAACGCGGTAGAAAAAATAATAATTAAAAACTCATTTTATAGTTGCAATATTGAATTATTTAAAATTACCTAATAATATCAATAAATCTTTTTACTATAAAATTAGCAAATTGCATAGAAGAGAGGTGCAATTAATTGCCTGTTTCGTATAATACTGCAATTTTTATAAATAGACCTACTAAACGAGTTAGCAATAGCATGGTAGAACACCACTGCTTCTACTTTAAATAACAATCTAAAACTGTAATATAATAATTTCAGAATTGTGTAAGAAATAACAACCACGAAAATTGAACCTTAAATTTTTCCGGCTCCCAAAAAGGGTATTATCTCAGCAACACTTTGTCAACTTGATTTTTGTAAAGCTCAAGCCCTACCAATCGCGTCCAGAGCTTCTTCCAGGCAGAGCCCCCCCCCCCCCCCCCCCCCCCGAAGTAAGTCTACCGCCCCCCCCCCCCCCCGAACGAAATGAAATTTATATAGAAAATATATACTTTTAACAGTGTCCACCCCCCCCCCCCCGAAGGAAGTCTACCGCCCCCCTCCCGAAAATTACAAGTCTCTCCCCCCCCCCCCCCCCCCCGAGAAAAAAGTCAGGAATAAACACTGATCGAGTCTTCCCCGTTTCTCTTTTGTACGCTCGCCTTTATGGTTTTTTGGTCTTCTCCAATCCCTCTCTCCCCATGGTTTCCACACCGCAGCCCCGCCGGCCCAGTCCTAGTGGTGTTATTACTGTCTTTCTGGGTGTGTTCACTATCCACCGCATTTTCCTTTCTCTTGTTTTGTTACTTTTCTCCGAGCCCTACAGTGAAACAGACTTCACAATTGTGCTGTGGATCCAGAGTTGTCTTGACAGTGAATTTAAATTCCACATTTATTTTGAAAGTTAAAAGAGTCTATCTATCAAAATTACTAATTCTAATTTGAATGTCCTGGAATTGGCATTGCTTTTTTTAATCTATAAAAAGTGTATATAATGAAAAGTACATTCTAGTAGGCCCTACATCGATATGCGCTGGGGCGGTCTTCTCTAAGCAACAAAAAAAAAAAAATCAGACATACATTATTAATATATATAGGAGCCGACCCGCGGCCAGTGTTTCTTGCAGACTTTTTTCTCCGGGGGGGGGGGGGGGGGATGTCACTTGAAATTTTCGGGGGGGGGGGGGGGGGGGGGCGGGGGCGGTAGACTTTCTTCGGGGGGCGGACACTGTTAAAAGTATATATTTTCTATATAAATTATATAAATTTCATTTCGTTCGGGGAGGGGGGGCGGTAAAAATGTTCGGGGGGGATGCCTGGAAGAAACTCTGCCCGCGGCGTATCATACGCCGCTATTTAGTTGTTTTGTTTTCTACTTTTCAGTAATTCATTTGTGAATTCAACAGTATCAATGCTGCACTGAAAATATTTGCTTTAAAACACTATCAGATGGTCGTTAAGGACGATAACCCCCTCATTTCCTCCACCACCACCCCCCTTGAAAGCAAACTCCTCTTAGTTACCTCCCCTAAGTTTAAAATAGTTTCTAACTACATTATCTGCCCCTATTAGCCGTCACTAAACCCGGCTCTACGATTGTAAACATTTAGCGTGAACCACAGCTCACCAGACCATGTGGGGATGGGGGTGGTAGGGAGCGCGCTTACAGCTTGGTGTTTTCTATCGTCTCCAAGAAGAGAATTAAATATATACGAGCCGACCCGCGGCATGTCATACGCCGCTATTTAGTTGTTTTATTTTCTACTTTTCAGTAATTCATAATTTGTGAATTCGACAGTACCAATGCTGCCACTGAAAATATTTGCCTTAAAACACTATCAGTAGGTCGTTAAGAACGATACTACCCCCCTCCTTTCCCCCAACCCCTACCCTACACCCCCCCCCCCCCCTTGAAAGCAGCCTCCTCTTAGTTACCTCCCCTAAGTTTAAAATCGTTTCAAACTAAATTATCTGCCCCTAATAGCCGTCACTAAACCCGGCTCTACGGTTGTAAACATTTTTAGCGTGAACCACAGCTCACCAGACCATGTAGGGGGTGGGGTGGTAGGGGGCGCGCTTACATCTTGTTTTCTGGGGTCATCCATAAATGACGTCACACTCGTAGGATGGAGGGGGGGGGGTCCGTAATTTTGTGACGATGTGTGATGAGAGGGAGAGGGGGGTTCAGATGTTGCGACGTCACACTTTTGCATTATAAAAAAGCAATGTTAGAAAACTAATTTTAGACGTTATTCCGCGTTTTAGATAACTGTTTTAATAAACTGTAATAGTTTAGACAAGATTTTAGAAAAATATCGATGTTTAAAAAATTCAACTGCAATTTTGAGGGGGTTTGTAGGTTGAGGTGTGACGTCATTTTAGGGGGGGGGGTCTGGCTTTTTGTGACGACGTGTGACGGAGGGGAGGGGGTAGGTAAAAATCGTCAAAAAAAAATCGTCATTTATCGATGACCCTATAGCGTCTCCAAGAAGATAATTATATATATATATATATATATATATATATATATATATATATATATATATATATATATATATATATATATATATATATATATATATATATATATATATATATATATATATATATATATATATATATATATGTGTGTGTGTGTGTGTGTGTGGGTGCGCCAAATAGCTAGAGAGTTCACTTCGGTGACAGTTTTGTTCAGGCATCTATTCGAAGGGGGGCGGTGTTGGTGCCTTTCAAAGGACGTCTACCGCGCACCCATTCCCCTGAACGAAATATAATTCATTTAAAATATATACTTTTGTAAAATTTCCGCGCCCTTCCCTCTTCCCTGGAAACTTAGTCCGCCCCTGCCCCCAAAGTTTCAAGTACCCTCTCTCTCTCTCTCTCTCTCTCTTCCCCCCCCCCCCCCCCCCCACCCCGGAGGGAAAAAGTCTGAAACGCTTCCACTGGTCACTCCATTTCCACAAATTTATTAATTTTTATTTATCAAGCAATTTATCAGCCGATATAATGTTTTGCTTTTTTTTCTTAGTATACAAATAGTCTATATGCATTGATCGTGATTTTGTTGCCTGTTATTTTATTTTTGTAGCAAGGGTTTAATTTATAAAAGGGAGATAGTCAAAATAACATACTAAGTAAAAAATTCAAGACTAGCCTCCCATACAGCCTCGTTTTGGTTACTGGACTCCAATTCAGGAAAAAAAAGAAATAAGTTTGTCGCCATTTTGTACAACAAACTACTGTTATTGTGTACTTTCTCTGACTATTGTGCCTCCTCCGGGATGGGGGAAACTAAAATCATCTATCACATAGATGATGAAGATACACCGTATTTAATTAAACTCCCCATCCCTGCTGATAGGGTGACATTAGGTGACTTTAAGAATGCATTGAATCGGCCAAACTTCAAGTTCTTCTTCAAGTCGATGGACGATGATTTCGGGTAAGTTTTTATTTTTATGCCTAGTTTTATGAAGAGTTGTCAGTGCCGTTTAGACCTTGTCTAGATTTAGATCTATACCAAGAATAGAGCTATTATTCTGTACATATCGCCACGCACTTATTTCTCATATGATTGCCATTATCTTTCTGCCTGCAGTGTTTCATTGTATGTTTATGCTTGGGCTTGTTGCAATGCGAATCCATCTGCAATCATAGATTTTTGTGTAGTGACTAAACTGAGAATACTAGACTAGAGATCTAGAGTAAAGTTCCGCGTGTGGTCACACATCGCGAAAAATTCCGAACTCCCGATTTTCATCGGGTGCTATTTTGTAACCGTTTCACACAGAAACAAACCGAAAGTACTTTATTACTCCACTGCCATTCTACTCTAATATGCATGAGTTATTTTGTATTCATACGCATAGTATTTGAGATATTCATGTTTTACTGACGAACCTCCTTGTGATCTACTTTTCCCCCTTTTTTTTTTGCTTGTGATCACCTGTCCCTGCTTGTGGTCACTAGCGTATTTTTTCGTTTTTATCCAATTTTAATAATTGAAATAAACATTTTACTCATTTAAACGTGTTGTTGATTGTATAATTAATTAATAGATTTGCAAAACCAAATAATAACACGTTAATTAAATTTATGAACTACAAATTACGGATGACCCAGTGATGACTCAAGGGACGCAACCAGAATAATCATAACAAAGGGACATAACAATCACTAACAAGACAAAACTTAACATTTGCTTCGATTGGATTGTATGTAGAGACACAAACTAGATTTAGAAGAAGTAGATGATTGAAATAATTTAAAACAACAGAAAAAACTAGAAATTATATAGGTTCTAGACTTAGCTTGAAATATAGAGCATCTAGATCTAGGCTAGTCTAGCTCAAGTCGTTGGTGACCACAGCGAGGGTAAAACACAAAAATCGTTACCCCAGCTGTGGTCACCCCCATTTCACCACTAAGATTCTTTTAATAGCCTTAACTACAGTATTTTCAGTGTCCCGCACATAAATAGACCTATTTATAGTTAACCTAGTTATAAAAAGCTTTGATTGGTTGGTTTTATTCATCTCATCCGGGACATAGTGCTTTTCATACGGGGGAACTAGAATCGCCTACGACGTCATACCTCGAAACTTGAAAATTTAAAAATTCATCTTCCAGAAGGAGGGAAACAAAAGAATTTGACCTGGATATATTTAGAAATGGACATGTTTACAGCAGATATTGGTAGTTTCGTATAAAACATCCAAACAAATATTATACGAAGCCATAAACATGAATGTGACTACACCGTGGTTTTGACCACACGCGGAACTTTACTCTAGATCTAGACTTCTAGATCTAGATCTAGAGTCTAGATCTAGAATTCTAGTCAAGTTTAGATCTCTAGAGTTTAGATCTTCTAGATCTAGAATCTAGCTCTAGTTCTGAGTACTGATTGGCACTTATTGCAGAATGTGATTGTTCAGTCAGATTGTTTGTTTAGTTTAGGCAAATTTAATTCAGTTAGTTCAAATGTAAACATTTTATTAGATTTGAGTGGTAGATATAAAGATAAAATATATTTTATATGAGCTAATTAGCTAATGAGTTATGACACTAACACTGTGTGTGTAAATGTCATTTGATTAATGTCTAGTTCAGATGTCAACCAAAGCTAACAACCCTATCCTTAACTATTTATAATAACTAACAGTACTAGATTTCTAACACCAATTAGGCCTACTAAATTAGGCCTAATTAGTAATTTCAACAATCACTGTAACACTAATCCTGAGATTACAACTAACAACTTTACATACCTCTATTTTCAGAAGACATCAGTAGTAATTGTATTAATACCAATAATGGGCTGTAGCTTTTAATGTCCAAAATATTTTCAGTTTTAATGTCAATCAAATCATCCCTCCAAAACTATAGATTATTTATATAGATATAGCCTAAGGCTAATACTAATAGCCTAGGTGAAGTTGATGTTATTTTATTTTCTAGTATTTAGATATTAAATTTAATAGCATGGATCTTGTAATGTATCTCATCAAATACTTGATGATTAAAAGTAAGGATTTCTTATCAACTGATAGAATTATAGGTCATTTGGAACTGCCAGTCTATAATATATTCAGTTAGCTAAGACCACTTTAACCGCTTCAACATAGTTTCTTTCTTGGATTCCCAGTGCAATAAATTGTAAGGAAAATAAATTAAAGAAAGTCAGGTGCAAACTAAGTATAAACAAGATTGGTACAAAGAATTTTCAAACCTCTTATCAGCTTATACATAAGAATTTTCAAACCTCTTCAAATAATTTTCAAACCTCTTATCAGCTTATACATATGATGTGGCATTGTGCCCTCTCTTGAGAGATGCCTGAAAGCATACCCACAGTAATTGATTGGGAACAGACACCCCGATAACTTTAATATAATAACCCATACTTTTTGTGAATCTACTATTTAGCAAACCAACTATTTAAGAAGTTACAGAACTTAAAAAAAAAATCCTTTTTAGATACCAATGCCAATATCACTAAACCTGCAAGTTTTAAATTTCAGATGTAGGCCTATTTTTATTTTTTCATAGTAATATCGTTATTGTTACATGTAAGATTATTTTAAAATAACAAGTAATAATTGTGTTTGACTTTAAATTAATTTTGAAAAAAACATTTCTGAACTCAGGGTGGTTAAAGAAGAAATCGTTGATGAAGATGCTACGTTACCTTGTTTCAATGGTAGAGTTGTATCTTGGGTAAGTCAGTTTTAAAGTTAAAAATTTTCATGATCATTAAGTTTTATGCTACATTTTATTGCCAACTATTAAAATTCTAATATTAAATTATCCCATACAATTTCTCACACAATATTTATTAAGTAATACCCTTCATTATTTCTTTATCTTTATTGTAGCTTGTAGCTGCTGACAACAGTGCATCAGACAACCAGTCAGTCACAGATTCCCAAACAGGAGATGTTGTTCAACTCCCAGCAGAGAGAGTTGGTGGCATTGGAGATAGCAGACCACCCTCTTTTCAGTAAGTTAAAAAATCACTGTTCACTATCAGAGCTTTTTAACTAAAACAAGTTTTGTCACTGTTTAGCTTTATGTATTTTTTTTTATGTACCTCTAAATTTACTTTCTTTCAATACTTTAAATTTTATCATTTATAGTCTGGGTATCTAAACATTACAATTTAGTGAAAACGACTATACATTTTTCAACCATCACAAGTTTTTTTTTGGAGTTTGAGTATTTAAAAATTTGCTCTTTGATAAGCAATTTAAAAAAAATTCATTCCTGAAAATAGTTTAAGTTTATTTTAAGTCTAAATAGCATAATAATTTACAAATGATATTTTAAAAGTTTGTAAATAAAACTTGGTTCCTATATCTTAAAGATCTAATTACCTTTCAGACATCCAATAAGTAAATGCACTATGCATGGTTAGGAAATACCTCATAATAAATATTTTAGGTGCATTAAGGTTAACCAATAAAATTGCCATTAAAGATATCTCTTTACAAAACATTTTTAATACTGTATCATAATAACTTTATTAATTCTAAGTCTACATGAGGAAAAACATTTTTCTTTCAGCAAGATGTGGTTAATAGATGACTACAAAGTAGCAATACTATATAATCTGTTGACAGTCAAGGCATCTTTATAGACTCCTCCTTCTTCATTCTTTATTCTAGTGTTGGAAGAAATACCATCCAACACATTAAGTATTACGTGTCAACTTGTTATTCGCCATATAGGCAGTTGACACCGATTTCAGCCTGCTTTTCTGTTTGGATTTGCTTCCATAGTCTTTGTCCAACCAAGAAAATACTTCAAGATAGCAGTTGTTTGATTTTGGAGTTGTCTCTTTTAGATGAGTGGCTGTACACAGCTATCGAGCCTTAACTCGGGACTTTTTGGTTCAGGACCCATGAGCTTAATCGACCCGACCATGCCGACCTTCTTTTATAGACTCCAACAATCCTTAAAATATCAAAGAGCCTATGACACTGAAACCCAGAATTTTATGTCTTGAACTTACATTGAATATTTCAGTGCCAATGCATCTGTAGTAAGCCGCGACGAGCAGTGTGACACGTGTACAGATGGGGAATCAGTCTTAAGTGGGGCCAGAAGAGGTATTTAAATGTTAATCTTTTTAATAGTATATACTTAACTTTCATACATCATAAGTTTTCATGGAACAAAAGGATTACTATAATTTTCATTTACAATTGTTTTTAAAACGTTTTAAAATACTTTAGAATACAGTAAAGAACATTTAGTATTTTTCAAGTGTTGGTAAAAAAAATTATTTGGGATATTATTCATTAACACAATAGAATAGATCAAATCAAATGGCTTAAAAAAAAAGTAGAAATAGCACAAAACACTGTTTTTTTCCCTACTTTTTATGTAATCTTTGCTCTAAGTGAAAGCATTATTATTGCATGATACATAATGATTCCGGTGGTGTTAAATTTAAAACTTCAAACTATTTGTGGCTTGTCTCATTACTTACTTTACTTTATTTATTTATTAACCACTGTCTCTGATTTTGTTAAAATAATGTAAATAATTTTTTACATCTAGGTCTTTCCTTCATTTACATAATGAATATTGCATGAACAATGTTGAATATAATTTTAACAATGGAATAAATATTTTTGATTTTAACAAATAACTAAATACAGAATTTTAAATTGAAAAATAAGTTATGTATAGTGGTAGGCTTTATTTTCTATTTAAGTTTTACTATTATATAAAATGGTTTTAGCTATTTTCTTATCTTTTTTAGCTCCTTTTTATTTAAAACTGAGGGTGCTAAAACACCTGTTGAAACATTTGACTATTCCCGAGTTTTTATAACTATTGCCCCTAATATTTACTTAACTCGATTTCATTATTATTATTATTTGTTTTAAAAAATACAACCCTGAATGAGTGAGTCTGAGAAAATTGCTGTTAATAAAATATCTCGTGTCACTGACACAGTATCTTGAGGATTAAATTTTTTCTTGTTTCCCTACCTTGGTAACTATAGTTGGACCACCTCAGCACGTAGGAATGCCAGGGGTTGCCTATCGCTTCAGACAGTCTGTGGCGAACAATGGTAAGAATCAGATTGAGAGATTTAATTGTCATTACCTTGTAAACGTTTGGTATTTAATTTTTACTTTCAGTTAGAAACTTCTGTTTTCTTTTCAATTGACTATGCTTATAAAAAATATATGTAAAAATGTATGAGTGGTTTTGAATTTTTTGTGAAATAAAATTAATTTGCTTTTATTTTAACTTTAACTAAGTAAATCAGTCTATAAATAACTAAGTAAACCATTCTATTAATGAAACTTAGTATAAACAGCTCAATTTCTCTCAATTCTATTTTCTGTAAAGAGAATCAGTGTCCAATTTCCGCACATTCTTTAGTCATTGCCACTTGAAAAAACCCACCTGTTCACTGTAGCACATCTTAAGCTTAGGTTTCTTATAAACTTTAATCTGATGCTTGAGGAAATGAGTTGATTGTTCTGTCTGTCTTGTCAAATTATCTGTCTTATTTGAATTATTTTCCGCGGCTTGTTGTTCTGAAAATTTAGTCAGTTATTGTAACTGAAATTTATTGTTTGTGAGGAAACATTGCATGTTTTCAATTCAGTCCCACCTCCTCCTCTCCCTCCACCCCCTTCCCCAATTTTGTATAAGCTATTTATAATGTCAATGAATATTAAAACACATTTTTATTGTACTTGATTTCAGATTTGTATATTTTATAAAGCTAGTGAATGTATAACAGATTTAGACCTTTCTTTATTTTGCATGATTTGGTTTCTAAACAAAAATAACATTTAAAATTCAGTATTAATTATTTTTAAAAACACTTAATATACTTATTTCAACCTTGCAGGTCATTTTATTATTATTCTAGATAGTAGAAATTTTTATTTATATCTTTATATAGTATCTTAAATATTTTTTAATTGATCTCTGTATTAAACTTAAAAAGTTGGTCTATGAAATTTCCCTTGTGTCTGCCTAATATAAAACATCTTTGTGTATTCAGCATTGTTACTTCTTGTAATAAAACAAATAGCATTTTTGTTTTAAAATTTTCCCATCTGATGGCTTATATTTTCAGGTCTTTCTTTTAAACCCAAATATTCTATTATAAAATTTGTTAAAATAATATTGCTATTGCTAAAAGTAAAAGCTTATTTAGTGTTTAAAAGTTACAATTTTTCTCTTTCAAAAAGTTATAGTTTATATTCCATTGTAGGTCCTAGAATAAATGGCCACAGTCATGTTAAACACGGACACAGAGATCCTCGCACACTGTATGAAACTTCTACAATGCTTAGTAGTGACTTAGAATCTACAAGTTTCATTGATTCAGAAGAAGATACAGCAAGCAGGTAGGCTAGGCTACTCCATTGTTTAATCATTTTAATTTTATAGAATTCCAATTTAAAAAGTTTTATGCTTCAATGAATTTAGCATAATAATTTTTTTAATAAATATCCACAGGTTCTCTACAGTTACAGACACAACAAGCATGTCATCTAAATATGGACGCCATCGGAGAAGAAGAAGGCGACATCGTCCTCCTCCTATTAGTCGGGTGGGTATCAACAAGGTATCTGTTTCGCCCCTAACTAAAACAGTAACACATTCCTTGCAAAATGAGGTATAAACAGTATTTTCAATCCTCTACTTACACATTAATCAGGAAATGGTAAAAATTTTTAAAAAGTTTTTTTAATAACATTTTTAGCATGGTTTTTGCCAACCTTATTAACTGAAACCTAGTAGAAAATGAAGAAAATAAATCAGGTTTTTTAAAATATACTTCCAAAGAATTAAATTCTTTAAATGATCAGTCTTAGTTATTAACTACTAACAGAATGTCAAGGATGTCTGTATAAATGATTTTTTTTAAAATTAATTTATCTTCGGAGAGCTGTTAGTGCAACAGATTTTAGTTATTTTATTTTTTTAGTTTTTACTTAATTATGAAAAATGCTCATTACTAGATTTAAAAAAAAAAAATATCAGTAAGATAGTATTTTCTGACAATTGTTAAAGATTCTGTCATTTTTTGTTAGAAGGCTAGTTGATTAGATTTTCTGTACATTTTAAAATTCCCTTTCTCATTTTTTTGTATGCTGATTTGACTGCATTTTAAACATTTACTGTCGTGGTAAATCTTTAACACCTTCATATTTTCTCTCATTTTTCCCTTACACCTTTTTTAGTATTGAGTGTGTGAATGATTTTCTATTACACAATTTTTTGACAACTTATGCATCATTTTATTGAAAACTTTAAAGTTATTGTATTTAATATGTTATTGACATATATTTTATTATAAGTTGTTAATCCAAAAATTTAAGTATAAAATGCAGTGTACTTTTTGAAAACTTAGTGGCAAAATAGAATAGAGATTGAGTAATATGAATTTAGTCAGTAATTCATTTGTTGATTAAATTGTTTGTTAATTTTCAGGCTTCATCTTTTAGCAGTATAACAGATTCTACAATGTCTTTAAATATTATCACAGTTACATTAAATATGGGTAAGTAAGGAGAGATGCTCAAACATTTTATTTATTGTATAATATATTGATTTATTTGCTTACTTGTCCACAAAACTAGGAAATTTAGGGCAGAAAAAAAATTCAGATTTCATATAGCATTGCAGTGAAATCTACATACCTGGATAAAGCTAAATATGTCTAATAGCCTGTTCATTAACTGACCTCCTTCCCAACAAAACTGTAGTAGCGCTATGTTTGATTTTCATTCTGAATTTCTGAACAACAGTTTATGATTTTTTACATTTCATAGCTATTGTTAATATATTTTTGCTTCTATTTGAACTTGGTTATTTCAGATACTGTCAACTTTTTAGGAATCAGTATTGTTGGTCAAAGCAACAAAGGTGGAGATGGTGGCATTTATGTTGGTTCTATAATGAAAGGGTCAGTTTTTTTTATTTAACTTATATCATTATTGTATTATTATAGATTATTTTATTTGGTTGTTAATTTGAGTTTTTAAGTTATTTTCTTTTACTTTCAAAAGAAATACATTACTTATGCAAATCCTTTAAATGTACATATTTTTAGAAGTGTATTAAAAAATATAAAATATGCTGTCCTTGCAGTGGAGCAGTAGCACAAGATGGTCGTGTTGAGCCGGGTGATATGATTCTTGAAGTTAATGGTATTAGCTTTGAGAATATGAGTAATGATGATGCTGTTAAAACTTTAAGGGAAGCAGTTCAAAAACCAGGGTTTGTAGTAATTGATATATCTATATCCAAATCATCAAACATTTGTTGTCTTAATTTTTTTCTGCTCTTAATGTTTTTGTTTTGTTGCTAAATGAAAGTAATTTTTTAAAAATGAAACTTGAATCAATAATGATATTAGTTGTAAATGTTTTTTTCAGTCCAATTGTTCTAGTCGTTGCCAAATGTTGGGATCCCAATCCAAAAGGATATTTCACAGTCCCTCGCCAAGAACCAGTTCGCCCTATTGATCCATCAGCTTGGGTTGCTCACACAACAGCCATGAGAGAACAGTATATGGGTCGCACAGGCCCCAGCGCCCCATCAATCAGCAACATGACTTCAACCACCTCCTCATCACTTACAAGCTCCATACCTGAATCAGAACGAGGTGCTTTTGCTTTCTACCAACTATCCCATTAGATTTTATTTTCTTGCAGAAAGTATCACTTAATGGATAAGATTAGTGTATGGTGATAAGAAACTAACTTTGACATGGCTTGACAGTTTTAAATTTACTTTAATATTAAGTAATTATAACAATAATTATTTTCTACAGGTTTTGATGACATGAATTTGACAATCAGTACAGATATGGCCACAGTTGTGAAAACTATGGCACAACCAGATTCAGGACTTGAGATTAGGGACAGAATGTGGCTGAAAATTACAATAGCAAATGCCTTCATAGGTAGTTGATCACTTGCTTATTTGCTTGCTGTTAAATCAATTGTTTATTGAATTTTTTAATCCATTCTCCTAAGCAGCTTGTTTTATAATTGGCTTTAATTTGTTTTAATAAATATATTTAAAAAGTTATATGGCTCCTTTTGCCTTGGAAGACAATTGATGTGCCAGAGAAGGAGAATTTAAGGATGACTAAAATATGACTTGCATTTTGTTTCAGGTGCTGATTTAGTAGATTGGCTATTTACACATGTAGAAGGTTTTGCTGATCGAAGAGATGCTAGAAAATATGCATGTCATTTGTTGAAAGCTGGATATATTAGGCACACTGTGAATAAACTTACTTTCTCTGAGCAGTGCTATTATGTATTTGGTGATTATTATGGAGGTAATTTTTTTCTTCATTTTACTTGCATATGATTAAGATCTAATTCCATTTGTTGAAATTTAAACATATTGTCCTATTTTTACCTTTTTAAAGTGTGTTAAATAATCAATAAATCCTTTTTTTTTTAACATCTATTTAGGTCCACCCATATATCCAGGTATGTTATGTTTTTTTTCTCTCAATGGTTTTGAATTGTTCCTTGGCAATTAAATTTGATGTTCTTCAATAATAAAGTATTGTAAAAGTAAAATATATTTATATTTATTTAAAAAAAATAATTTTAACAAGTCAACTTATTTTATGTGTATGTGATTGTTAAAATGTTATGTATTACAGATCTGGCCTCACTCAATTTAGAAGATGTTGATTCTGTATCTGAAGCAGACAGAGACACCCTCGCACCCTTGCCTCCACCATCATGGTCCAACAACCAGTTCCCTTACAGCTCTAGTTCATATTTGCCTCAGAATGTACACTACATCCCAGCCTATGTCCTCAACAGTGGAGACAATGCCAGTTTTGTGGGTAGTTTTGTGGATGTACCGCCAGGTGTACCGTCTCCAGGAGGAATCTCCGTACCTGGATTATCTGTAGGACCAGTTAGTGGCGGAGGTAGTGCAGGAAGTGTGCACAGTGCCTCAGGTAAGCTCAAAGATGATGTCAGTATAGAATTAAGCTACAGTTTTGTTGTCAATAATCATGGTTTACAGAAATATTCTCCAACTTTAAAAAATATATTCATCATACCTGAACCCATTAGCACTAAAAGTATTTCTTTTAATGTAAATGCTTATGGCTTAGTGGTTGTAACTTGTTCTTGGACCATCTGCTTCAATGCTATAGCATTCATGACAAAGTAGTTACAATTTTCCCCCACTTAAAAACTACTAAATATTTGTGCCAGGGATTACAATCATTAAACCTTATCTAAGAGCTTGTATATATATAATTGTACAGTTGTGTATTTTCCACACATTCCTTGCATGATTGTTTTGTGTTAGTGCTTTTCTTGTCAAACTCCTGCATGGCACCTAACATAAGTAGAAATGTAGAAGGGCTAAATAAAGTCTTTAAATGTCTCTTTATCTACATTTTGTCGTAAAAAATACATACACACATAACCATGTAGATGTTGGTGAAATGGTAATTGCTTTATCTAATGAATCTATATTTGATGTACATTTTATAGAAGGATTGGAAGAAATGCTTGTCCTAGGTCTTGTCATCTCTTGTATTAGTGTATAAATTATTTCTTATTGCTGTTGATCTTTTAACTTGGGAACTTAAATGTCAACGTTTTCCTAAATGCTGCTTTAGTTCTTTGCGATAGTGGAAACATTTCTTGGCTACCCTATGTCATTTCTAGTTAGTTTTAGTCATCTGTGACTTAATGTATAATGAAATAATTTATTTTTATTCTAAAAAATAAAAAGGAAAATTTTAAAACTTAGTTCAACAGGGTAGTTATATTAAAAATAATCCGTTTGTTGTATTTGTCTGAAAACTGAAATACTTTTAAAAGCTTCAGGTGTAGTTTTTGTATAAAAAACAACAAACTTTTACTTGACTAGTCTGTTAATTAAATTACTTTTGCTTTAAAACTGTACCACATGATTATGCAACTGCTGTTTCATTATAAGAAGGCATGGCTTTTTAAAAACTCATTTTAAAGCTTTATGGTACTACAAAGTTTAATGTGTCATAACACATGATTCAAGTTTTTCTTACGTGAAAATTATTAAACTACTTTTCATTTTTAAAAAAATACCTAGCTACCTATTAGAGGTGTGAGATGTATATCAGATAAATTAATTTGGAAGTAAGGTACAACTTATCTTGTTAAAGATAAAGATTTTGAGTTTTTCTTAAAATTAAAAACAACTCAGTTATAGAAAAAAGCTTAAAATTATAAAACAAAATACTAGTTTTAAACTTTGGTAAAATTAAAAATACATTGTTACTTCTGCACATTAAAGTATAAACTTAGAGGGATAGAGGTTATTATAACTTGTTGTCTTGACAAATAGCATGGCTTATTTTCTGTCAGTTAAACTAGCCAATTTAATTTTTTATCATCTAAACTACTTGCTCTTTTCAGTAAACCAAAAACTTTGTATTTAATGTAAACATTAAAAACCATACTGTGGCTGGTTTTTAAACAGTACAGCATTAAACTAATTAAAGCAGGAACACAGATAAACTAAAAAGTTTTTCAAAGGTTTATAAATAGAATATTTAAGTAAATTGACTAATCTGCTTAAATTAAAATCTGCCACCTACTAATGGTATTTAGTTTCTGGCTCAATTGGCAGAAATACAAAGATGTTTAAGATAGATGCCTCTCATGTGAAATTATCTTATAAGTAACATCATTACAGAGAAGCCAGACAACTTATGTATTAATCTCTCTTTTTATTTGATATTAGGCATGAAATCCTGCCATCATTGGTATGCTAACTTTATTTCTATTCAGATGATTATATTGGCTATAGCCAAGGCTCCCAATAAACATAATGGCTTTTCCTCATTAGCTGATTAAATTTGTATTGTTTGAATAAATTGTAGGTTTTTTTATTATTGAAGTCATGATACATTTCTTATTTATTAAATAAATGCTACACTTATTATATAAATGTCATCTCAAGAAAGATTTTGTGAAAACTTAAAAGCTATTTTAAGTAACTTAAAGATTCTCTATAAAAAAGTCTCATATAAAATCTAATTTGTAATGTTAAAAACAATTTTCACACTTTGTTGGTTCTATTCTCTAACTTGTTTATTTTTAAATTCATTTTTCAACTTTTTTTTTTTAATTTCTTGTTTTGTTTTTCCCCTTTTTCTTCTTCAAATCAATGGGTTTCTTGAAAGAGTTCTAAAAGAAGTGGTGCCGCTATGTTTACCTTACCGTTTCAGTTGTGGGTAAAGATTGTGCATGCTTGTCCAGCACCTATAACCAGCTGAAGAGACTGTGGGAAAACAAAGATAAGCAAAATGCACAACAGCAACAACACCTTCAGCATGCTCAGGTTTCTACCGGGCCAGGCAATATGAGTGATCACTCCCATCACTCGTATGCCAATAACTTTCTCCACCAACCCACATGCATGAGGAATTCCAATAGTAGTTTAGGTTTGTTTTTATTTTCAGTTTTCACAAAAACATTAGTTTTGGCTTTGTTTTTTATTTCATTATTATTTTGCCAATCAATTCAAGCTTTTTTTTTAATTAATTTATTTATTTATTTATTTTTTTCTTCTATTTTGCTTTTTATAATTGTTTTATCTATTTTAAACTGCAAAAAATAATACTAATTTTTTTTTCAAAACAGTTAATCATGATATACAAACATGTGCTATTATAATCATTAAAGTAGTTTATTCAGTTAATTCCTTACAGTTTTCACTTCCAGCTTTGAATAAAAATTACTGTATTAATAATATTCAGGTAATTTATGTAAACACAAACTTAATACCTAAGTAAAATCAAGCAGTAAAGGAAATATTTTAAAAATCGATACAAAGAAAATGTGAATCAAAATTAAGTATTTGAATAATTTTCTAATAGAAGTTTGTTGTATACTACTTTAGTGTGAGATATGGAGTAGGTTTCAAAAAAAATAATTATAAGGTTTGAGCTCTAGGTGGGTTTGCTATTTGTAAAACCATTCGATGATTTTCTTTATGTTACTAAGGAAAGTCTGATTGTATTGTCTCAAAAAGACTGCTTTTTTTCCAACTATATCAGTTTAATCGAAATCTAGCCTTTAAAAACCTTAATCACTCTTCTAACACAAATATTTAACAGTATTTTAGTTTTTCTATGATTTGTATGAATGATATCTATTGAAGCTTTCTGCTTAAAATAGGTTTTTATTAAACCACATGTTGTTTGTGTTTTATAGTTTTTGTTTGATTTACTAACAAGTTCCATGACCTGAAGTTTGGTTATTCATAACTATTTTGGTTACTGTACATTTAAATTATACAAGTTAATAAGCTGTTATTTTTGCATTGCATTGAAAATTTATTGTTATTATAATGATTCACCAAGATGGCAGTGTTTAAAATTTGTGTACTGTCAGTTGTATAACTAGTTGTCGTCTTTAACAAATATATTGTTTTGTGTTTGTGTATACCGCTTTTCCAGAACCAGACTATTCTAACGCCTTAAAAAATGTTCACATTCTTTCTAAGTTTTGTTTTCCTTTACATTTATATTAAGCACTAAACGAAATTAAATTGTTGTGTAATAATGGTAAGAGTGATGGCCAAAAATGTTTCTAATCATGGATTTAGAACAAAATGATATATATATATAAATGAGTTATGGAGAAGTGATACACATTCATGACTTGTGACATAAATTTAGTTTAGAATGTATTGGACACATGTTGTAGCCCTTGCATGTTGTGTAGGAACTGGTGACTATAATTTTTTAGCTTCTGTTCAAATGTTTTTCAGCAAGAAAAATACTTCTAAAACTTTAATAACCCAAATCATATTCAGGTATAGCTGTGATGCAAACTGTTAATTTTTCAGTTCAATTTCATGGCATCACTTGAAATGGAATTCTCTTTCCCCCTCCCCCCCCCCCCCTCCTCCAATCACCCTTCTTTTAAAGCAATGAAAACAAACTCAATTTGTAAAAAATATACTTGTGATTGTTTATAGTTTTCTTAAGTGTGGTAAATTTGTAAACATCTTCCAAATATGAACAATCCAATGTTTACTAGAGTAGATAATATTATTACAATAGACTGATGGTAGCAGGACATAAACCACATGTATATTACCCACCCCGCTCAAAAACCTGAATAGACTTACTCTCAACCAAGCAATAAAAACCTAAACATTAAACAACCCTAATCATAAGGTAATGTTAGGAATAGTTAGCTTGAGGGAATCAGCTTATTTAACATTTTTTCAGTTACCCTGTCAAGGCAAAGTTAGGAATAAATTTTATTTCAATACTCTGTCTGCCCCATTACAGCATTGTATAGAATTTTGTGTTTCTCACTTTACCAGTAATGTATAACAAATATTCTTGAAAGGAGTTGATTATCATGGCAGGATGTAGGTAATGCCCTAGTCTGATTTTGATGTACTTGAGCATGTTACAAATATATTCTTCACTTCTTTTTAAACCACCCCTCTGTACCCCTTGTTAAAAACTCACACCTTTATTGCCCCATTGATCCTGATGGGATGTAGTACTCACTGGCATAACACATTTAAGTAGCAGCACTTTTTTTCCCTTTACACCAAAGAACTTTATTCAGAATTCATTTGTAAAAATGAAACGATCCAGGGTTTTTTTTTAAGTTTAGGTTAAAAACTAATATGATGCAATTATAATTAGAAACTTTGTGCTCATAATTTTGTTTGTTTGAAGTATTATGAGCACTAATTTTAAATAAATTGCTATTTAAAATTAAACCAAACTATAACTATAATTTTATAAAATTATGTTATTTTAATAATTAAAATAACTGCTATGTAAACTAACACTACATTTTCATTCCATATTAATAAGTAGTCCTACTTTATTTCATTTAATAAACTGTTTAGCAACACTTAAAAATAAACCTTTGTTTAGTAAAACAGTTTATATATATTCCTCAAATAATAATATGCTGGTTTTTTGTTTTTTTACGTTTTTGATTTGAATATTAATTCTTTCTTTTTTTCCCCCATCACAGGAAGTAGCGCATCAGGTAGCAGTAAAAAAGAGAAATCAGGAGGTAAATCAGGTGGAAGTGGCAGTGATACTGATGCAAGCCTAGCCAGTGCAAGAAGAGTAGGACCTCCATCAGCACAAGGAGCCCCGGGAGCACCGCCTATATCCAACTTAGCTACAGTACCCCCAGAAGTTAGCGGCAGTCGGCAGTCTTTCCGTATGGCTATGGGCAACCCTTGTGAGTTTTTTGTAGATGTCATGTAAATATTTGAGTCTATGTTGTCCTGCGTATCCAAAAGAGTGTGTGTAAATTATAGATGAATCTGGTGTTATGCTAAAATCATGGACATCTGTTCTCCTGCATGTTGGTGTATATTCCCAAATACCTATGTACAATCAAATTAATGTGCTTTGTATTGAAGCAAATAAATTAATCTGTATATTTTCATTTCATTATAAACAAACAAAATTGATCTATTTAAAGTTATTAAAAATGTTGTGTTGGGACTCTCCCAGTTTTATAGCCTACAACTGTACATAAATTACATATGTAGAAATTTCTTTAACTTAATGCAGTTATGACAATTATAATTGAGCAAGTTGACTGTAAGTCTTAAAGATCCAGTTAGTCAACTTCTGAAATCCAATAAAATTTATTTAAATCATTATCATGAAAATTTCAAAATATCATTCTGTAAAATCTTAAACTAAAATTAACATTCGGAATTACCGATCATAAATTTGGTTGTTCTTGAGAACAGATTTTACTTAAAAAAGGAAATATACATCTGTACTTAAAACATTTTTTCTTGTGTGTAGTTTATGAAAATGTTCATTTTTTCAAATCAACTATTTAGTTATGCTTAATTGTGTGCATGCATATGTTTTAATTAGCTTTTTAAAGGAATATTTTATTTTGTAAATGTCATCTTTCAGCAGTTTTAAAAAAGAAAATTTCCTTGATCTAAAAATTTCATTTCTGTTGATTTGATTGAATTAATATTTCTTTTGTCAAATTGTTTATTTGGGCAGTTCTATTGGTTTTTCCATAGTTCTCTCTTGTTGGATTTGACATTTTTAAAGCTTTGTTAGTTTTATAAAGGTTTTGAGACAAAAGGAATGTTAGTGGCCACATTTTGTTTTAAACAGTTTATCTGTCAGTCAAGATATTCTGTTGTTTTTTTTTACATGATTTTTGTCTAAGTTTAAGTTTATTATGTACTAGACCTAGTAATTTTATCTTTTAGTATCTACTTGACGTTTACATGTATTTCTGTTGGCCTTTATGTCAGCATGCATATTTAAGTAGTAAGTGGAATAACCTCTGACACTTTCATTCTCCAGCTCTCATAGAGGCTGAAGATATAGACTGATGATCACCTCATGCTTGCTGAAACACAGAACCTTCTAGAATAAACTATTTACCACATAGCACACAACTGGATCAGTCACACTATGTTCCCAAATCCAGACAGTCAAGCGCAGTGCTGTCCCTTTCACTGGCTCCTGTATATTATCACTACTTGTGATATCCCATTTTGTCCTGTTTACATAGTGGTATCTCTCTATCATACAGATAAATTTCAATTAATTTCTCAGCAGTAAAATGAAGCACTACGGTGGAAGTACAGGTGCAAAAGACTAGTAGTTGTTATAAGTAATTTATACCCTCAAATGAGAAATTGATTTTGTTTAAATTCATGTAATACCTCATCTATAGAGTGAAAACCAGGACCACAATTAAAGACAATCATTTCTCTCTCCTGCCATTCTCGAAGAACCACCTTTGTGCTTCACAAGTGTATGTTTGCTCAGTTTTCAAATAAGAAATGTAAATTTGTTGATTTTCCTTCATCTTGTACAGATTAATCACGTGTAATCAATATTTTTAATAAAGAAATTAGAAGTTAAATAAGAAAATCTTTGATACTTGTATAGAGGGGAAGTATCAACTAAAATCTTGTTTGGATAGATCTAAAAACAAAAAGAATGTACATGCAAGCTTTAAGTCTATGTCCTGGTTGTACTGCATGAGACTCATCTATATCCAGTATTATATGCTTGTAGGAATGATCACACACATAGGCAGCTCTAACCAAATGTAGCACATGATTGACTGCATTAATGACAGGCTTAACTCAACATGTAGGTTTCTCACTTGGCATGCATTTTTTATATCATCCATCTATTGTAAAGTCTTCATACCTACTAGATGCTGTAGCCTCTAACGCTCATGTACACATTTCATACACATTGCATCACTATTAGCTGTTTTCACATTTTATAAAGCTGAAGAGTGAATGTAATCAGCTGTTTTTAATGGTGATAGAGTGAGGCTGCTATTGATAGACCAGTGTGAACATGTTAGTCAGGCTGTTTATTTACATGAGTGGGGTTGTTAATTTACACGTGTTGATTGAGCTTGTAAACTTAATGTGCATATGCTGCTTTATATTAGGTATTGAATATGGGTGCTTTATATTAGGTATTGAATATGGGTTCAGAATTTTTAAGGGCATCCGCAATCTTTGTATTTTTGGATAGTTTTAAGATTTCATTGAGAATAGTGTATTTGTATGAAAAGGATTGATTTTTGGACAGTTGATAAAAATTTGGCTACATTACTGGGTAGTTTTTGTTTAATGTGAACAAAAATGTTATTTACTAGCTTACAAATTTTTAACATTTTATTTTTCACAATATTTTTATGGCATTGAACTAGCACTTATTGTCCAATATTGTTCTAATAGTATTTTTACAATTTTTAAAAATGATACAAAGTTTTAAAATGTAGCTAATTTATGATTTTGTCTAGTATACAAGAGAGCAGAGGTGTGAAACTATTTTGATACACTTGAGATTTACTCTGTCTTTGTGTTAACAAAATGTACATATGTTTTCATTTTATACTCCATTGTTAAACCTCTGTCAGTTTTTTAACTATCCTTTCTCCAAACATTGTAACATTTATAGGTTCCAATAAGCATGATCTAAATTGGTTTTGTCTATTTTTATATCAGAGTTTATTTCACTATTTGCTAAATTTGTGCCTGGTGCTATTTTTTCTAAAGAATGTCAGAATGTAAATCAAATGTATGTATGCTATTGATACAGAACAAATTTTTTTTTAACCCAGTGGTTAACATAAGAATTACTTTACACACCTATTGATGTAGCATCAAATATTAATGCTGAAAAGACACTTGCATTACACTCTCCTCCACCAGAGATGCTCTACTTAGTGGGCTTGATGTTTACAGTTAACAAAAAAATCAATCCAAACTTTCTGAGTAAAATAATTCAAAACATCAGTTTAGCCATTATTGTTTTCATACTTTTTAAAGTGCTTGTCACTATCAAGTTTGTTAAGCAGTAAATAGAAAATTTGTTTTATCAAGCTATACATTAAGTATTTTTAAAATCTTCCTTATAATTTGTTGTGTAAAAAAAACTTTGCTTCTTTGAGTTGTACAGAGACATAAATTATTCTAAATTTACTTGTTTGATTTTTAAAGTGATTATGTAACAAAATCTTCCATTGATGCAGCCTAATAACCTCTTCTGCTTGTATTAACATCACTTTTTGTTTGAGCGTTCAAGGTAAAATTTTATTTTAATACAGACTGTTGTCATGGAAACCCCATGCAGCTAATTACCAGAAGTAACTGCCGTCCTTAATTTATTCAGGACAGTTGTTAAAGATGTATTTCTCCACAAGTTTGCTTGTCTTTATTAATGTCATTAGATTCTCAATATATCAAATGCTGAACTGGTTATGTGAGCATTAGAATATAACTGATCAGTTTAGTAATTCACTTCAAATGAGTGTAAGAAGCAATTTGACTGTGTTACATATGATGTGTGTAACATGTTATGTGTGTAGTGTTTACCCTAAAGATCTGAGGTATGTTTGAGGCAAGGTAAACACAATATAGGATCATCTTATTTCTTATGGTAGAAAACAATCCGATGGTTTGAGTTTTTCAGGGAGCTGTCCACTTATCAAGTCATCAGAAGGATAGTATATTTTAAAATAACAATATTTACATGCATGAATTTTGTATAGCTTAGCTTATGCTAAGATTATTAGGAAAAGTGTAGAAAGAGGCAACCATCTTGTTTTCTTGTGCTTGAAACCACCATTGAATTTCAGTGTAAATAAAAATCTATTATAAACCATGCCATGTGCAATTGTAGGTACACATTGCTGAATGAGAAGCAAATTCAAAGATGTGATTGAGTGTTATTGTAACTATAGATTTTGTCTTTTTAAACTGGTGAAATTATGCCATTATTGATGATTGTACAATTTGTATATTATTTGATTAAATATGTCATAATAAAGACTTGCCTTTTGTTATTGAGTAAATGTGTACAATACAAATTATAACTACAGATACAAAAACAACAAAAAATTATGATTGAATGAAAAAATTATGTTTTCACAAAAACATTTACTATCTTCATGTTAACAAAGCTTAAGGGCTGACTTCAGAAATTTTTCAGTTTCAATATTGAAATAACTGTGCTTAACATAGTTTGCAGTGCCCACTTATAAAATGCCTTTAATTTACTTTAAAATAAATAACAAAAAGGTTGTATGTTGTTATGTAAAACTGTGATAGCAATAAAGACAAAACTTTAGTTACATAAAAATAATACAATAGACCTAACAAAAGAAATATTTTAAAATTGAATGAGATTCAACCAGCCTAGATACATTCAAAATAAAATATGTATAAACTTGTATCCTCCAATTTTTAATTTCTTATTTGTATCGCTATTAGATGTATAGGCCCAGAGTAACAACAATATACATTGTTTGTTTTATAAAGGTATAGATTTTTACATGTAATAATTTAACTTATATAAAACTGCTAGTAGAGCATAAATGATAACAATTAAAAAGTCCAAACTTTATCCTACATATGACTAGGTGTTTTAGGTTTTCCTAAGCTTGATGAAGACCCTTTTCTAGGACTACCTGGTGCTAGGGAAGAAAAACAAAAGACAAAATTTTTATTAACACAGCAACAAGAACAACAAAAAACAATGTTACCTCTTTCACACTAAAAATTGTTTTTTTTTCTTTCACAAAGAATCATAACTTTTACAAGACACTCAGAAATTATGTAAGTATCAAAAGACAAAGTGATGTTACTCTGCAGCAAGACAATCAGAAATAAAGTGACTCTACCATCACAAGACAATCAGAAATAAAGTGACTCTACCACCACAAGACAATCAGAAATAAAGTGACTCTACCATCACAAGACAATCAGAAATAAAGTGACTCTACCACCACAAGACAATCAGAAATAAAGTGACTCTACCACCACAAGACAATCAGAAATAAAGTGACTCTACCATCACAAGACAATCAGAAATAAAGTGACTCTACCATCACAAGACAAATCTGAAATAAAGTGACTCTACCACCACAAGACAATCAGAAATAAAGTGACTCTACCATCACAAGACAATCAGAAATAAAGTGACTCTACCACCACAAGACAATCAGAAATAAAGTGACTCTACCACCACAAGACAATCAGAAATAAAGTGACTCTACCATCACAAGACAATCAGAAATAAAGTGACTCTACCACCACAAGACAATCAGAAATAAAGTGACTCTACCACCACAAGACAATCAGAAATAAAGTGACTCTACCACCACAAGACAATCAGAAATAAAGTGACTCTACCACCACAAGACAATCAGAAATAAAGTGACTCTACCACCACAAGACAATCAGAAATAAAGTGACTCTACCACCACAAGACAATCAGAAATAAAGTGACTCTACCATCACAAGACAATCAGAAATAAAGTGACTCTACCACCACAAGACAATCAGAAATAAAGTGACTCTACCACCACAAGACAATCAGAAATAAAGTGACTCTACCACCACAAGACAATCAGAAATAAAGTGACTCTACCACCACAAGACAATCAGAAATAAAGTGACTACCACCACAAGACAATCAGAAATAAAGTGACTCTACCACCACAAGACAATCAGAAATAAAGTGACTCTACCACCACAAGACAATCAGAAATAAAGTGACTCTACCACCACAAGACAATCAGAAATAAAGTGACTCTACCACCACAAGACAATCAGAAATAAAGTGACTCTACCACCACAAGACAATCAGAAATAAAGTGACTCTACCACCACAAGACAATCAGCAATAAAGTGACTCTACCACCACAAGACAATCAGAAATAAAGTGACTCTACCACCACAAGACAATCAGAAATAAAGTGACTCTACCACCACAAGACAATCAGAAATAAAGTGACTCTACCACCACAAGACAATCAGAAATAAAGTGACTCTACCACCACAAGACAATCAGAAATAAAGTGACTCTACCACCACAAGACAATCAGAAATAAAGTGACTCTACCACCACAAGACAATCAGAAATAAAGTGACTCTACCACCACAAGACAATCAGAAATAAAGTGACTCTACCACCACAAGACAATCAGAAATAAAGTGACTCTACCACCACAAGACAATCAGAAATAAAGTGACTCTACCACCACAAGACAATCAGCAATAAAGTGACTCTACCACCACAAGACAATCAGAAATAAAGTGACTCTACCACCACAAGACAATCAGAAATAAAGTGACTCTACCACCACAAGACAATCAGAAATAAAGTGACTCTACCACCACAAGACAATCAGAAATAAAGTGACTCTACCACCACAAGACAATCAGAAATAAAGTGACTCTACCACCACAAGACAATCAGAAATAAAGTGACTCTACCACCACAAGACAATCAGAAATAAAGTGACTCTACCACCACAAGACAATCAGAAATAAAGTGACTCTACCACCACAAGACAATCAGAAATAAAGTGACTCTACCACCACAAGACAATCAGAAATAAAGTGACTCTACCACCACAAGACAATCAGAAATAAAGTGACTCTACCACCACAAGACAATCAGAAATAAAGTGACTCTACCACCACAAGACAATCAGAAATAAAGTGACTCTACCACCACAAGACAATCAGAAATAAAGTGACTCTACCACCACAAGACAATCAGAAATAAAGTGACTCTACCACCACAAGACAATCAGAAATAAAGTGACTCTACCACCACAAGACAATCAGAAATAAAGTGACTCTACCATCACAAGACAATCAGAAATAAAGTGACTCTACCACCACAAGACAATCAGAAATAAAGTGACTCTACCACCACAAGACAATCAGAAATAAAGTGACTCTACCACCACAAGACAATCAGAAATAAAGTGACTCTACCATCACAAGACAATCAGAAATAAAGTGACTCTACCACCACAAGACAATCAGAAATAAAGTGACTCTACCACCACAAGACAATCAGAAATAAAGTGACTCTACCACCACAAGACAATCAGAAATAAAGTGACTCTACCACCACAAGACAATCAGAAATAAAGTGACTCTACCACCACAAGACAATCAGAAATAAAGTGACTCTACCACCACAAGACAATCAGAAATAAAGTGACTCTACCACCACAAGACAATCAGAAATAAAGTGACTCTACCATCACAAGACAATCAGAAATAAAGTGACTCTACCATCACAAGACAATCAGAAATAAAGTGACTCTACCACCACAAGACAATCAGAAATAAAGTGACTCTACCACCACTAGACAATCAGAAATAAAGTGACTCTACCACCACAAGACAATCAGAAATAAAGTGACTCTACCACCACAAGACAATCAGAAATAAAGTGACTCTACCACCACAAGACAATCAGAAATAAAGTGACTCTACCACCACAAGACAATCAGAAATAAAGTGACTCTACCACCACAAGACAATCAGAAATAAAGTGACTCTACCACCACAAGACAATCAGAAATAAAGTGACTCTACCACCACAAGACAATCAGAAATAAAGTGACTCTACCACCACAAGACAATCAGAAATAAAGTGACTCTACCACCACAAGACAATCAGAAATAAAGTGACTCTACCACCACAAGACAATCAGAAATAAAGTGACTCTACCACCACAAGACAATCAGAAATAAAGTGACTCTACCACCACAAGACAATCAGCAATAAAGTGACTCTACCACCACAAGACAATCAGAAATAAAGTGACTCTACCACCACAAGACAATCAGAAATAAAGTGACTCTACCACCACAAGACAATCAGAAATAAAGTGACTCTACCACCACAAGACAATCAGAAATAAAGTGACTCTACCACCACAAGACAATCAGAAATAAAGTGACTCTACCACCACAAGACAATCAGAAATAAAGTGACTCTACCACCACAAGACAATCAGAAATAAAGTGACTCTACCACCACAAGACAATCAGAAATAAAGTGACTCTACCACCACAAGACAATCAGAAATAAAGTGACTCTACCACCACAAGACAATCAGAAATAAAGTGACTCTACCACCACAAGACAATCAGAAATAAAGTGACTCTACCACCACAAGACAATCAGAAATAAAGTGACTCTACCACCACAAGACAATCAGAAATAAAGTGACTCTACCACCACAAGACAATCAGAAATAAAGTGACTCTACCACCACAAGACAATCAGAAATAAAGTGACTCTACCACCACAAGACAATCAGAAATAAAGTGACTCTACCACCACAAGACAATCAGAAATAAAGTGACTCTACCACCACAAGACAATCAGAAATAAAGTGACTCTACCACCACAAGACAATCAGAAATAAAGTGACTCTACCACCACAAGACAATCAGAAATAAAGTGACTCTACCATCACAAGACAATCAGAAATAAAGTGACTCTACCACCACAAGACAATCAGAAATAAAGTGACTCTACCACCACAAGACAATCAGAAATAAAGTGACTCTACCACCACAAGACAATCAGAAATAAAGTGACTCTACCACCACAAGACAATCAGAAATAAAGTGACTCTACCATCACAAGACAATCAGAAATAAAGTGACTCTACCACCACAAGACAATCAGAAATAAAGTGACTCTACCACCACAAGACAATCAGAAATAAAGTGACTCTACCACCACTAGACAATCAGAAATAAAGTGACTCTACCACCACAAGACAATCAGAAATAAAGTGACTCTACCACCACAAGACAATCAGAAATAAAGTGACTCTACCACCACAAGACAATCAGAAATAAAGTGACTCTACCACCACTAGACAATCAGAAATAAAGTGACTCTACCACCACTAGACAATCAGAAATAAAGTGACTCTACCACCACAAGACAATCAGAAATAAAGTGACTCTACCACCACAAGACAATCAGAAATAAAGTGACTCTACCACCACAAGACAATCAGAAATAAAGTGACTCTACCACCACTAGACAATCAGAAATAAAGTGACTCTACCACCACTAGACAATCAGAAATAAAGTGACTCTTTAAGTACCACTTGTTTTTCCAGCGGAGCTGGGCCGAGGGCCAGACTCTGAGAACTGGGGTTGTGGCGGCGGCTCCTTGATGGAGCCAACACTTGTTGGTCTGCTCCCTCCACCTGCCTCAGGTGTTCGTGGTATTTTTGGCTTGGCTTGAAATGCAGATCTGTATTCATTTAGGCTGAAAAAGTTCAGAGGTCACATTGCAATAACAACATGTTTCTTTTATTTTAATATATTATTATTATAACATTTATTTTAGAAACTTTTAAACACATTTTCTGTTATGTTAGGATTAAAATTCATTCAGAAGTAAACACTGTGTTAGCTAAACCAATCAGGTAAAAATAGACCATCTTTTATAGCTAAAGTTTAAAAAAAACTTACTTAGCCTCTGGGCCAATTTTCTCCATTGCTTTAGTGGAAGGTCTGAATGCTCTATTGCTCTTTTGACTAGGTGGACGGAGATCAGTCTCTAGCAAATGTCAAGTTTTAAAATGTACATTTACATGTTGCAGGAAAGAGATTTTTGATTCTCAATCTAAACTAAATCTTACAGGTAAAGTTAATGAATATTTTACGGAAAGCACAACTGACATTAACAACAGACAGAAGATAATAAAACAAAAAGAAGAGTACAAGTAGAGACAGTATATTACAAGACCCACAGACAGTAGGCTACAACCGCCACAACCAGTAGACAACAAAAGACAGGCAACCTACTCTCTTGTGTGGAGGGTCTGCTCCCACTTCTGGTTGGTGGCCTGACAATGACAGGCTCTACGTCAGGCTGTGCGGTCAGTCCACCGCCTGCCGATGTCTTCCTACTGGCCTGTTTGCCTGACCTAAAGACAACAAAACTTCATACAACTCAAGTTTTAGAAACATCAACAATGTGAACAGAATGCTATGACAATTATACCTCATAAAATTTTTAAATAAGAAAAAAAAATGTCTGAAAATTCCTTTGGTGTTTATGTTTTTTATCACCTGGCTGCATTGTTATTGGAGTTGAGTGAATGATCCAAAACTCTACGACTTCCTGGGGTAGCTGGTCTCTGCAATGGCTCATCACCCAAAAGCTGAAAGAAATTATTTTTAATATTCAATATCTGGAGCGGTGTGGCAAGGGTGTGTACACTATGGGTACAAATAGATTTTACTCTGTTATCCATATTCTATTTTAGAAGAAAATAACCTCAGACACAAATACAAATATTTTTTTACAGAAATAGTTTACAAGTAGCGCTGTTACCTTTTTTCTCCGTGAAGCTGTGTTTGGAGGCCGTCCTAGGCTGTATTGTGACAATAATTTTTCTCCACTGAGTTCTCCTGCTTGTGGCCGGATGATTTCATCCTTATCAAGGTCAGCTTCTAACATTTCCTGATCCTCTTCTTCATCTTCATCCTCTTCTTCTTCATCTGATTCATAGTCTTCTCCACTTTCACCTGATCAGTTTGTTTTGGTTAAACATCATGTAATTGTTTAAAACACTTTATATATATATATATATATATATATATATATATATATATATATATATATATATATATATATATATATATATATATATATATATATATATATATATATATATAAATATATATGTATATATATATATATATATATATATATATATATATATATATATATATATATATATATATAGGCCTATATATATATATATATATATATATATATATTTATATATATATATATATATCTTAAATGTATATTATATGAAAAAACTGAAAGTGGTTTAATATACAATAAAATCACAAACGTTACAGAAACTTAAAAGGTAGATCAGAACACAATTAGACAAGGAAAAACTTACTAGAATTTAATTGTTTGATGATAAATTCAATTTGTCTGTTCATATCTGGTTCCTTATCTTTTAGAAAACATTTCAAAATTTCTTCCATCCCCTATAAATAGCATATTAATTTACATTTTAAAACTTTTTTTTTCTCTAAATGTTATTGATAAATTAACAGCTTTAGATTAATATAATAAATGATAATAAAGGATTTTATAAATGTTTCTACTTATAGATAGTTGTACAGCACTAGCCAAAAGGAATCAAAATAAATATTAAATAAATTTCAGCCAAAAATCATTTCATACCATTGCTTTAGCATTTTCACGAATTGATGGGATAGCTAAAATACTGTACAAAGCTCCATTGACATATGGTCGTATCTAGAAAACAAAACATAATTACAATTTAGCAAAATAAATTTAGGCAATTTACAAAATCTTTGGTGATATGTAAGTAGATTACGTTAAAGAAAAAGTTATAAAAATATACAAAAGGTCAAGAGATGAAAACAAGATACCTCAACATTATCATGTCCAAGTAGGTCACTTAAAACTTTCAAGGTCTGGTGAGCATTGCGTACACACCTTTTCTTACCTATTAGAATAATAATAATAATAATAATAATAATAATAATATTACCTCTTATAACAGAAAAAATATTTTTAAAATAATAAAACAGACTTCAAACACGTTTAATAATACTCCATTTATTAATTAATTCATCAAATCTTTATTTTTAAAATCTACAATTTTCACTCACCAGCAGTCCTGAGACAGAGATTCATCAAAAGAGCGACTGAGTATTCCAGTGTATAATCAGATAAGGAATCATTATCTTCTAGAACCCCAACTAGCCATTCTATCACTCCTCTCTCAATCATTGCAGACTGAAGCTGACGCCTAGATGTTGAATACATTTGGGGAGGTGTAGACAAAATAGTCACAAAGAAAGTTTAGGCGATATTGAATACATTTGGGGAGATGTAGACAAAATAGTCATAAAGAAAGTTTAGGCGATATTGAATACATTTGGGGAGATGTAGACAAAATAGTCATAAAGAAAGTTTAGGCAATGTTGGAAAAATTCAGCCACAAATTAAGGTGAGGCGATATAGATAAAATAAATAAAATTCATGATATGCAGATAACATAGAGCCTCAATTAAAGTCTAGGAGAAGTAATACAAGTCAGAACTTGGTTTTCTCCCATTTACAATATTAATCCAGATGCAACAAATGGAGTACAGGTCAGAAGTTGGATCTCTACCTGAGACTTAGTTTCTGTAGTGCTCCTAGAACCATTTCTTGGGCAGTTTGATCTTTGACCTCACTTCTGAGTATGTCCATAAGTGCTGGTAACAGGCCAGGGTTGGTGGCCAGGTAACCACGACCTAATTAAAAAAAATGTTAATTATTTTAAAAAATGCCCTTTAAAAACTTGATTGTGAATGTAGGTGTACATTATGATAAAAGCTGACCAATCACAATAAGGTTATTGGCTGTAAAAATAACAACACCAAAAAAAAACATTTGAGTAACAATGGTTGAAAACCTACCAGCACACATAGAGGCACAAGCATTGTACAATCTGGCAAGGTATTGTTTGACCACGTCTGAGCTGTTGAGCAGGAGATTCATAATGGTTTCCTGGCAAAGACAGGAATTACATTAGATTTTGAGAACATCTTAATATGTGTTGTAATTTAAAACTATGTGAGTGAATATCTTTGTTGAAACTAATTAAAAATGGACAAACCCTGTATGGCCCATCATTTGAGCAGCCTAAAATGTCATTTTGAATGTATGCACTCAAAATTTGGTCTCTCTGTCCAGCTCTTGTTCTTGTAAGACGCTGAAAAGTGTTTTATATTTATTTTCTTTTTCAGAACAATTTAGGTCTAATACATCCTCCATGTTTACAATTTTTTTTTTTTATCTACAGCTTATAATACAATAACTGGAACATCAAGTTAGAGAAAAAAAGAGTTAAAATAGTAAGTGGCTTCAACTTGGCAGTCTTTAAAATTTTCATAAAATGTTGAATAAACACAGCTCAGCATCAGTCTCTATATGAACTGTGTGGAATGTGTTGGTTTAATCACACTAGGAAATATTATTTTCATTGGTAAATAGTGAAGGTAACTCTACTCTTGTGATCAAATGATAAAACACTTTGTTCAGTCTTTGTGAAGATAAATCCCAACATTGTTAACTATTTTTTGGGTGCATATTTTAATTAGCGTTGACAAATTTCTCTAGGATTTAGTGTCAACTGTTAGCTGGGTCTCCCTAACTAAGATCCAACTTAGTAACCAAACTAGATTTACCAATTGTTGGGCCTGAGATATAATAATATTGTTGCGCCTGAGATATAATAATATTGTTGGGCCTGAGATATAATAATATTGCTGACTCAAATTACTAGCTTCTAATGATGCCATATACATATTCATGTGAGTCTTCATTATTTTAACACAGCATTTAAATAACTTACCCATCTTAAGGCTTGGAGAATAAGGGCTTTTTTTCTATCAAGGGCTTCTGTGATTTGGCTTTTGATTTGAGTAAAATCAAGGGGAGGGTAACTCTCATCAGATTCAGTAACTGGGAGACTGTTAAAAAATTAAATTCACCAGTTAAGCCAAATGTTTTACAGGCTGTAAATAGTCTTTTGCACAATAGTATTAACTTACGTAGCAGGAATGACTGACCATTAAATTATTAACTTATGCAGTAGGAATTACTGACCATAAAATAATTAACTTACGCAGTAGGAATTACTGACCATTAAATAATTAACTTACGCAGTAGGAATTACTGACCATTAAATAATTAACTTACGCAGTAGGAATTACTGACCATGAAATAATTAACTTACGCAGTAGGAATTACTGACCATGAAATAATTAACTTACGCAGTAGGAATTACTGACCGTTATATAATTAACTTACGCAGTAGGAATTACTGACCATTAAATAATTAACTTACGCAGTAGGAATTACTGACCATTAAATAATTAACTTACGCAGTAGGAATTACTGACCATGAAATAATTAACTTACGCAGTAGGAATTACTGACCATTAAATAATTAACTTACGCAGTACGAATTACTGACCATTAAATAATTAACTTACGCAGTAGGAATTACTAACCATTAAATAATTAACTTACACAGTAGGAATTACTGACCGTTATATAATTAACTTACGCAGTAGGAATTACTGACCGTTAAAAAATTAACTTACGCAGTAGGAATTACTGACCATAAAATAATTAACTTACGCAGTAGGAATTACTGACCATTATATAATTAACTTACGAAGTAGGAATTACTGACCATTATATAATTAACTTACGCAGTAGGAATTACTGACCATTACATAATTAACTTACGCAGTAGGAATTACTGACCATTAAATAATTAACTTACGCAGTAGGAATTACTGACCATAAAATAATTAACTTACGCAGTAGGAATTACTGACCATTAAATAATTAACTTACGCAGTAGGAATTACTGACCATAAAAAAATTAACTTACGCAGTAGGAATTACTGACCATTACATAATTAACTTACGCAGTGGAAATTACTGACCATAAAATAATTAACTTACGCAGTAGGAATTACTGACCATTACATAATTAACTTACGCAGTAGAAATTACTGACCATAAAAAAATTAACTTACGCAGTAGGAATTACTGACCATTACATAATTAACTTACGCAGTAGAAATTACTGACCATAAAATAATTAACTTACACAGTAGGAATTACTGACCATTAAATAATTAACTTACGCAGTAGGAATTACTGACCATTAAATAATTAACTTACGCAGTAGGAATTACTGACCGTTATATAATTAACTTACGCAGTAGGAATTACTGACCATTAAATAATTAACTTACGCAGTAGGAATTACTGACCATTAAATAATTAACTTACGCAGTAGGAATTACTGACCATTAAATAATTAACTTACGCAGTAGGAATTACTGACCATTAAATAATTAACTTACGCAGTAGGAATTACTGACCATTAAATAATTAACTTACGCAGTAGGAATTACTGAGCGTCTAAGTGCATCTCCAGCTGTGCCTGGCCTAGATAAATCCAAGGATGACTGCATGTGTGTTGTAAAAAGTCTATTACACAAGTGCTGTAAGTATTCTGGTGTGATCTGAAATCAAATACTCTGGATATATATTGGAATACATATCCGGCCCAGTGTTATATCCACAACTGATATGTAGGCCACCCATCCCAGAAATGACACCAAAAAACATACAGGGTGTGGACTCAGTTTCTAAAATGTTTTGATATCATGTAAAAAAAATACTCACATGTTTTCCTTGTACAGTGGACTCTAGAGCATCAACAAGATCTGCTGTGATTCCAATCAAATTGTGGTAGTCAGACTGAAATATATTCAGACAGACATTACAGAAGTATACCTAGATCTAGACAGGATCCATGTAACTAAGTTCTAGCAATCCATGACAAATATATTTTTTAAGATGTGTTAAGGTTATCAATAAAGCTCATTCTTTTCAAACTCAAAAGATCTATTCCACCATTTATCATGTCATTTTAAATAATCTGACACTTTATACTAACTTATCAATCAACCCCACTATTTAAAAAAGTCACTATTTTCTGACTTGAATGTTTTCATTACGAACTAAAAGAAATAATCACCTGAACTTTATTGTGTCGTTTCAAGTAGGCTGATGCTTTTTTTTCTGCATCAATGACTTGTTGGCTCATCAAAACTAGCTGTGGTTGCATACCTTTAAAAAAAATTATATTATGTAAAACAAATTCAACAGTTTTTCTGCTGGAAGAGACACAGATACCACAAATTTTAATATGTAATAAAAACTAAAATTATTGTTTATTTTTTTTAGAAATGTAAATTTCTTAACACGAAAAATTGTTTTTTTTAAAAAAAGTTTTAAAAAGCAGAGGCTTTACCTTTTCCTTCAGCACTTACTCCCCTCTAGAGTTGGGTTAAGGAAAATGTTCATCTTTTAAAAAAAAAAAATATTCCCTGTACATTGAAAACAAAGATACAACATCAATACAGTTATCTAGCATAACTGATTTATTTTTTTCAAATTTAAAAACAAACGTTATTGTGTTTGGATACATATATTTCAAACAATCTCGGCTGCGGTGTTGACTTCAAGGCTAAAGTCAAGAACTTCTCTACTCTTGACTTCAGATCAGCACTCCAGGATTCCTGAAAACAAAACATTTCAAGGCTTAATTAATCTGCAGATTGAATGAAATATTAACTTTAAATTCCAGAATAATTTTAAATATTTTTATTTGTCCCACATAGAGGTGGGCCACCAGGAACGTGCTATAACAAAACCTATTTGTGTTTTATTTATAAAAAGTATTTGTTGGTAGCTAACCCCCAGTTTCATGTGCGTATTTTTCCATTACCCATCATTACCCACAGAAGCTTACAAAAAGTGCACAATGAAAATTTAAGTCAGGCAGACTTCTTTCTTTTTTTAGGGCTGCTTGGACATGACTAGTCCACCCTTGGTCACACATGTACCACAATAAAAAATACAAGCCAAACTGAACTAGTTTAGTCATAAAAGTAAAGTTCTTTAAACTACTAACAAGAGTAAATTTTCTTTAAGACGGGCTAAAGAATAAACTGGATCAAGGAGTAGTTCCATTATTATTTCTCCAGCACTTACAAATAAAATTAAAACTAAACTAAAAAATCTCTAGAGTCAACAAGAAAAATTATTTTTTTAATATAGGGCCTATATTTCAACTTACGGCAAAGAGCTCCCTGTATGATGGATGAGTTTTTGGGTTTGTAACAAAAGGGAGAGCATAAAAAGGTAGAAATTCTGTTGTTTGACTAAGAGAAGATCCACGGTTTTCTATGTACTGTTTAAAATTTGACATGGCTTCCTCAGCTTCATTCTACAAGAATAAATTTGATCATTAAAATAAACACAATAAACATTGTTTCTTCATGCTATTTGTACTGCTTAAAATATAGGATAAATTAAAATAAATCAGTAGAGTAGCTCAAGGGTGGGGGGGGGGGGGGGGGGGGGAAGGAGACGATGACTAAAGGTCATTAACAATGCTCATTTTCAATGTCAATAACAACAATCAAAATTCTCTCAAAAATTACATTTTAAATCCAAAATAATCAGCTATGAGGTACCTGAGGTTGCCCGTATTTGATTGGATAGATGGCAAAATAAATATTGAGGTAAAATTCTAATTTTTTTGACACACTGTCTTCATTTTTAACATTTGATGGCAGATAGTCTCTCCACAGCTTAAAAAACAAGTCCCCTTTTCCTTCATGGAAAAATTCCAACATCTGATTCTGAAATTATAAATAAAAAACGTGTTGTTTTTCTTATTTTGAACAATTTCTTTACTAACCAACCTAATTCCTTACTTTAAATTCTTTAACTTTGAGTATGTGAGGATATTCTTTAACACTTTTAAAAAATGATATTTTTACCTTGGCCAACAGCACTTTTTCACTTCCATATGTAGGAAACTCTTGCTCAGAAACTGGTTTATTTTTCTCCTTGCACTCATTTTCAAATATTGCTTTTGTCTTATCAAAGCCGCTAAAATCTAAATACTAAAAATTAATTTTTAAAATTAAAGTTAGAAATTGAATTACATTTAAAATATATACAATTGTACTTAACTACTGTAAATGAAAAATTAATAATTAATGATGCATAAAAAATTAGTAGACAATTATTTAACAGAATTAAAGTGAAAATTAGATGTCAAAAGTTGCTGAAATAAAGAAATGTGTAGACTTTTAGTGACTAAAAAAGTATTAGAACGAAAACAAAAAGGTGTTAAGTAGAAGATACTTGTTATTTCTTTAGCTTCTGTCAATGGGTGATTTACAAAGTAAAGTCACTCATTCATCAATGTTTTCTTTCCATATAGGTATTTTGCTATTGTGCTCTTATTAAAAAGTAGCCTCAATTCCAGATTGCAAAATAAATGTTGATACAATTTTTTAAAATTTATTTTAATATCTGGATAAATTAGAGATGTTTTAGTAAGGTCACATCATGTTCATGAGACCTGTTTATGTTTTCTTCATCATTGGCTTACAGTAGATGTACATATAAAAAAATATATATATATAGACACTGTGATTTAATTACCTGCTGAGCTGGATGTTTAAAAACAGAACTCGACAATTTATATTGTTGGTTTTTTTTGTTTTTGTTGTAACATACAGATCTAAGTATTTTGATGCTAAGTGTAATGTGTGAACATGCTAATGCATGGTGGGTCATCTATTTATAACCACCAAACAGAGAGGGCCATGGGCCATGTGGTGTTCATCATAAACCCATAGTGCTAAACCCAACACCAGGATCCATCATCTCAAGACTCAGGTTGTGTTGTAATCATTGATTCACGTGTTTCAATAATGTATTTAGTTGTGTTAAAAGTTGCACTGTTAAAGTGTAAACAGTAAAGTATCAACCTACCTCTTTCACTATGGCATTTAGTTCTCCTTCAAAAGCAACCACTGATGCATTGCCAGACATCTTTTTGGAAATAATTCCTGCCAGCTTAAAAATGGCAAGCTTCAAAAATAAAAAAAAAAGTAACAAATAAATATTCCTTTTCCCCATTTGTACTAACAGAATGTCAAAGTGTTATTATTAGTCATGATGTAACACATAAAACAACAAGAATATGCTAGGACATAATTTTTTTTAAGTTAAATAAATGTAGCCTCTAAATCTAAAATAATTTTAATGTTCTCTGCATTAGCAAATTTTATTTAAATTCTTTAAATACAAAGCATATAGTTGGTGTTGGTAAAAGACAAGATGCAAAACTTGAAAAGGCAAGATGGGTACAAAGCCTTTTACTAGATCCCTTGATATTTTTATCTCATAATTTACTCAATACTAGGATATTAGGATACCTTATTATAGTCAATAATAGAGATACCAATGAAATGTTTCTGTTACTAGATATGGCAATAATCATTCTTTTCTACACAACTTGAACACAACCTTTCAACTTTTAGATTTAGTTTTTAGCTGCCACCTTAAACATATGACAAGTCCAAGAAACCTAAATTTTATTTGCTAAATATTACAGCACCATAAAAAGCCATGTTTTGCTGATGTAGAAAATTTATGAAGGGAATTGGTGTAATACTGTAGATGAGACTGATGTTGATGATGAAAGTGTTAGTGAGAGAAGCTAATCAGGCTAATGTGACTAGTAAATGTGATAAGAACATAACTATGTGTATTGATTAATGTGGTTTAGAAGACATAGCTAATGAGAGATGTGTATATAACAAAGTAATGCATTAAGTTGAATGAGCAATGTGTGAAATGTGGTATCATGAGCTTATAGTAAATTAGGTTAATTTTTTCTTTATTTGTGTCTGCTCTGTTTAAATTATATTACTTAAAAACATAAACAAGAACAATAACCAAAACTGTCTGTCAATTCTGGTTTAGTAGAAAGGTATAAAATACAAAATTATATAGAGTATAAAGACCAAAAGAATGAAGTCAACAGAATAAAGATAGAATTTCACATTGTGGCTGATATTCCTTTATAAAAAAGCCAGTTGCAAAAAAATTAAACTAGATATTTATTTATCTTACTATAACATTGTTTTCTGATTTTCTCACAAATTAACTGCAATTGCTATAATGTAATTTATAATTTAGTAGTTACCAGTGTTTCTTCTAGATTTTATACTTTCTGTTAAGATTTGTGTTTAAACAGGGAATATTGGTGCGAACGAATATTGGTGCAAAAGATAATGAATGCATTGAATAGTGACACGGTATACATGAATGTGACATTTTAGGAGTAGGATTGTTGTTGCCGTGGAAGAAGTTGAAATTATTCTTGTTCTTGTTGTGTTAAGGTGTGGTTGTAATGTGGTCCAGTCTTAGTATCGTTTATTCAAGTCGTCCGATGTATATATTATAGTGCAATAAATAGAAACAGTAAACAAGATTGTCCTGTCGAATCATTGATATACGTTAATGTCGTCGTGTTTCAAGATGAACTACTGAATGGCAAGATATAATAAAATGGTAGTGGTATCTGGATATTCTATTGGATCAAGTAGTTTAACAATCTCACTGCATAGCTGCGGGACACATAGAACTTAGTTATAATACTTTCCCATTTTGAGATTTTCATCTGGTATTTTACCAACACCCGCCTAAATTTAACATTTCTTCAAAAGGTAGGCCAGATATAAAACTCATGGAAGAGAAATAGATCCTGGAATGGACTAGAATCTATAATGAATTCGTAGTACAAAATTTAAACTTGGGGCTCAGGGTTAGATTACTAACTACTAGATACTTTATTTGCTAAAAATCATTACAATATCATATAGATCTATATGAATATGATGAATGTTTTTTACTGTGTTTAACAATAAGTAATAGTACTGTACTATTAAAAATTTAATAATGATATTGAATATTGATCACTTCGGTCTAACACTTGTTCTTATTTGTGTTCTTATAAAATACAAAGAAACAAGTAGTCTACCCTAACTGTAACTGTTACTGTAGTCAGTAGTGTTAGGCTCACACTACTCTACTAGTCTAGTACTAACAGTGCCCACCCACCAACAAGTAGTAAAAGTACAAGACTTGTACTATCAACTACATTACTACAAGTCAAGTAGTAGTTGCCAAATACTAGTTACTTGAGTAGTTCAAGTAGTTAGAACTGGTACACTGTCAATTAAAATTACTTGGGCTTGGGTTCAATCTTTCAATCTTTAACCCTCTTGAGACGCCCGGGCCGATCTATCGGCCGCCGGTTTTATAGCCAAAAAGACGACCGGCCGATCTATCGGCCGGGTCTCAGCCGTGATAGTAGGAGCCACACGATTGGCTTTCTAGTATCATATCAGCCAATCAGATTGCTTCTAACTGTTATAGTACATATCTAGCACTTCAATGGCGACTTCCATTGAAAGTTTGCCTCATGTTTTTGTTTTTTATCGATTTTTTTAGTGCCGTGAGTCCTATCGTAAATTTTTTTATGTCCAACAGTCCAGTCATCAAAATATACTAAAAATATACTTAGAAATTCTAATGTAGAAATAATAATTAGTAAATTAGTTCAGATTATTGAATAGATGTTTGTGTATTATTTAGATTACTAAGATTAGCATTACAGAGAGAAAAAACGTATTTTTATACAAATTTACTGTAATTTAGTGCCGTCAAATTTTTTTCGTGCATAAATTATGCAAATCAGAAAGCTCACATATATATATGTTGAGATTTTTATTAGATTTATAAAAATCATATTAGCTCATTCAATTTCCTAATAAATAATATATATTTTTATGCATGTAAAATAATTAGTTTATTTTTTTCAAAATTTTTTTGTGATGCAAGTGCAAAACTTGAAAGTAGGCTCCGTCTTCTTAGCACCGGCTCTCTAAAAAAGCTACGTCTTAAGAGGGTTAAATATTCTTTCATTCATTCAATTTCATTCCTACGACGATCTAAGTAAGTGTTTCTAAGTTTATTTACTTACAATTAGGCTAAATCTAATATGCCTATGTTTTTATTACCTGTCTGATTAGGTACCAATTGCTTAAAAATCAAAATGTGTCTTTAAATTTCACATTTATTAGGCAAAAGTACACCCAAAAATCCATTAGTTAGTGTTCAAATCAAATATTATGCACTTTTGTTTATCCTAGTTTCGGAAATAGCTCTGCACTAAATGCTCGTCTTGACACTGAGAAAAATGATTTGCTAAAAATGTATGTAAAAATGTTTGCAACCAGAACGATAAACCAATAATAAATTAAAATACCTGAGTGAAAAGTTTAAATTAAATTTTAAAAATAATAGATAAATCTAGAACTATATAGATCTAGTTTTCATACTTTAAGCCACCCCGCAAAGTAATGGTTAGAGGCCTATCATCGGATCTATCGCTATGGCTATGTACTATGTTTGATTGTATAATTAATAATTGTATGGGTCCACTATCACACTATGGGACCTTTTTTTTTCTAGATTCTAGAATAGTCAAGGTCTAGGCTTATAATTTGAAAAAAAAAAACTAAGTCACGGGCATTATAATACTAGCTGCAAAAGTGTTTCTTCCAGATTTTTTCTCCGGGGGAGGGGGGGGGGGGGGTCGGACACTGGTAAAAGCATGTTATCTAATCTATAATATAAATTCCATTTCGTTCCAATCCATTACTTTTTTCTTAGTATTTCACTGCTTTTCAATTAGGCCTTGTTTCAATTAAGACAGTTATTATCACCAGTTTTCAGAGTTTCTTCCAGGCATCTCTTCAGGGGGGGGGGGGGGGGTGCTGACACAGAGACGTCTGTGTGTATGTGTGTCCGTCTGTGTGTGTGTATGTGCGTGCAATTTTGAGGGGGGTTGTAGGCTGAGGTGTGACATCATTTTAGGTGGGGGGGGTCTGGCTTTTTGTGACGATGTGTGACAAAGGGGAGGAGGGAGGTAAAAATCGTCAAAAAAAGCGTGACGTCATTTAGGATTTAATGCAAATACAATTCAGACACAATTACAAATTTTATAAACGTTGATACTTTTTTTTTTTAATTTTGTGTAATGTTCATAATTGAAAATTATTATTCTAAGTATGTAAAATGAAAACTGTTTTTAAAGACATTCAATATTAATTTTTTAACTCATAAATTTAGACCACGAGCACTTTAGAAATCTAACACTTAAATCCACCGAAGTATCGTTTTTTCTTATATTCCTTTGTAATCCACGACATACAGCATCGAACTTAATATATTAGACGAGCCGACCCGCTGCGTATCATACGCCGCTATTTAGTTGTTTTTTTTTCTACTTTTCAGTAATTTATAATTTGTGAATTCGACAGTACCAATCCTGCCATTGAAAATATTTGCTTAAAAACACTAACCCCCCCCCCCCCCCCCCCCGTGAAAGCAGCCTCCTCTTAGTTACCTCCTCTAAGTTTAAAATCGTTTCAAACTAAATTATCTGCCCCTAATAGCCGTCACCAAACCCGTCTCTATGATTGTAAAATGTAAACAGAGTGAACACCGCTCACCAGATCATGTGGGGGTGGGGGTGGTAGTGATAGCGATAGAGAGGAAGAGAGGGGACTGCAAAGGCGCGCTTGCAGCTTGTTTTCTAAATGATCCCAGATATATATATATATATATATATATATATATATATGTGTGTGTGTGTAAATATATGTGCATATATATATATATATATATATATATATATATATATATATATATATATATATATATATATATATATATATATATACATATATATAGGCCTATATATATATATAAACTATATATTTATAAGGGGACATTTTCACACCCCACCTCTCCCTTTCAAAAAGAACGATTATGCCTTTTCATTGCTATGTAAAACTTGATAGTTATATTTCTCTTCTATTTTTCGTTTTCTTTTTGATGTTTTAATACTGGGAGACTTGCAAGAACAATATGCAATTAAATTTTAAAATTTCATAATTTTTTTTTGTTGTCAGCACTAAAGACAGATGGGGCAGAAGAAGTAGAGTTCATCTGTTTCAGTGAACACAGCACATAAAGTACCATGCTCTACTGCTTAGCTGCCCTTAACAAGATTTTGGTACGAGTCAGAGTACTTAAGCATGTTCTACGGCCTTAAATCCAGGATTCATACTTGAGACTTCTGGGTCAGGAGTCGTACACCCTAGCATGTTCAATTGTGGTGCATTTATGAACAAAGATTAATTACCTACATACATGGAGGAGCAGCTGTTTGATCTATGATTAGTTATTCATTTTAAAATAATTTGTGATAAAAAACAGCAATTTTCAATAAAGTTGCTCCAGATTTTTCTACTTTTATGAAAGGAGAGCTGGTTTCAGGAATAATTTAATTATGAATAAATCATAAAATACACATTAACATATTTTATTTATTTATTAAATGTTAAAATTAGAAAGGCCTACATTTATAACAAAAATGTGATGCTACATGGAAATACAATTTTTAAAGACTTCCAACACCTTCAAAAGTTAAATGCTACCACATTCAAATTTTTCAGGAATACAATGGTAATGTTAAGTAATTTAAAATATAAAACTCATAATGTAAATTTTTTATAATCAGCATTAATAAATAGATTTTACATCTAGTACAAAAATTTTTTTTTACAATTTCTTTACATTTTAAAATATTTACAGTTAAAACATGGGAAACAATTTACATGAATTTAAAAATCATTCACAAAAAAAATAATTTTTTAAACTAATTTCAAAACAAACAAAAACACACACACAGATCAAATGAACATGACTTCACATATTATAATTCTGTGGGATAAGTCACAGACATACCATATTATACAGACTTGTGATTGTGACCCAGATTAAAACTCATTTTTACAATATATAAAGGCACTCAATGTTTCTTTCTGTTTTGGCACATCATAAACCAGAATATAGAACTCCTTTCATACTTACCTGCTTTAAAATGTGTCTGATTATAAAAATGGTGGGTACTTTCCAATTACAAACGTTAGGGCCCATTATCAAGACTGCCCTAAGTCTAAACTGCCATTAAATGTACAATACAGTTATCAACTTTCTTCCCAGGTACCATTCAAGAATTTTGAATGATTTGACACCGTTTGAACTTAACTTTTTATCCAATAGTAGGCTTACATATTATGACACAAAGCCATACCCCACACACTCTAGAGCTGAAAATTCCAACAAAATTGAATGTTTTCATATTTTTTATATAAATACAAAATGTATTCAGAACCCCTATCCTCTAGTGGATGATATTTCAAGATGGCCCATGAAATAAACTACTAACTGGTCACAAGTTAAAAAGTTAGTAGCCTTTACGAAAACAAAGAATGCCAATAATGTAAACTATCTCCATGACTGCTGGAAAAGCTGAGCAGAATCCGAAGATGTACCAATACCATTGACAGGGCCACTGATCAAACAGGAAGTATGCCAAGCTTATGGCAGCACCACTGTGGGCAGCAGTTGCTGGGCAACAGGTTAAGGATTTAAATAACATTTAATTTAGTTGGCTAGAAATTTTAATACAGCTAAAATTAAATTTGAATACAAATCTATCATTCTAAAAATAACCCTGGAAATATAAAACAACAATATTGTCAAAAAATTCTATTAAATGATTTGGAAAGTTTTTTTCAGTGAAGAAAAAAGAAAACATTAGGTTAACTAAATTACCAATTTTATAAATGTGGTAATCACACAGACAGCTGTTTCATTTTTAAAAATGTAAACTTAAATGTAAAGGATACACAAAAGCCCTTGAAAAGGCATAAACATTGTGACTCCACCCATGAAGCCAACAAGCTCTACTGCAAACAAGCCAAGAGTAATTGACAGAGCTACAATCATCCTGGGAAAAGAAAAAAATGTTTTTTTTAAAAAGCAATATAACAATATTTTCATCTGGTTCATCATTTCTTTATTTATTTGAGCCATAACACTAAAGAACTCAACATTTCAAATAATAACTAAGAATTCCCAAAAAGTGACTTAGAAAATTGTGAAATATCTGTGCCATAATGTATTATTCTATTTGTTCTTACTCAACATCTTTGTCATTATACTGTGAGGTGCTGTAATTTTCTGGTAAACACATTTTTATATTTTCCTCCTGTGGAGATAAAAAAGAATTTTAAAACTATGATAGAACCAAGTCAACTGAAAAGGTGTCCTGACAAAAAAAAACTTTAATAAAAGTATCCTGGAAATAACTCTTCCCATAATTCAGATTTATAAAGGGGAAAAATAAACTAATAAAAATTAAAGTTTAATTTTTTTATTTAGTAATTATAGTTAAAAATGTACCTTCTATGTTATAATATTAAATATCGATACCTATATCATTTACGTAACTATAACCATATTCTAATGTAATGGGACGGTGTGATAGAAAGGTAGAGCATTCAACTGCTAATCCGAAAGTCTCAAGTTCAGATCCCCTGCTTGAGCCTGTACGTCAATGTACAAAGTACAGAGTCCCGAGCTCTGACGGGTACCTAATTCACGTTAAGGAAACCCTTCATACACCGAGGTCATTAATTTTTAAATAATTATTCTTGCTCCATTCATAATATAATATGACTTGAATTGAGAATCTAAAAAAAATTATCCTGAATAAACATAGCATACCCTAGTCCAAAATATGACAATAACTAGCACTAGATGAGCAATGATAGTTAAAAACCGTGCTGGGATTAATCCAGTTGACTGCATGGTGTACCTTACAAAGGAGAAAAGAAAACATTGAAGGATTACACAATAGGTGATAAGGTTACAATTTAAATTCTTTTTTAAAAACATATAACACTTTTTTTTTACATTTTCATAACTAATAGAGATGCCCAAGTTGCATAGAGAATTTGCTAAACAACATAGTACTTACTAATATAATAGTTTGTAACTTGCCTTTAAAACAACTGCTGAATCCTAAATTGAATTATGTGGAGATCAGCACAACAATAACATGGCACTATAGACGTGAGATAATTGAATGGTCATCAGTGTTTAGCACATCAAGTTTTGATTTTGTTATGCTGTATCAACTTCATTTAAACTTCATCCTGTGAGTTACCTGTGTAATAAAATATAATATTTAGTTCATATCAGGGGCGTAGCGAGGGGGGGGGGGCGGGGGTGCGGACCGCACCGGGTGACACCATTCAGGGGGGTGACACCAAGGCAAAAAATAGCAAAATATATAGAGAAAAACTCGAGGGGGGGGGGGGGTGCAAATCGAAAGTTTTAGGGGGGGGGGTGCAAATCGAAAACTCGAGGGGGGGGGGGTGCAAATCGAAAATTTGAAAGTTTGTCCCTGGGAAGGGTCTCTATGCCTCTGGGGGGGTGACACCATTAAGTGCCGCACCGGGTGACACCCGACCTCGCTACGCCACTGGTTCATATATTAATGTATAAGAAAAAGCACTATTATTACTTAATACTTATATTTTAACATTGTAGAATATAGCTAGTAGAGTCTAGATCTATATGGAAAAAAAGACAAAACAAATCCTAACATAAGAGTCTGTGTGTTAACATTACAAATAACATAGGCCTATACTAATATAGTATGTATAGTATTTATTTCTTGTGTGTAGAGTAGGCCTATAAAATACTATAAATTGATCTGAGCCCCATTGTTTATTTTAACTAAAAAAAACTAACTGTTAAGCAATATTACTGTATAGTGCATAATAATATTTATTTAGGGCCTACTAATATTTTATTATTTAATTTAAAATATGGCCTACACTACATCACTACAGGAGTACAGGAGTCAGTAGTCAGTAGGATTGAGGGCTGAGGGACACTCAAATTATTAATCTTAACGCTTTTAGGTCTAGCTAGAGTAGATCTATATCTAGATCTATATTCTATATCTACCCACCACAGATGACATAGCGAGTACTCCTTTATTTGGGACCTAACGTTTGGGTCTAGAGTAGGTAGACTAGCGTCCGTAACAACCACCAGAAATCAGATCGAAAAATTCCTTGAAGATGTTTTTTAATACATTTTCTAAAATCTAGCAACTGATAAAACATTAAAATGGTTCAAGTGTTAATCAGAAACCTGTCCATAAATAATAAAATATAGATCTATACCCTACCTTTTAAATATAGTTCCTAGATGGTAAAATATTCTAGATCTAGATATAAACGTTGATTTTTAAAATAATGATGTGTTTAGGCATGATAATTTCGAGGGTCGTTTCTTTAGCCTTGCAACTTTTTTATTTTTAAAAGGGAGAAAAGCATTAAAACCAGCCTACTACTAAGACTGCATGCCTACACATGAAGACCTAAGCCTAACTAAACTAAATCATAGCTATCTAGTATCTTGATCTATACTAGATTCTAATTCTATAGGCCCTACTAAAATCTAATCTACATAGACTATATTAACTAAAAGCTATTCTTTTTTTAAATAACTCTATTGTCGAGCTTTTTAATTTGAAATATATAACATTTTAGTAGGACGATTAAAAATAATTTAAAATATGCTTAGCCTTAACACGATCATCGGTGAAATATTCTATCTAGAGATATATGAATTTATAAATTTATACATAAAATATATAACTGTTGTCCACCACACACCCTTTGGGGTCGTCCATAAATGCCATCACACTCGTTGGGGTAGGGGGTCCGTAATGTTGTGACGGTGCGTGATGAGGGGAAGAGGGGGGGGGGGCAGTGTTTCTTCCAGACTTTTTTTCTCCGGGGAGGGGCACTTGAAAAAAATTTGGGGGGGGGGGGGGGGGGCGGTAGACTTTCTTCGGGGGGTGGGGTGGGGCGGACACTGTTAAAAGTATATATTTTCTATATAAATTATATAAATTTCATTTCGTTGGGGGGGGGGGGGGGTAGAATTTTTTCGGGGGGGGGGGGGGGGGGGGGGGGGGGGGGAGATGCCTGGAAGAAACTCTGGGGGGGGGGGGGAGTCCAGCTGGTGTAACATCATACTTTTGCATAATAAAAAAACCAATATAAGAAAAGGGAGTTTTAGCTAACGGTCAGTGGCGTAGCGAGGTCGGGTGTCACCCGGTGCGGCACTTAATGGTGTCACCCCCCCCCCCCCCAGAGGCGTAGAGTACACAACCCCCCCCCCCTTCAAACTTTCGATTTCCACATCTTAATAGATTATTTAATCACTTATGTGGAATTATCTTGGTGTCAACCCCCCCCCCCCCGTCCCCACTAAATGGTGTCACCTGGTGCGGTCCGCACCCCCCGCAAACCCCCTCGCTACGCCTCTGCTAACGGTTAAAGATAAATAATCGAGAAATATAAAAAAATATGTTCTAGTATTAGTGGTCAAAGGGAAACAAACGTGAAATATTTTTTTCTTCAGAGTTTTGATGAGGTTGCCTCGCTTAAATATTTTGAGTCAAATTTGTTTGAGGAAATGTTTATTAAATTTTTTAACACAAGCTTAATATTTACAGAGCACCATATATAATAATTTTAAATATTTCATATTTTTCTCAAAAAATATTACACTATATAGCAAAATACTCAGAGGAAACGAAAAGATTAATCTTAACTCAGCGTTATGCTAAAAACAGGAATAGTAAACTTAAAATTATTTGTATAATATGAATTAGTATATGAAATAAACTAGTAATTATATGACACGAAAACTTTTTGTTTGTTTTTTGTTGAGGAATATTAATATTATTCAGTATTTATTTATTATTTATTCATTTATTAATCCTTAAAAATATTTAAGCGAGATAATCACGACTCAACAAAAAAGCAAAATAATTTCATGTTTGTTTCCCTTTGACCAAAAATTTGCTAGTTGGTTTCTTTAAAATTAAATATTTTTTTAATTAAGCGGAGGGGCATATCCCGATCCCATACAATATACTTTATCGTATATTCTTATATAATATTAAGGGTTGGAATGACATTTTCAATGGTATCAGGCTATATAAATAAGTCCGTACATTTGTGGTAAAACTGCTCGATTTTCGAGAAAACACTAATGCTAAATCATTTAGTAAATGTTCTTAGAATGTGATTCTTTATGCTTTATCAAATTACTAACGTAGTTGTAATGACATGTGTTTGTCCAGACTACCGCCCAGATGCCCAAAGTGCTTGAATTATGAAAGCCTACAGTGTACGCTAGTCACTCTCCGTAATAGGTAGGTAAACGCCCCTCTGCGACCGTTTATGTATTGAGGGCGTCACGGATTTCTCTCCGGGGCCACCGGTTACACTACCGCATGGGCGCTGGGTACGTCCCCTGGTTCGGCTTATTCATCAAACACATTGAGCCTCTGTTTCCCTATTGTATGGTGCTCTTTAAAACGAATGTAGGCACTTTAGGGCTCAATGGGGAGCCCGCGGCGCCAATTGAACCCTGGAGTGTCTTATTCGATTTAGTGAACGATTATAGTAGCCTATCGTATCCAATGCGTATCGCACCCTTCAAAACCTACGTAAGCACCTTAGTGCTCACGGGGGAGCACGGGACGCCAAATAAAAAAAAATTGTAGACACCTTTCCAGCAGTATTCTCATCAACTCTAGAAAATTTTATCGCGATCGGATGAACGGTGTAGAGTAATGCATCAAAGACAAAATACGCCCACAGACAAACCCACAAATATGCTTTCATTTATATTTATATATAGATCAAATTGTGAAGACTTTTGAGAAATCGGTAATAAAGTACCACTTTTATTTATTGGATAGATAACCTAATTACATTCTTATACTTCATATGGAATATAAGTCAACCAAGCTGAAACGGTATGCTACTCAGGCAGTTGCAAAACTTTGAGCCTTGCCAAAAATCTCTTTTTTTAATTGTCTGCACACCTACAATATTTCCAGTATACTCCGCTACTTCCCGTATACTTTAATACTTACAGTATATATATCCAGTAAACGGCGTGTACTAGAAGGTAAAAAGCGAATAACTTGGACAGGTCGTAGGCTACAAATAATTAAATAAGGATACAAAAAAAACAGACACAAATCACGAGGGACGACAGTAATTGACTTCATGAGTCTACTGGTATCAGAGCCGGCGTTAGGAATACGGCGGGGCCTAGGGCCAACCATCCCGGCGCGGGGCCTGCTTTTTTCAATTAATTTTATATATATATATATATATATAATTATATATTATATATATATATATATATATATATATATATATATATATATATATATATATATATATATATATATATATATATATATTTATATATATATATATATATATATATATATATATATATATATATATATATATATATATATATATATATATGTGTGTGTGAGTGTGTGTGTGTATGTATAGTCCTATATAATATGCCATACACACATAAATAACACATAAATGTTTTAGAGTCTATAAGACTTAAATAACAGATGTTTACCTCTCCCACGTTTTAACCCAATGTTCTTAGTGGGTTTTTAGCGCAATTTCCATTCTGGAGAATTGCGTTTATTAACTCGTCTTTTCTGGGAATGGATGAATGGATGGGTGTATGGATGTGTGTCCGCAGCTTTAAGTCGTATCTCCTCCTCAACGAAGCAATATCGAGGACTAGTTCCAAAAGCAAATATGTTAAGCAAGTTATCAGGATGAACATAGGCCAAAAAAATTCCGGGTTTCTTTCATGGATATCCCGGAAAAGCCAAAAAACCTCGAAAAAATGCAGTTTTTGGCCCATATCTCGGCAACCAGACCACTTAGCGACTTGAAACATGTACCAATCGATTCCTGCCATAATTTACAACAATATTGCCGAAGAAAGTTTTCAAAAATATCCTTTCGTTCGGTCACAAAAATTTTTTTGAATTAATTAAAATTTGGACCGAATTAGTAGGCATTTTATCCAACCACACCACACGCGTCATCACGTTCAATAGCTGCGCCATCACGTTCAATGGCTGCGACATCACGTTCGGTAGCTAGGCGCGCAATGGTTTTTAGTCATGTTACTCTATTGTAAATAAAACATGTAAAACACTGAAAAAAAATTTAATAAAAAACGTTTTAATAACTAACCAATGGTTTTACTAACCCTGCTCTTGATTTACGCTACGACAGAGCTATTTTTAGATAACATAAGGAAATTGCGCTAAAATTGTCTCTAGACTTTTTTTAATTACTTGTTTTTCTTGCTAAGATATTTAATAACTTTTGACAGATATGTAATTCATACCAAATCACTTAAGAAAATTCAATCACCTGCCAAATAATTAGGAAAATAAAGTTGTTTAAATTGTTTGTTGATGACTAATTGTTAATATAAAAGCATGGGCATAGCGAGGGCGGGGGGGGGGGGGGGGCGGACCGCACCGGGTGACACATTTAGGGGGGGTGACACCAAGGCAAAAAAATAGCAAAACATATACAAAAAATGATAGTTCCACTTTATAAAGTGGTTAATTAGAGTGTTAAATAGTCTTTTAAGAGCAAATTTGATAAATTCCGACAAGGGTGGAAGGGGGGGGGGGCTGGTGGTGACACCATGACGTAAACCTGCTAATGATAGAGAAAACATGCTACATCAACACTTTTAACTTTCTTTAAAAAAAAATAATAATAAATCACTCTGTCTAATGCCCCTTGATATAGATCTTAAGGGCCTCTTCCCCCCCCCCCCCCCCTCATCGCCCTCTTCCCATCCCTCTGCACGCAACTGAATGTTAATTTTGTTATAGGGCTACATATACGACATCTACAACAAGAAAATCAGGACTAGCGTTCATCAGGTCACTAACTGTCTACTAAAGGCATCCCTCTGCTCACTAAAAGGACGTCTTCATCGGTCCGCATACAATAGAGTATCTTTTTACCTGTTTCCCACATTTAACATCCCATGTCAGGTCGGGGGCTAATTCTCGACCGCCATCTCCAGTCAGCTCAGGTCAAATGCCAGGCGACCGTACCCTACACAAAGGGGAGGTGTGTGACACTGTTTTTGTATTGAATTACGGCCTTTCCCAGTTCAGGTGGGTGATAACTCACTAACATCAACCATGGCCTCAGTTATAAAATTCAACAACTTCGGCATTCCACCATTTAGTTTTTCCCCATTGAATTCAGCAACAATTTATTTAAGTTTACAAACTAATTCAGATAACAATGACAGTGTTGAAGCGCGGGGCCCCTTCAGGCGCGGGGCCTAGGGCGGCCGCCCCGTTTGCCACCCCCTAACGCCGGCTCTGACTGGTATTATGCTACTCCTCCCCTCCCCCCCCCCCCCCCCCACACACGACCATACATCACAGTTCCTCTTACATTGGCACTTTTCCCGCAATTTTATTTTCACATTAGTACAAAATATATTCAATGGTTACTCCTTAACACCCCCACCCCCATTCTCACACTCACAATAAACCAGCGCACCCTCCTATTGCTGAAAATAATGTGTGGATGCTAAATCATGTTAATAATTACTGTTAAACCAACACTGGGCTGTAAGAGTTCATCCCTTTATGGCGGCCAAGTGAAGGGGAAGGGGGGGGGGGCAGTCCACACACAATCGCCTTTCGTGTATTCGCTTGGACTGAATGGGGGTCCGAAACTAATTAATGCATCTTATTGTGTTAGGCGATATATTAAGACTTAAGACAATCTCAAATAATTGAAATAATACACATTAATAAACCAACCTTATTGTGGGGCATTTTCTGATTTAATGAAAGTAACATAAGTAAAGACCATTTATTTTTACAAACAGGAGTTCTATGCTTCCTAGCGAGGGCGTAGAACAAACTCTTTTTGGTTTTAGGACCCTAAATAGTAAATAATGTTAAATGGGGGAGGGGCGCTTGGAGATAGGTCAGAATGCACGATGGCTAATTATTTTTAAAAAACAACAATTTTTGACTTTTTAAGCTCGCTGGTTTGTCAACTACTGGGCTAGGAATTTTAAATTCTGTTATAATAGCCATACAATATTTACTTCTAATATGTAGATCTTTAAGTCCAAATTCATTTATATTTTGTATGTTTGTAGATTTCTGGATTCAACTAGGCTAGCCTACAGTAAACTTAAAAGAGATTGCAGTCTGGCTTTGGTGGTTGAATTTAACTTACCTGCTACTGCTATAACATCCGGTAATACAGACGAAACAACGAAAAGTAGAAGACTCATTGACTGTTATTTCCCTACACATTCTTATACAAACAGATCTAGTCTAGAAACCTATAATATTTTCATGGCTTGCACATTAGGGCTTGATGAATAAAATGTCTTATACAGGTAACTTTTTTTTATGTTTTGTCAGTAAAAAGTCTCTAGATCTACCTTTCTAAAATTATTTTTAAAAAAAAGAACTGATGATCTGGCTGGATTCTGCAGTTTCAATTTACTCACGCAGACTTACGTCTAGTCTACTGAAAGTAGTAGAAGTAAGCCTTAGTAAGCGTTCATCTGTGTCAATGACCTCACAATTCTAAGGCTCGTATACATTTTACAAGAAGTGGAAGTTGTGGTCAGCACCTATGCACAGCTGCTTTTGTTACCCTCGTTAGTCAGCAGGCTGCAGGTTACCCATCAGAGTTGGGCGAACTCAGACTTGAGCCCGGAATACAAACCTGAGACTTTTGTGTTTGCTGTCTAATTAGGCCGTTCGATTCACAGCTTCCGGATTTGTTGTTTTGAAGCCATCTCACGGCTCATGCGCTTACCAAAAATGGCGACCAGTTTCGCTTTCACTAATGGGTAGAGGGATAAAACTAATGATTACGAAGCCATCGTTAATTTTAGAAATCGGAATTATCTGTTTCTATTTAAGTCTGTTAATTAAGAATTGTCGGATCTACTTTTTGGCCTAATTTCTTTGTCTCGCAAGCGGCGCCTTAGTGAAAGTAGCTCTATATAAATTATAATTCTCATCTTTCGAATCAAATAACTCTAAAATTCCCCGTTTATAATAAACCAGGCTATGTGTATATGAAACTTGAAAGTATCAATTTTACACACATTACAATTAAGTGGTAATAACTTATGGTCGGTATGAGATGTGGTCCGTTCAAGTAATAATGCCATTTTATTATAATCTTTTTTGGTGAACACGAGGCGCGGGAAAATGTGTGCAGCGCAAGAATCCAATCATTTGGCTAGGTTTATAACTGTTTTTTTTATATCACACCTAAAAATAGAGTGTGCTTGGTATACTTACCCTTTATCAATTTTAAAAGCATAGCATGCTGATTGTGAACAAATAGTCATAAAACACAGAAATAAAAAGATACAATGCGATGTGCCACACCCGGGTCACACCCCCTCAAGAAAACACGTGTTTATTAAGCTGTTTATCTCACTTTACAACAGTAATTAAAATTAATTGTCAAATTTTTATTACTTATCTATATATATAATTCTCTTCTGGGAGACGCTAGAAAACAAGCTGTAAACGCGCTCCCTACCATCCCCACCCCTACATGGTCTTAGTGAGCTGTGGTTCACGCTATGTTTACCTTCGTGGAGTCGGGTTTAGTGACGGCTATTAGGGGCAGATAATTTAGTTTCAAACGATTTTAAACGTTGGGGGGGGGGGGGGGGGGGGGGGTTATGGTCCTTAACGAGCTACTTATAGTGTTTTAAAGAAATATTTTCAGTGTCAGCGTTGGTACTGTCGAATTCACAAATTATGAATTACTGAAAAGTAGAAAAAACAACAACTAAATAGCGGCATATGTTATGCCACGGTCCAGCTCGTTGGGTAATATTAAGCACATGTTTACTAATAGTTTAAAAAAAAACATAAGTAAATTCTGTTTTAATGAAGGTCACAGGTCAAATATTTTTTCCTTCAGTCAAGTTCAGTGGAGGGTGCCACAGGCTGACCTGACTTTGGAATTTTTTTCAGTAATAATGACTTTGCACAGAAAGTTAATATATGCTAAATTGGCTTAGTTTATTAGTGTGCTAGCTATTATTGATACTTTTTTAAATTAAAAAATCATTTTGAAATTGTCAACAAAATGCCTAGTCTAATGCTCTACCACTAGGTCACAACGTCCCCAGATCTAGACTCTATTGAAGAGTCTAAATACTAAATGTAGACCTATAAACTTAAACTAAACTGTACTTTTGTTTTTTTTACTTTTATTGACCGATCAAGAAATTAGTGAGCAGAGATTTAATAATAAAAATAAAAACTAGGGTTTAGGCCTAAAAATATAGGCCCTAGGCTGGATGGCACATAATATTTTTGCCTATGCACATATCCTTCTGCTAACAATTAACTGAGTCTTGTGGTCAAGCTGTTGCATTTGAGGCGGCTTTGTCAAGAGTAGTAGGTTCACATCCAATTGGGATCTTTTTATATAAGGGTGGGAGGAGGGGCTACTTTTTTATGTGTTTCGCTTTTTGTGATTTTGTTGTTTTTTTTTATATTTTTTAAATGTAGGCCTAAAGGATAATTATTATTAAATGGTTGCGAGCTTAATAATTCTGAAAAATTAGGCTAAAAACTAATAATAATAAATTTTACTAAATAGCAGTAAATGGTCCAGTCAAACCTTTGGCAAATGAGGCTCAATAGCTGGGGACAGCAACCAATCGTGGAGAGAAAGCTCCAAAATCAAACAAATGCTGCCTTGTAGTAGTTTGTTCTTGGATGGACAAAGGCTATTGAAACAAAATCCAGAAAGAAGCAACCAAATGTTTTTTTTAATTTATTCAGTACAAAGATATCTGTTAATATTAAGACAGAAGATATTAGCCTAAGTGGAATTATAGGATTATTTTTAAAGGATATTTTGGACTTTTCCGGAGTGATATATTTAAAATAACTAATCATAAACTTATAAATTATATATTCTTTTGGGGCTGCATGTTAGATTTAATGAGGAACCTTTCATTATAAACCTGTATTTAAGAAAAATTAAAACCCCCAAAAAAAATCATTTTTCCTAGCACAAGATAGAAAAACGTCTATTAACCTGCATCAAAATAATACCAAATTTGGACAAGACTCAAACAATTGCATTATTACAGTGAGGGCACCCTTTATGGTCAAAACCGACATTTCAGATTGAGCCAAAGCCATTTTCTGGGGTCAGAGGTCACTTCCGCTTTGCAGCTAGAAGCCACCATTGATTAGGCTCAATTTAATGATTTAATTTAAAGCAATGTAGATCTATATGATAACTTGGGATCTCTGTTAAATCAATAAGACCCTAAATTTAATTGTGCACCAAGGCTATGGAAACAAATCCAGAAAGAAAAACAGGCTAAAGTCTTGAGACAATAGGCTTTATGCCACATAACATGTTGAAACGTAATATTTAATTGTATTGGTGGAGATCCCCTCTAATATTATGCTATTAAGAACAAAGAAGATAAATAAGAATAAAAAATTAATTAAAATTATATCAAGAACTTGTTCAATTAAATACACAATTCTTTTACTTGAAGGTTAATAATCTAAAACATAAAAGCTTACTAATTTTCAGTTTTACAGTGTTTATGAATGAAGAAAAAAAAATATAATTTTTTTTCATAACTGTAATACTTGAATATTTTCAGGTTATCAGACTGCATTGAATGAAACATACTCTTCCTACAATCAGCAGTATGATTCTAGCCACTATAATAATGAACCTCAAACTGGACAGTACCCATTATCCTCTTCTGGACAGTATGATTATGGATACTCAACTGACCCATATTCCCAGTCATCAGGTAATTGCTATGCAATAAACTTTGTTGGTTATTTATCTTTAAATTGATTTAAAGTAAATAATACTAATATTAATCCATTGCTAGACATGGAACATCGATAAATATATATATATTTTTTACTGTTCTATTAACGATAAATTTTCAATTCCAGCCCCGCCCTCCGTGACTTACACTCCATATGTTACCACCACCCAACCTACAAGCTACCCTCCTTTCTCATATAACCAAGAAGTTGAAAAAGTGGAACAACCACCTCAAGTCTCTGCTCCATACAACAGTTCCATGGGTGGATTTCAAATAGAGCCTTCGAACTATCTTGAAAATCCTCCCCAACAAAATAATCTCACAACTACTGAGTTTACTCAGTATCCATATCAACGAAGTGACTATGCACAGCCTCCTCGGTCATTTCAGAATCCTCCAACACAAACAGAACCATATAGCAACAGATATGATTACCAAGAAACCTCTTATAAGCCACCTGGCTGGAATCGTGAAGATCAGTTTAATGACCCTTCCTATTCATCAGGTGCTTATTTTGAGGGAGTGACAAAAGATGCTGATTATGGACAAAAAAGAAAAGGATCCTATGAAAATAGAGAGTTCATTCCATCTGACAGTTATTCCAAAGTCAATGACAGCTATTTACAAAACAATACATATTCTGGCAATGGACTACTAAATATTGAATTTCAACAGCCAGATGTTGTGCCTCTTAATAGACACCAAGAATATCCTGACTATACTGGTTCTGTCAATTCTAAATTTACTCCAATGTCAGATAGAGTAGGCAGAAATTTTGAACAAAACTATACACCTGGAAGAGGAGGAAGCTTTAACAACTTGAAATATCAAAGACGAAACATTAGTGGCAATATGCAGGATATATTGCATGATGATATTAATATAGGGAACATGAGAAACAACCAGTATTGTGATGAAGGAAATGGTCCAGACAATGTGGTGTATTCTACACCAATCCCTCAGAATATGGGCAATTTTAGAAACTCTGGATCCCATATACATTCTAAAAGAGGAGCCCGTGGACAATCCGGACGGATGACAAGTTCTAGAGGTTTGGGAAAACATCAAAATACTAATAAAAAAGTCTTTGATGCTCGAAATCGTTTAAATGAAGTTAGATCTTTAGCAGCTGTTGCAGGTAAAACAAATAATAAACAGACCAAAAATAAAAATACTCCAAAAGTCAAGCAAGAGGTGTTTAAAACTCCATCCCGTCCACAAGATAGATTGTTGAATGAAATTGCTGAAAAAGAATTGGCAAAGAATCAAGGAAAAGTAAAGGCAGAAGAAAAGCTTAAAATTTCTGAAGTTGAAAAAAATAAAATATCAGCTTTAGAACAGTTTAAAAATGAAGAAGAGATGAGGAAAAAGTTGGCAGATGAAGCAGTTAAAGCGGCACCCCCAAGTAAACCTCCAGAAACCCCTGAAGAAATAGCTAGAGAGGAAGAAATTCAAAGAAAGATTCGTGAATCTGTGGTTATTATAAAACCTGAACAGGAAATTGCACTTTTAAAAGATGACCCAAGCAGAGATGTTGAAATGCCTGAAGAGCTAAGAGTTTTACTGAAAACGTTGACCACTGATTATCTTTGTAAACTTTGCAGTGTGCGCATAGTAGGTCCACACATGGCTGCGATGCACTACAATGGAAAAAACCATCTTAAAAAACTGAGAAACTTTGTTCAGACAAATGGGCGCTCTGCAGGTTTTAATATGGAAACAATAGAACAAACAGATGATTCAAATAAAGAAACTTCCAAAGGTGCTGAATCAAAAAAGGAAATTGTAGAAATAACGGTAAAAAGAAATATTGAAATTAAATTCTACAGTTTTTATTTTACATTTTAAAATACTGTATACCATAAATATTAAATTTACACATGCAGAATAGGATTTATGCTAGAAATGTTTAGTCCAACAAGAGGATTTAATTTAAATAGGATGTCAGCATTATTGTAAATATAATGATGTGTAGTTTATCATCCAGTATTGAAAAAAAAAATTTAATTACCTGGTACTAAAAAAATAGCTAATAAAGCTTAACAAATTTTGAGTAAAGCTTTAAAAAATAATTCTTTATAAAGTTGAAATCTGTAGTTACTTTTATTGGTCTTAGCTGGTTTGAATTAAACAATAACCTGTCACATTTCTCATTATGATTTTCTATTTTGTTACATCCTTTATATATTTAAAAGCTTTATAAATTTTATTTTGGAGCAAATGTAATTTTTAAAATTTTAAATATGTAAACTAAAAATTGTTTTTCAATCATATAGCAGTCAGGAAAATATTTAAATTTGCTGAAATATTGGTTATAAAAAATAGGTTATTACTTTCATGCACAATCCACAAATATTTTTTTCATTTATACATTTCACTGTCCATAATTTTAGGTTATAACACATTTTTGTTATTTTCATTATTTTCTTTTTAATTATTGTAATTAATGTAACTGCTGTCTATAATATATACTTTAAAACTACTTATAATAATTGATATACTGACATTCTAATAACTTCTTTAAATTAACAGGATATGTCACATACATTTGTCAAATTTCATCTAAATTATTAACACTTTCTCTTTTAAAACAGGATATAGACGAAAACAAATACTGTAAAGTGTGTAAGGTATCATTTTCTCAAGATAGCCAAGCTGAGATGCACTACAAGGGAAAAAATCATGCCAAGAAACTCAGAAATATTGGCGCTTCAAATGGGTAGGTTAAGAAACGCTCCCTTTTGTTTTATTTATATGACTTAGTAATTAGTCCTATAACAAAACTTTTAAAGATTTTTCTTTTCATCTCCAAAATAGACCTGATGTATTTGAGTGCAAAATTTGTTGTGTAACTGTAACTGCCCAAGAGCATTTAACAGCTCACCTTAATGGTGCACGTCATAAGCTTCAGGTCAGAAAACTAGACAGCAACGAGAATTTTAGAGGTAAGAGGAAAATTTCATCAATGTTGTGTAACATTCTACCTTACTTTTGGATATTTTTTCTCCAACAAAAATTGTTTATTTATAGACAAGTTATTATTTGTTCAGGAAATTTTCGAGGTAGGGGCAGGGGAGGACTTGGATCTTGGACTAAAGGTAAAAGACCAAAAACAGAGGAAAATGAAAGTGGGGGCTGGAAACAGCCTCTAGAACCTCCCCAGAGAGGCAGAGGGATGAGAGGAAGGTTAGTAAAATATTCCATACTGGAAGAAATTTTGAAATTTCATTTACCCGTAGTAATCCTTACATTGCATTTACATTTAGAAGTATGAAGAATTTTATCTACTTTTATTTACATATACAAGATATGTTGCATATACATGAAACATGTTTTGAGTCACTGAAGACAGAATTACATTACACATCTGATCTTAATAAAACTGAATAATTTTGCTTAAGTTAATATATTAACGTAATATTTTTGCCTTACTAAGCATTTTGTCAGTTTTTCTTGCACTGATGTTGAAATTTTGTTTAAATATTTAAAACGAGCCGACCCGCGGCGTATCATACGCCGCTATTTAGTTGTTTTATTTTCTACTTTTCAGTAATTCATAATTTGTGAATTCGATAGTACCAATGCTGCCACTGAAAATATTTGCTTTAAAACACTAAACCCCCCCCCCCCCCACGTTAAAGCAGCCTCCTCTTAGTTACCTCCTCTAAGTTTAAAATCGTTTCAAACTAAATTATCTGCCCCTAATAGCCGTCACCAAACCCGTCTCTATGATTGTAAAATGTAAACAGAGTGAACACCGCTCACCAGATCATGTGGGGGTGATAGTGATAGAGAGGAAGAGAGGGGACTGCAAAGGCGCGCTTGCAGCTTGTTTTCTAACTGATCCCAGAAGAGAATTATATATATAGATACTTTGAGTTGTGTACATTTTATCCATGCTTGTTTCACTGTTTTAATTTTTGTGAATTAAATTAAAGCATAATTTAAGAGGCTGAACATTTTTTTAAATAAATTGGATCAAATAAATCCTATTAGTTCAGCAAGGTAACAAATTGTAAATAAAGCACTAGACCATAAGCTGTACTTAGAGAATGTAACAAAAACACAGTGTGACAATACAACAAATCAATATACCACCATAAGATTCTATACAATACACAATATAAAATTCCTAACACTGATTTATATGCGGTGAAATGCGCATGACTGCATAAAGTGATTTATTAAAGATATATTTAACTTTTTCAGAGCTCATTTCCGTGGTGGTAATCGAGGAAGAGGCCTTAGTGAAGGTATTAAAGAAATATTATAATCTAGCCATTTTTTTTATTACTAATGTTAAATTTTAACCCTTTCTCCTTTTTGTGTTAAATAACTACTAGCGTTTTTGTTACATACGAGTTATGTTATAACCTAACCTATAATAAAAATTCCTTTTGCACTTTTTAAAAAGGTTTCAAGCAACAGGGTGCTCCCATTGATGGAGGACTTCAGTTTCCTGAATTTGATGGTCCATCTTTCAATAAACGCAGACGGTTTTAAAATTTAATCATGGTTGCTGTTTCATTTGATTAATAGGGAAATTCAGTACACAAAAGACGCCATTAATACATTTGAAAACGTTTCATTTAAAAATCACAGTTGCAGTTTGTAATTTTAATTTAAGAATATTTTTACATTTTTGTGATGTTTATCAGAAACTATTTAAATTTATTTTGTAAATTTTTTTTTTTTTTGTAAAGTTTTGATTGAACTTTTAATTGGATCATGAAATATTTCAAACAAATTACGAAATATCCTTTTAAATCCAGCTTTTTTAAATCATTTTTTACTAGCAATGACAAATGTAGTGCTTGGTTTCTAAGCAAAACTCATTTAATTTATTAATTGTGCAAAAAAAATAATTGAAATAATTATTTTAAAAATATTGTTTTAAGCTTTATTATATCTATATGTAAAACGGAAATTGTTGAGTAAACACCTATTTTATTATAGCTTTTAAATTTTAAAAAATAACGTACCAAAACATTTTATTATATAATAAAATATGTGAATTTTGAGAGATTATATTGATGAATTTCTAAATATCTTTCAGTATTATTATTTGATGAATTTGTCAATGACTTGAATTACCACAGTACATGTCCCTGTAAAAAAAACATTGACTTAACTAACAACTTATTTCTGATAATAAATGTGAATGTTGTATGTAAATTCCTGGAGATTATACCCAATCTTTGTGACTTTGATTTGCAGAGTGTAGACATAGGGCTTCTGGTTGTAGAGGATATTTTATGACTAAAAAACATGAGGGTTCAGTTTTTTCTCATGTGGTAAACAAAATACCCCTGGAAATAAAGACAAAACAAAGTAAACTTGGTGTCTACTTAAGTCTCATTTTCTTATTGCTGAATGTCGTTTTAATTTAATAGAGTTTTTTTTTTTTGCTAGTTTTGGTTATATTTTAAAATAGTGCAAGTTTTTAACTAACAACACAAGTTGCCTATTTATTATCATTACATTTTCTCCTATTTCATATTTAGCATTCAACTAACTATAGGCCTATATTTCCTGAAAATGTTGCACTTAAATTTAAAACAAATCTTACAGTCCAACCATTGGTTATTAATTTTAAAATGAAAGAGAGATAAAACATGTATTTTAATTATTAATTTTCTTTTTACTTGTCATTGTGTATGGGGAGTAACATAATGTTATATAACTGTAAATATTGAAGTACCTTCCTACTTGCTAGATGAAACATTTCCTATTAATATAATGATGACTGTGTTTGCTTGAATATATGTGCTGTTTTCTTGTCCTGTGTTGGGTATACTGCTGTGTACATGCTATATTCATATTTTAGTTCTCATGGTATATTCCAGAAGATGTTAAGTGTAGATTATTAGCTTGTGCACTGTTAACTTTTCAATGTTTCTCTGTTTTCATTTTTTAAACTTTGAGGTGACATAATTTAATTTGTTTTTGGATAGTGTATGTGTTCAATTAAAATCTAGATTAGAATACCACCAAAATAATATGGTCCATTCATCTTCTGTCACTTTTTGAATTGCAGTCTAATTAATTTTCATCAGAAAATAAATGGTAGGCGTTTCGACTGTTTAATAAAACACTGTTCAGCAGTGTTCTCTTTCCTTTCCCTGTATTTTCTTTGAATTCTTAACATTGTTAATATTTAATTTAAAAACCTGAACTAACACAGTCTTGTATAGATAGAGAATATCAACTTTTTAGGTTTTAGAATTAATTATTTTTAGGGTCTGCCACTATTTTAAGCAATATCTGCTTATCATCAACTATATTTTGTAGTACACTATTGGTTTTAATTTGGTTTTGATACACTAAGCTGTTATACTAAGCTGTTTTACCATTTTTAAACAAAAATCACAAATTTTTTTTCAATGAATTGAAAAGAGACATGTTTGTTAAATAAAGTATGGGCCTGGAGCAAGTTGCAGACCACTAACATAAATGAATTGACGCAAATAATGAAACTGGCATGGATTGTTTAATCTTTATTTCCTCAGATAGTAAACTCATATTTGGAAACTGCAATGAGGAAGAATTATTGTCTCTATTTGGGATAGATCCGGCTAAGAAATACAAGTTTGACCTGGCCAACTTTAGAACACCCAGTGGGGGACTGTATTGTTCTACGTGTGACATCGCCATGGTGGAGGAACCTCAGTTCTTGCTGCACCTAGGTAGTAGAACACACCATGATAAAGTGTTTGGGAGGAAACCAAGCAAAAAGATTGAAATGTGTGATATAAGCAATGCACCCTCTTTTAGAGGAGATTAAAGGTTTTAACTGCCTACGTTGACCTGTATAGTAGTATAACACAGCGTTTACACTTGCGAAATGTATACCATACACGACTAGAGGAAGAAAAAAACTATCATTTGTATCAGAAAATGGGGGGTGGGGGGGGGGGGGCTACTCAATCATTGAGAAGTTGTTTTTTTAGACCTATGGACCTATGAATACATGTCGCAAATGTAAATGTGGTGTGACTTTACTTATGTTAGTGTCTCCAACCAATTTATATTATACCTTTAGTTTAAATGATTTAAACTTTTATTGTATAAGTAGTTATTCATATCCATGTTGAACTTATTGTTTTTGCATTACACATCCATGTTTTTAGTTTGATCATTTATAGCTACTGTTATAAAAAAATGTCTCTTAATTTTGTTATATCTTACCTAGATGGAATACAAAAATCTAATTTAAATTAATGAAATGGTTATTTTAGTGTTATTATAAGAAGTAGAAGAAATATTATATTTAAAAATCCTTGTTTTGTTCTTTAAGTTTAAAAGTACTGTTGTTAATGTATTTGTGGATACATTAAAGTTTACCCATTTTTTTATTTTCATTTTATTTCTGATACATATCTATTTCACCATTGAGTAATAAAAGGTAAATCTAAAAAAAAAAAACAATATCTCAGTGAATGGACTTATTAATCAATTCGTAAATGACTGATATCAGTTTTACAATGCAGTGTTCAAGTTCTTCTAGACTACCCACTCAGTACCCACTGAGCGGTTTTTGCAATCTTAGGCCAGACGCCACCAAAGCAGAGTTTCTTCCAAGCATCTCTTCGAGCTTCCCCCCCCCCCCCCCCCCCCCCCCCGGAGAAAAAAGTCTGGAAGAAACACTGCACCAAAGGCCCGGGAATATCGCATATGGTCCCATCCCATTTAGGGCGGTGTAGAGCACTGGACTGTCTACGTTGGTTTGGATGGGGGGGGGGGGGGCAGTCCAACGCGTCACATTTTGTTCTAAATCTATATGTTTAATGATCGCTAATCGATGTTGAAAGTATTATATCCCGGGTTGAGTTTTTCATCATCCAAGAGTTTGTTTCGATACATGTAAGAACCGAGTATTTCATTTAAAATTAGGTCTAGAATCTAGATCTATACATCTAGCTAAAATGACGGAAAAGAAATGCAAGAACTGAAATTAAGGAAAAGTTTGTTTTTCAAAAATGTCAAGAGTATTGGGCTATTTATCTTAAAAATCCGATATAAGCTAAACGTAATCTACTCATCGGATATTTTAACCTCTGGAAATTACAATAAAAAGAGTCAAGTTGTGTCGGCCACATTGATATGCTATTGTAATGTAAATTATGTATTGCCATGTTTACAAGCTTCGTCTGAGGTCACAATGTCTGGGTCAAATTGTGTAACTCAATTATTTTAAAAAGCAACATTATTCAAACCTCCGGATAAACTCATTATCGTTGACAATACACATGAATATCTGATTTCCATTCTAATTAGGTATTAAATTGGTTATTTAATAGATCACTACGTGTAGGCTATATTACAAATGGTGAGATAACGAGATCGTGTAGCGCACTAAATCTTCAACTTGCGATCTTCTATCGGTGACTGATATTCACTGACATTTTCACTTTCACGACCGAAAGCGGACTATGGGCATTATATAATTTTAAGTCTTCTTCTTCTTCTTAATTTTTAGTGTTGGAAGGGATCGAACTCGAGACTTTGGTTTAGCAACCATGAGGTTTTTTTTTTGTTTTACCTACTCGACCACGCCGACCCCTTTCCAACACAATTAAGATTTACGTGTCAACTGGATTTGCTTGAGATTTCAACTCCAAATGACATGTATCTGTCACTTATAATTAAGGGGTCGGCGTGGTCGAGTCGGTAAAGCTCATGGTTGCTAAACCGAAAAGTCTCGATGGGTTAGCTGGGAACAGACACTCTTCTAGGAGAGACAACTCCAAAAATAAAACAACTGCTGCCTTGTAGCTGTTCTTGGTTGGACAAAAGCTATGGAAGCAAATCCAAAAAGAAACGCAGGCTGAAATCGGAGTCAATGGCCTCAATGGCGCATAACCAGTTGACACGTAAATCTTAATAGTGTCCAATATAGGCCATACTGTGGCCTGTTCTCATCCAATATAGGATGGCCTGTTTTCTTGGGCGATTGGATATGGGAGTCTTACGGATTTGCTGGGTCTGCTTGACAGACTTGTCATAGTCTGACTATGTTAGGATCCATACTGACATGTCAGGGGGTTTGTTGACTGCTGTCTATAGCTTCTCTGTGTGCTCTGAAGTTATCAGAGACTGAGAGAAAGTATACCATGAGCCCAGCCATTTTGGTGGCTATTTCCGAGACCCCTGTTCTAGGGCATGGGTTTCTACTGCTTCAATTTTTGTGTATTTGGTGAGGATTTTTGTCTCTCTTCATATTTAAATTCAATTGATATCAAGGCTGCAGTTTCCTCAATTGCTCTAATATGTGCATTTTTTTCATTGCTCTCGGCATAGTTCTTAGTCTAATATTCTGTACTTTGTCGATTTTGCTAACGTTTATTGGACTTTTGGCCCGATGCTGTAGCGCCATGTTCCAGGCTTGGTCTCATATAGCTTCAGCATGTGCTCCCCAGTCTGTGCTAGCATAGCTTTCTCATTTGTGCAAGTTGATTGCTGCCTTTAGTAAAGGCTTTACATTTGGATGTTTTGTTGAATACGTTTTTTCATTACCCGTTTTTTTTTTGTACCCATGATCAGTGATCACTGAAGTCGGAATTTTGATGTATACCCATATTCTTCTTGCTGATTATTGCAAGGCCATCATAAAGCTACCTTAATTTTGTTCTAGGTAATTTCTGTAGATCGGGACAAGACTCCTCCTCGTTGGACGCTAAAGATGTTTTTACTTATAGTTTATACAACTTATTCGTTACTATTATTCGTTATTAATATTTTTTTAGCAGAAACTAATAAAAAACAAAACACTATTTAGGCCTATTTTGGCCAATGTGATATTTTATTTGGCATAATATATAATGTGTTGTTGACAGATTTTAGTCCATCTTATGATTTAAAATTTAAGTTAAAAATATGTATTACTATTCATGTAACATAATTTTAATAGACCGTTTAATAGTATTATTTTGAAATTCGTAGTATTTTGCGTGATTTTAAAAATACAGACAGTATAACATACTTGCTTTTCACAGATAGCTTATTCGGCCAATTAAAAATGTAACTTGGTTCTTCAGTGGTTCGCCATATTGGAACTGGTCAGATTGTGTCAAAAATAAACCACAAACACATGCTATGACCATTACCCATTTTCCCAAAAGGTTATTACTCTCATTAAAGATTATAAGTTCTAATAAACTTTTATTTCAGGGTGACTTCTTAATGATCTTTGTTTGAGTAGAAAAGGCTTTTATTGATGCATCTTCCAACAATTCATTAAATTTTCCTACACTTTGTATCGAGTCGAGGACTTTCAATCTTTTTCAAGTCTTTCTGGGTAAAACGTCAAACGAAAGACTTGTTTACCAGCCAGAGCCTCCAGACAGTTTTTTAATACAAGCTGTTAGATTCTAGATCTATATTATTCTAGATTTAGAAATAGCTAGATTTTTTCTAAATCTAACCCCAGAAAATTTGTTTTATGGGGCCTACAAAACATTTAAAATTTGTTGGGTATCTGAGCTGGCTATCTAGGCGGGTCCACTGCTGGGCTTGCACTGTTTTTGTTGTTGCAGTTCTGAAGTTCCATCTAGATCTAGATCTAGTAGTTCTAGAGATTTCTAGATCTAAATCTAGAAAAAATAATTTGAATGATAGATCTAGCTTAATATCTAGATCTAGAATCTAGAAGATTATTCACTAATCTAGTAATCTAGTTAGATTTCTAAGTAAGTAGATGTTGTACAACTCTGTAGACGAAGTATAAAAGATATAGATCTAGAATCTACAATCTTTGAAGTAGGCAAACTGTCTGTACTATACTATTGAGTCTGAGTGAGAACTCAGTAATGTAGATCTAGATATATGACTAGCTAGGACAGTATGAGTATAGTATAAATACTTTGCTAACCTACATGAAGAGTGTTAATTAAAAAAATAATTATTGGCCAGGGCTAATCCCAGCCGGTTGGGAATATAGAAAATCTAGCCGTATTGTGGCTATTCACAGTTGGCTGTCATTTTATGCTTAATACGACTGGTAATTATAATATCTTACAATTATAAAAGCATTTATGGGAACTGAGGTATAGAATAGATTAAGAGAGCAGTGCTATTTTTATTGTGTTATATTTTTATAAAAAAAAATATGATGGTTTAAGTTAAGTTTAACTTTTAGGCTCGTATCTGCTACGTGTCTTAGATGATCAATTATCATTATGCACTCTAATTAAATCTATACTAGTCAACTAGTCTAACAGATCTAGTAATTTTTAAATAAATAATATTAATTATTAGGGCATAATTATGCATCAGTTTAGTTGGTAGTTCACATTGCTATTCAACTGTCGATTACCATTTAAAATTCGCACAGAACAAATATCAGGTGAAATAGGATGTCCTTTTCAATCAGCTATAATTCAGTTTCCATCACACTTTTCACAAGATGTTTTTTTTCTTTTAGCAAAAATCTAAGGAACAGGGTTTTTTTTAGTAGATATGCCATCAATTATGTTACAAATGTTTAAAAAAATTAACAAAAGTAACGTTTTCATAAAAAACGGGAAAAAAATAGTTTTAATAACAGTGGTCATAAATTAAGTGTCAAAAGACAAGCATCTTAAGGGTTCGAACCCGCACCTTCTGGCACAGCAGCCACCCTCATGCCCACTGGACACAACATTTTGCTTATTTTGGAGTTTTTAACATTAAATCTATCAAAAACAGTCACGACTGTGAATAGCCTTAATACGGCTATTCTCAGTCGACTGGGAAAAGACACTTCGTTAATAATTTATAATAATAGTATAGGCCTACTAAGGCTAAAATGTTATTTTATAGGCTAATCAGATGCAAACTCTAAATCTAGCTATAGATCTAGACTGCTAGACTGGTTGAAAATTTGAAGACTACTTTAACTTTCCTAAAATCGTAGAAAATTAAAAAAAACATACAGAATGGTCTTGGAATGGATTGGAAGAAATTAGGGCCATGCAGTAAACTGTAAAATAAATAATTAGCAAACTATCTAGGGATATTCCTAGTCAATATATTAACCTATATTATTTAATTTTGAGAATATTTCTATCTCTAAAACTAAAATATTAATTAGCCTTAGGCGAAAAATTAAATTTTTTTTTAACCTAAAGGCCTAGGTCTTTAGTACGACAGTTTATTATATTTCATTTTGTTTGCAATGTTATCGCAATTATATTTGGCCTAGAAAGAATAAACTTCTTGTGTCCTAGATGCAACATGCATACTTTAAGAAAAAAAACTACTGAAAATATTACAGAAACATAAATAAAAACCAATCAAAGAATAGGCTTATCAGATTTTAATTATTTAACGTAGGCCTAGCTATTTGCAAAATTGCATTCTAAAAAAAAACCCGATTTAAACAGGCATTTTATTTGTAATTTAGAAATTGAAGTCTAATTTCATTGTTCGCTAGTTATGTTTATTGCCTGTTCTTGTTCAACGGTAGCAATTAACAACAGACTGGGAATAAGCATATTCACTGTAAACTTGGAATAGTTAGATGCCTATTCCCAGCCAACTAAATAGGTTCACCCTAATATAGGCCTAAATCATGGGAGTTAAAATACTACTGTTGTATTTGTTGGTTTGTTTATTGTATAAGATGGTTAGTTTTTTTGTAGGCCTATAGGCCTAAATAAAAAAAATAAATAGACAAAATGGTGAAAAACCTTTTAAATAAATTTATAAATAACTCTTCTTGTTTTGGTTACCTTGTGTTTTTTGCTCTCTTTTACCAATGCTAGTTTTCAACATGTAGCCTATTAAAAAATGAACCTCCATTCTAATAAAACTGCTAGACTAACATGGTTTAAGATTATTTCTTGTTTAACATGCAAGTATGCTTTTTATCACTGTGGAATTATTAAATAATCACTAAAAACCATTTAAATGGATCTGGGTGGGTGTGGGGTGGACCACACTATGAGCTAAGATCTGAAAAATTGGAGAGACATTATTTTTGGCTGTTAGACTATAGGCCTACTTTATAGACTTCTTTATTATACAATTATCTTTAGTCTAATAAACATCAATTTAGATAATTTGTACATGTGCTTATTGTCTGAAATTTATCAAAGTTTGTTAATTTAATTAAAAAAAAGGTTTAAAAAGTTTGGTCGTAATTTACAATGTTGTGTTTAATAATTTAAATAAAACATTTTTATAGAGAAAACCAGCCTAAGTAGGCTGTATTTTTTTAGAAGAAATGAGGCCTAATACAAAAATAAAAAATTACACCTAATTTGAATTAGATTGTGACTGATTCAATGGCATATTTTAATTAAAAAAGCAATGGAACTGATGTCACTTGTCGTGTGAATTACTGTGCAGGTTAACAGACTTCCTTTTACTAGTGCATTATGTATACTTAAATCTATTATTAAAACTGGGAGTGGGGTCTATTCCTGGCTGACTTTGGGAACCACTGGCTTTAACTACGTCACATGACAGTTCTACCCATTCCTATATATCTGTTAAAAAAGCGAATATTTTTTGACAATTGTTTTAATGCAAAATATGTTTGAGATGGGATTGGAATGTTGATGTAAGAAAGTTTGCAAGTGAACTCAATTTGTAAAACATACATTGCCTTTTTTCTCTACCTATGTGATCCACCTACTGTGGAATTGGGTAAACATTGACAATGAAGCCATACAATTTAACCTCCATATTAGATTGTAATGCTAAGTTAACCCATACTATTTGTATGTATGTGAAGAGACCTATTAAGTATTACAAAAAAATAGACATTCACATAAATGAAATGTTATATAAATCACAGTTGCTGTTTTATTTTGCTTTATAATCTATAACATAATTCAATGTTTTTAATTTTTACAAATTCTTTAAAAAAAATTCTTTGCATCTCTGGCTATGATTGTAAACTTTTTAAAGATTATATATATCATCACTACCTTGCACCTGGTAATTTGCAAGGAGTGATAATTTAGTACAAGATCTAATTTCTCTTATCTTAAATTCTGCATGTCTGAAACATCTTGTGGAGGCTCGTTTGAATTCTAGGAATTTTGATGGATTTGGCTTCAGATCCTAGATTGTCACATTGTCATTGTTAGCATTTAACAGTTTGCATGTAATGTTGGGCTGGTAACCATGCCTGGTTCTATTCCTGATTAGATGAACTCATCTCAATAAATTAACGTCCTAAAACTTTAATGCGATCTTTGTTTTCACACATAGCAGTCAATATTAATAATCATTAAGAGTATTTCATTACAGTAGCCTACATAATGTACACTTGGTTACAGGTTATAGCATCTGTCACCTCAAATTGAGATAAATATAAAAATATTAAACAAGTTTTTTGTATTTTCAGTTTGAATTTATGGAGGGCTTGACACCGACACACTTGTTTCTTTGATACTAAAATGGAAGCTAATTGTAACCCTGAAGGTAATTGTTTTTTGTTTTGTGTTTGATACTCTAACACTTATAATAAAATGTATTTTAACTGATTCTTTCAACAGTTAACTACCAATGTATGATAACCATAGAATATTAATACTTGTATACTATTTTGTTCAACAGCCATCCTACAGTTAAAATGAAGAAACATATATATTAAGGTTGAGAAAAGTGCAACAAGGATGTCTGCATCATCTGTTATTTTACCGGTTCAAACCAGTATAAACACTGTAAATGTTGCTGGCATGAATAATAAAACCATTCAACCTGTGAACAAATTCCCACAACAAACTCCTCAACTTCAACCAACGGCCCCACAAACAGATAATGCTGTTAAGCCAGGACTTGCCTCAGGAGTATCACAAGCACTACATCGCCCATATCAGTTCCGTCCAAGATTCCCACCCAACAAAGGCCAGGATGATGCATCAGCCCTTATGTATGATGGAAAGCGAATGAGAAAAGCTATTCATAGAAAAACTGTTGATTATAACCCGTCAGTTTTCAAATACTTACAGGTAGTCAAATTTCAGTGCTGTAGTTCTACGTACACTTATTGGGTACTTTACCATTAATAATGTTTTATAAAAATGTTTATTTTTTTTATTATTATAATTCCATTATGTTTTTTTTTGGAAAGTTTGCATATTTAAAAGATTTTTTTTTTAGAATAAGATAACTAAAAGAATATTGTCTGAAACTGCTGTCACTTAACCTGTTCGTGGTTATGATCTGACTTGCAAAAAGGCATCTGTTTTCTGACCATTTCTCTAGTATGAACATATTACAATTTTAACATACCATTCATGTGCTGGTTCTGTACTTTATAAATTTAAAGTTATAGTACCTGTTATTTAAAGATTTTTTTATATTATATAACTATAACTATTGTTTCATCCTGATTATTTAAAAAATTCTGTTGGAGTTGGATGAAATATATATTTGTTCAACTTAAAAGTGGATACTTTTTTTTGTGTCTTTAGAATAGAGTATGGCAGAGGGACAGAAGAGACGAGCATCTAATACAGCCTGATGCTTTATATGCGACTGATGTAAGTTAACAATTTCTATAGTCAAGTTGACTGGCAAAATGTATAGATAATCATGTAATAGTTTCATCTTGTTCTATCAACTTTCTACTTGTTTTAAGCTGGTTCCACCCCCTGCATTGATAGAGCACCCTATGAACTGTGTTACTACAAGATTTGTGAGAACTTCTACCAACAAATTTAGATGTCCTATTTTTTGTCTAACTGTAAGTATGGCTGTATTGATGTTCATTTATTTTATTTTTTACATTAAATATTTTAATTTGCATGGTAGCTGAATTTTCAAAATAAAACTGAATAAATATTTACCAAGTATCACCACTATGAGCATTTTATGTGCATGTTGTAAATAAATTTCCATATTAAAGCTTGATTGTTCTTTAAGTAGATGAACTCATATAAGAATAATTTTTTTTACAGTGGACACCTGAAGGAAGAAGATTAGTTACCGGAGCTTCCAGCGGAGAATTCACTTTATGGAATGGCCTCACTTTTAACTTTGAGACTATTTTACAAGTATGTATTAATTTTAACCATTTATTTTTTTTAAAGTGAGTATTTTCTAGTTTCTACTTTGTTTTTGTTACAGTTCCTTTGTTTAATGTTAATAAAATGTTAGTTTCAACCAATTAATTTAAAACAATTTTTTTTATCTAGTTAAAATGTTTAGTAATGCCACCTATCAATTTGCGGCATTAAAAATGAAATGAAAGCAATATTTGATCTTCAATAGGCTCATGAAACAGCAGTTAGAGCTATGCGATGGAGTCACAGTGATGCATGGATGGTTACAGCAGACCACGCTGGCTATATCAAATACTGGCAGTCAAATATGAATAATGTCAAGATGTATCAGGCACATAAGGAGCCCATTCGGGGAATAAGGTGGGCAAGGCTCAAGATTTATTGCATTTCTTGTTGGTTTCATGCCAAGAGAGTATACCTTGATTTCTAGTCGTTGACATCCAGGTGTACCTTGAAAATAGTGTACATTTTTTTAGTAAATACAAAATTCGTGAACAATTCTGGGCTCAACAATTATAATAAAATGGTTTTAAACTATCTGAGCTAAAAAACAAAAGCTCTATTTTCCTGATAAATTAGCTAATTAATTCTTAATTTGATTAAATAAAGTATAAGAGGTTGAAGCCATAAAGGCAGACACCTCCAAACCTAATTTCATCATCCAGTGGCTAATAGATTTATGCAAAAAATAAATTTAGACTGTCAAAGCCATAAAGGCAGAGGCAGTCTGAGATTTCTGTGGATGTTTGTTTCTGTGTGGTTGAACATTGAGATGTCTTTCACAAAACACACAAACCAGTGGAACTTTTCTAAACAAAAACTTATATAATTTACAATCTTTACTACTACAAAAATATAATTAAACAAAAAACACCATGGAATACCTTATCCTAAAGAACTAAACACAATTTCTCACTGTTTACTTTGTTGTCTGATCAAATGATTAGATTTACTTCACTGTGATATTCTATTTTAAATATTTTAGTGTTGACAGCTCTGTGATATAACTTTTGATGTATGCTATTTATTTACAATAAATTATTTTTCAGAACTAAATAAATTGAGTTTGTTATCTATTTCTTCCTGTCCAGTTTTTGTCCCTCGGACACTAAATTTGCCTCTTGCTCAGACGATGGAACTGTTCGAATATGGGATTTTATGAGATGTCATGAAGAAAGAATTCTCCGAGGTATGATTTCTTGACCCATGTGACACTTTAGTGATCACTACTCTGCCATACTGGACTAAAAAATAATAACACCATGATCTGTTGTCTAAAACCGTGTATGTTATGGCTTTTGACAAAATGATAGTGAAAAGAAATATTTTCAATATTACTTAAATATTTACTGTGGGGAGAAATATAAGTAGTAGTTCTCAGTCAGTAAAACGAAAGTTAGTGCATAATTTATTTTCAGCTTTTTTGAGTATTTATGTAACTAAGAACACACCAATTCCTTGGGACTTATTTAACTAAGAACACCAATTCCTTGGGATCTACAGCTTACATAACATCTAGAAATATTATGGATAAATTTAGAAGCATTAATATGATAATACTCATACATGCATACATTAGTAGACCACAAGTCATCCTTCATGCTTTTTAAAAATGAATTGATATAAGAGCATTTGATGCTGTTCTCTGCTTTTTATTTTGCACAGTTTAAGCATGTGATCAAAATTCTCAATAAATATTTTTGCTGAATACACCATAAAAAAATTTAAAATACAACTTACCCATTCACTCATCTAAAATAATGATCATCAGTATTGAAAACTTGTGTTAAAACAAGAACAAGCCAGTTGCTGTTTGCACTGTCTTTGAAAAAAAAAGTATTAGAATAGCTATAGAAGAATGTTCACCTTATAAAGGTCATGGCGCTGATGTCAGATGTGTAGACTGGCACCCACAGAAGGCTCTGCTAGCTTCAGGAAGTAAAGATAACCAACAGCCTGTCAAGCTATGGGATCCTAGGACAGGCAACAGCTTATCTACACTGTAAGTACATCAATTCTATTCTCCTTAAAGTACACATTTCACAAATACTTCTGACACAAAAAATCTTGTTATATTTTTTTGAATATTTATTTTAATAGATTTTCACTTAGGTTATATATGTTTGTTTTATCAGACATGCACATAAGCATACAGTAATGGACCTGAAGTGGCATCAGAATGGTAACTGGATGCTAACAGCCTCACGAGATCACCTGCTCAAACTCTTTGACATAAGAAATTTGAAGGAAGAATTGCAGACCTTTAAAGGACATAAAAGAGAAGCAACTGGTAATTTTCATTGGAAATTTTGTTCATATTTAAAAATATTTTTGAAAGATATCAATATAAATTATACTTTCAAAATTTTGCCATAACTTTTTGCAGCAATAGGTTGGCATCCTATTCATGAAGGTCTGTTTGTCAGTGGCAGTGCGGATGGTGCTCTCATGTTCTGGATGGTTGGCTGTGATCATGAGGTGGGAGGGATGGAAGAAGCCCATGAAGGCATGGTATGGAGTGTGGCATGGCATCCTCTTGGCCATATACTTGCTTCAGGTTCTAATGACCATGCCACGTAAGTTTTATGTGACATACGCTGTATGATCATTAAACATGATTTCAATGCCTAATAAAAATATTTTCGAAATTTTGTAATAATTTGTAATATGAATTAAAATATGATGTAAATATTAAATGAAGATTGAATTACATTTGATTTATTAATTAAAAAAATGTTTTTTTTCCCCAGAAAATTTTGGACGAGAAATCGCCCTGGTGATGAGATGAGAGACAAGTACAATCTGAATAACTTGCCAGTTGGTATGACAGAGCTTGACATGTTGGAATATAGTAAGCTTTAATTTGCTTTACTTTTTGTCACTTCCTAATCCAAATCTATATTTAAAAATTGTATGTCAACTTGCAATGAATCCTAAACTACTTATTGCCCTTATTGAAATATAACCTACTCAAATAAAAACTTCTCATGCAAATATATTTCTCTTAGATCAAGAGTCATCTGTGCCAAACCTTCCAGGCATGGGCTTGGAGCATGGATTGCCAGATCATTTACAGTTGGCTGGTTAGTGTACTTTAGAATACCTTATAGAATACTTTATAGAATACTTTATAGAATACTTTATAGAATACTTTATAGAATACTTTATAGATACCATTTTACATAATTCATAGCTCTGTGGTGTTTGGTTTACCCATAACTCATTAAAAATTCACATAATTCTATTTATCAATTATGGTTTACAGTTTTATTAATCTCTTTCCGTTTAATAATTTTTGAGTCCAATGATTTTTAAAAAATGTTTTGATTTTTTTTGTAGTAAAAACAGCTGTAATAACTTTTAACTAAACGATTAAAATATGAATCTGCTCTAAAATTAATGAAATTGACAACAAATTATAGTTGCCCAATACCATAATATAAATATGAATCCCTTAATTATCAATCAGATGAAAAAGCCAGTGAAAATGAACTTCCATCAATACCTGGCCTTGACTGGGAGGAGGATGCAGCTTTGTTAAAGGCCGAGGAAAAAACAGCTCAGAAAAAAGTGCCTTATGCCAGGCCAGTGCCCAGAATGTTTGAGCAGGCCTGGTCGGGGGAGATAGACGTGGACCAGATGAAGAAGGAACAGCAGCAGAACCAGCTGAAAGCTCAGCTGATGCCACCTTCACAGTCAAGCCTGCTGCTAGCCCAGCAGGTGCTTGGGGCTGCTATTGCTGGCACTCTCCGTCAACAGTTGGCAGCCAGTGAGGGGGGCCGCATGCTCATGCCGGGTGGCCCATTGATGTTGGGCCCAGGCGGGCCCAGAATGATTATTGCCCCTGGGCAGCCTATCATGGGCCCCCAGGGTGGACAAATGTTGCTCATTCCTGGAAACACTGGCAACAATGTCCTCGGTGCAGGGAACATTCAGCACAATAATGTAGGAGTTGAGCTGCCTTCAAATGCTCAGAACTCACAATTAGTTGGTAACAGCATGAACATTATGCCCAACAATACAAGGCCACAAAACAATATGGGTTCCCAACAAATGGGCCACAATCAAAATCCCAATGGCTCAATGGGCCAGTCTCAAGGCCAAGGTCTGATGCATGGACAGATGAGACCTCAAGGGCCTCCTCAAGGCCAGCAGCAAGGTCACAACATGGGCAGACAACCTGGGCCACAGTTTCATGGCCAGAATATAAGAGGACATTTTGGACCAGGACCTAATCACCAAAAACGTGAGTTGTAATTAAAAAAAAACAACTGAGTGACTGAAATGTATGTATGTAACTTGTATCAGTGTTAAAGCATTGAAATCAATCGTGCTCATGTTTCTATTAGCAGCTAACCAGCAGGACATAGACAGAGATGATAGAGTGGCAGGAAAAGGTAAAATTAAACTTTTATTTGTTTGAGCTCTGAATTATGAAAACATTATGTTGATTTCACATGTTATTGATTAAAGTGATTTTCATTTTAAACAACTGAAAATAATTGTGTAATAGTAATGATGTACTTGTCCCACTTTAGGTGTGAATGCCGGCCCATCTAACATGGATTTGGACCAAGACTATCGTCCTCGTGTGTACAATGGACCTGCCGGGCCCCTGGGTGTGGAGGACCAGGACTACAGACAGGGAAACATGGGCAGGGATGTCCGTATGAAAGCTGACCCTAGACTAGCAAGTATGGGGGAACCAAATAGAAACATGGACCGCAGGGGTCAAGGTAGTGATGGATATCACGCAGGTCAAGGTAGTGATGGATATCATGGAAAGGATTACAAGCGTGTGGATGAATATGGGGATCAAGATGACAGGGACGTAGACCACAGAGCAGGGGCGAGTCAGATGAGGGGAGGTCACAAGCCTAAAGATAACTGGCAGGATTATGATGAGGGGGCTTGGGATGGGGGAGACACGGAGTATGATGAAGATTATGGTGAGGATTATACTGAACATGATAACAGAGGGAGGAAGAGGGCTTGGGATGATGGACCAGGAGGTCCAAGAGGGAGAGGAGGCAGAGGTGGAGCATGGGGGAGGGGCAGGGCTAATTACAGAATGAACAGGGGGCACAGCAATTACAGAGGAGGGGGACGTGGTTGGGGAAGGGGAGAGAAAAACAGGGGTGGTCACAGGGGAAACTATTAAATAATTCTGTTCATTACATTATAAAACATTTGTTTTTCTGTTCATTAGTGATAGAAAAAGATTCAACTTTCAGAGTGATTGTGTGTAAGACACATTTGTTTTTTTTCAAGTCATTAATTTCTCTAATTTGCCTTCCCTTCGCATCTAATTGGTCTAATAATTAGAAAAAAGTAAATGATACAATCATTAATGAGGCAAATAAACTGCTGTGTTGTGTGGTACAACTTTTGTAGGCATTAAATTATTTTTTTCTCTTCTAATTGTATAAAAAATTTGACAGGTTGATATAGTATTCTCTGTTCTATTTAGTTCTAAGCTGTAAATTTCTTTTATGGTTGAAGGTTTTTTTTTTGTATGTATCTTTCTCTTACTTTTTAACCAGTGCTAAAACTGGCTGGTCATTAAAAACATCAACCTAAATGCAAGAAAACAATGAACCCTTCTGGTGCTCATTCTCTCCCTGCGCCATGGTTAGATTTGACTTGAAACTTGTACTAATAGAAAAACTATACTTATAAACAACAGATTTCAGTCTGCTATTTTTTTGTTTTAGGTTCCTTTTGTTTTTTACACATCAGAATTAATTTTAATGTACTTTATTTCTCTCTAGTTGTTGCTAACATTTGAATTTGTTAATTGTTATCAATTTTCATTTCTATTTTGTGTGATGAAAGGAAAAAGTTAAAAGTTTCAGTTCTATCTTGTGTGATAAAAGGGAAAAAAAGTTGACGAATACATTCAAAGTTGATGCCACAAGATTCATTTTACCATTATAATATCAAATTTTTAATGCTCTGATTTTCAGTTGCAGATTGTTACATGTTATGTAAATATTTGTTTATACTTTCTGCTGTAGAAAATCTTGAAATGTTTACCATTGAACTCATATGTTTATCCTCATTAGTTTCACTGTTGACCATGTGAGTGTGTTGGTACTAAACCAAAGTATTGATCCTAACTCTTGACCATGTTTCCACTCTTCTCTCTACTGGCTGTTGATAGTTCCACTGCTAAACCAAAAGTTGCTGGACTGTAATGTGAGGGACTGCATGGGTTGCTTGAATATAAGGGACTCCATCGGTTGCTTGAATGTGAGGGATTCTATTGGTTGCTTGAATGTGAGGGGCTTAGTGGGTTGCTTGAATGTGAGGGATTCTATTGGTTGCATGAATGTGAGGGACTCCATGGGTTGCATGAATGTGAGGGATTCTATTGGTTGCTTGAATGTGAGGGATTCTATTGGATGCTTGAATGTGAGGGACTGCATGGGTTGCTTGAATGTGAGGGACTCCATGGGTTGCATGAATGTGAGGGATTCTATTGGTTGCATGAATGTGAGGGACTGCATGGGTTGCTTGAATGTGAGGGATTCTATTGGTTGCATGAATGTGAGGGATTCTATTGGTTGCATGAATGTGAGGGACTGCATGGGTTGCTTGAATGTGAGGGATTCTATTGGTTGCTTGAATGTGAGGGATTCTATTGGTTGCTTGAATGTAAGGGATTCTATTGGATGCTTGAATGTAAGGGATTCTATTGGTTGCTTGAATGTGATGGATTCTATTGGTTGCTTGAATGTGAGGGGCTCCATGGGTTGCTTGAATGTGAGGGACTCCATGGGTTGCTAGACTGGTGTAATATCGTCCTTGTCTCAACCTTCTACTAATAATTCTGTCTAAATGCCATCATAGTCCAACTGTCACAACTATCCTCTTGTGTATATCAAAGCTGACAAATGTCAGCTGTCTAAATGTCACCTGTCCAAATGTCACTTCCCATGGTCATGTTCAGTCTACTGCTATCATCATTCCTCTGAATAGTTGTGTCTATGACTGAGACTAGCCACCATGTACAGACTGACCATTGAATCAACCCATTCAAGTATTCTTTTGTACAAGATTTCTTTTTGACAGAACACTATGTGAATAAACTGATGATGCATTTCTTCTTTGTTTTACTTGCCTGTGAAAAATTAATTAGTTCTTACATAGGAAAATCAAATAGGTACAGTTTGATAATAAACTAAAGATATTTTGCAACATGAGTGCCCATTTTACATTTAAAAAATGATTTTTTTTAGTCAGTTTACACTGAAAAGATGAAATAAATTAAAAGAAAGTTTAAACAGAAATTTTATTAATCACTTACCTTACATTAAATACAAACAATATATTTGTAGCACATGGAATACAATACACCTTAATACACTTCAAAACCTGTTAATAATTAAATCTAATTTTGCTTAGTGTCGACCAAAGGCCTTCGTTGGAAAAAAAAAACATGTATATTTGTATAGAATTTATATTTACATATGCATATATATATATATCTCTATATATATTTATACATATATTTGTGCATGTATATATATATATAAATTATTATGTGCGTGTTTTTTGGCCACAGCTGAGCTGACAAAAGCTACAGTTGAGACTAGTGGCCATATTTTTACTCTGGACAAGAGAGATTCATTTTGTAATAAACTGCTGTATTTGTACACAACTGAGATTGCCATTCTTATAGGATGTAACAAGTCTGGTAATGCTATAATAACAGTAAAAAGTTTTCTTAGCACAAATTGTCAGAAAGGCACATTTTGAAATGCACAACACAATGATAACACTGTCAATACTTTGCAACACAACAAAAAATATAAATAAGACACTACATAGCAAAATACGCCACGGATCGCAATAAGATTTCTTAAAACTCATATTAAATTTTAATATGTAGTTATTTTGTGAAACCTAATTTGAATAGAAAAAAAACTAAAAAAAAAAAAAGAAAAGAGATGCTGTATTTAGCATCTATCAGTGGCTCTAAATCATCCTTGAAATATGCACATTTGGGTTAAATTACTATTTGAGGCAGACAATGATATACATATGTATATATATATATATATATATATATATATATATATATATATATATATATATATACATATATATATATATACAAATATATAATTTTTATTTTATATATATGTATATATGTATGTATATATATATGTTACAAACATTGTAAAGCTGGATGTAAGCCTACTGTTGAAATAAAGCTAATGTAAAGTAGTCTATAGAGTAGTCAATCTTTATTTAAAAACAATTCTTTATATTTTATTTTAAATAATAATCAAAGAAACAAAATGGTTTTAGGTATTCTGTCCAAGCAAAATGATTTATAATATAGATTTAAGCCTATGTTACTTGTCAAAATTGAACGTGTTAATTAGACAATGAAAACAATGTGGTCGTTTTAAAATAATACAAGTTTGACGAGCCCCAACAACACAAGATGCGCCATTACCACCAGCACCTCTAAATTAGTTGGGGATAATTTCCGACTCGTTCAAATACAAAATAACTGCAATTTTGTCTACTTTTATTATGTGCGGACATGTTGCCATTTCATTTCAAAATTTTACAAAATTATCGTCACGCCACAAAATCCGTGACGTAACTGGTCATAGTTTAGAAAAAAAACAATCAAGATTCGAGTTCTGTTAAAAACAACTTCACAGTTAGTGTATGAAACCGGATGAGAAAAAAACATTTCATGCAAATGAAACGAATGTTAAGTCATATCACAAATAAATATTTAACAAGTTCCACGATAGAAATAATTTAACAATAAATAAATAATTTTCACTTTCATAAACAATATAGAACATGAGAATGGACCTGTGGCCAGTCATGGCATTTGAAAAATTACTGAACAATTTCGGTATCAACTAAGGGGCTATCAATAAATTACGCTAGAATCTTGTCGACGGAGAAGGGGGGGGGGGGGGTGAGGTCGGACTTTGTGATGTTGTATTGGGTAGGGGTGAAGGCGGACTTTGTGACCTTGTGTTGAGGAGGGGGAGGATTTTTTTTTAAAGCTGCACTTCTGCAGTTATTTTGCATTTCAAAAGTCGGTTACAAAAATAGTCCTTTTGTATGTGTGTGTGTGTGGGGGGGGGGGGGGCTCTTATCTTAAGTTGTGATATAATTCTTGCTGTATTACGTTCTGTGTGATGAGCTGGGAGGTTACATGTCATATTGTTGGGTTGTATAATTTGATCTCAAAGAGCGGGAGGGGGGGGGGGGGAGGAGGAGGCGTGTAGTTTTGGACACGTCTAGTTTTTTGCTTTCTTAAAAACCAAAACATAATTACTGTATCAAATAGCATGGCCACAGTTACAATTGATGCATCAAAATGTCACGTGATCAGGGCTTGTTGTTACTGACCACAGCCAGGAACTGACAACTCGACCAGTGAGATCAAGACACCGTACACTTACGGCTGGGTCACGTGGTGTAGTGACTGAACGAACCCACTGACCCGCACTGACCAATGTGATGACCACATTTTTTCATAAATATTTTTTTTTAAAGCAAGTCAATCTATCGACACTAAAACACCGAATAACTGACGTCAGATAATTCCAGACGATCAGTTAGATTGAGTCACGTGTGCTAATCACTCTACACAGTGGTAAGTCTTTAGACACGAATCAGAAATAAATAGTTCCCTGATGATATAGGCTTTTCCTGATTTCTGATGAATGGGCATTTCATGATGTTTGATGAATAGGCATTTTCATGATGTTTAATGAATGGGCTTTTCATGATGTCTGATGACCGGGCTGTTCAACCTTGCACATGCGGGATGTAGGTGTGGGCGTGAGTGGTCTCTGGGGTTGCTGGTGCCTGTTATTTCCTGGCCGTCCCACATTCACCCCCCAGCCAGGCTGGTCCTGACATCTGCGGGTAGTCCGGTAGTACAACCTTCTGGTGTTTGCTCACCTTGTAGTACCTGCAACAGGTGTCAGGTGGAATGTAGTCTGGCAGTGTGGGCAAACAGGTGTGTGGTGGAATGTAGTCTGGACACGTGTGGGCAAACAGGTGTCAGGTGGAATGTAGTCTGGACACGTGTGGGCAAACAGGTGTGGTGGAATGTAGTCTTGACATGTGTAGTGTGGGCAAACAGGTGTGTGGTGAAATGTAGTCTGGACACGT